TGGTAGGACACTTTACCACTCCAGGCCAGCAACACGTACTCGGGAATCACTGTAGAACAAAGCATTGCAGTGTATGTTTGCTGGCATTCAACCAAAATCCGTTCACGCGGTGGGAGGAGGCAAAATGCGACCTTGTAACGAAAGCACATGTGCTATGTATGTAATGTTAACAGCAAGGTTTACCCTGAAAGACTGTAGCCACTGTTTTATAAAATGTGTCTTTTTAAATACCGCTGTCCCTTTTTTTTTCTCCACCAGCTGCATGTGTTTCAATGATCACAGGATCTTCTCCTTCCCAGAGGCTAGTGAAGCTTAGAAAGAAAAAAAAACGCACTCGCGATGAAATGTTCTCCGAGCTCATGCTGTCCTCCCACACTGACAGAGCACAGACGAATGCGTGGAGGCAAATAATGTCAGAGTGCAGGAAAGCACAAAATGACCGGGAGGAGAGGTGGAGGGCTGAAGAGAGTAAGTGGCGGGCTGAAGACAGGGCTGAAGCTCAAATGTGGCGGCAGCGTGATGAGAGGAGGCAGGATACAATGCTGAGGCTGCTGCAGGACCAAACCAGTATGCTCCAGTGTATGGTTGAGCTGCAGCAAAGGCAGCTAGAGCACAGACTGCCACTGCAGCCCCTCTGTAACCAACCGCCCTCCTCCCCAAGTTCCATAGCCTCCACACCCAGACGCCCAAGAACGCGGTGGGGGGGCCTCCGGCCAACCAGCCACTCCACCACAGAGGATTGCCCAAAAAAAAGAAGGCTGTCATTCAATAAATTTTAAAGTTGTAAACTTTTAAAGTGCTGTGCTTAAAGTGCTGTGTGGCATTTTCCTTCCCTCCTCCACCACCCCTCCTGGGCTACCTTGGTAGTCATCCCCCTATTTGTGTGATGAATGAATAACGAATGCATGAATGTGAAGCAACAATGACTTTATTGGCTCTGCAAGCAATGATTAAAGGGAGGAGGGGAGGGTGGTTAGCTTACAGGGAAGTAGAGTGAACCAAGGGGCGGGGGGGTTCATCAAGGAGAAACAAACAGAACTTTCACACCGTAGCCTGGCCAGTCATGAAACTGGTTTTCAAAGCTTCTCTGATGCGTACCGCGCCCTCCTGTGCTCTTCTAACCGCCCTGGTTTCTGGCTGCGCGTAACCAGCAGCCAGGCGATTTGCCTCAACCTCCCACCCCGCCATAAACGTCTCCCCCTTCCTCTCACAGATATTGTGGAGCACACAGCAAGCAGTAATAACAGTGGGAATATTGGTTTCGCTGAGGTCTAAGCGAGTCAGTAAACTGCGCCAGCGCGCCTTTAAACGTCCAAATGCACATTCTACCACCATTCTGCACTTGCTCAGCCTGTAGTTGAACAGCTCCTGACCACTGTCCTGGCTGCCTGTGCATGGCTTCATGAGCCATGGCATTAAGGGGTAGGCTGGGTCCCCAAGGATACATATAGGCATTTCAACATCCCCAACAGTTATTTTCTGGTCTGGGAATAAAGTCCCTTCCTGCAGCTTTTGAAACAGACCAGAGTTCCTGAAGATGCGAGCATCATGCACCTTTCCCGGCCATCCCACGTTGATGTTGGTGAAACGTCCCTTGTGATCCACCAGAGCTTGCAGCACTATCGAAAAGTACCCCTTGCGGTTTATGTACTCGGCGGCTTGGTGCTCCGGTGCCAAGATAGGGATATGGGTTCCGTCTATAGCCCCACCACAGTTAGGGAATCCCATTGCAGCAAAGCCATCCACTATGACCTGCACATTTCCCAGGGTCACTACCCTTGATATCAGCAGATCTTTGATTGCGTGGGCTACTTGCATCACAGCAGCCCCCACAGTAGATTTGCCCACTCCAAATTGATTCCCAACTGACCGGTAGCTGTCTGGCATTGCAAGCTTCCACAGGGCTATCGCCACTCGCTTCTCAACTGTGAGGGCTGCTCTCATCTTGGTATTCATGCGCTTCAGGGCAGGGGAAAGCAAGTCACAAAGTTCCATGAAAGTGCCCTTACGCATGCGAAAGTTTCGTAGCCACTGGGAATCGTCCCAGACCTGCAACACTATGCGGTCCCACCAGTCTGTGCTTGTTTTCCAAGCCCAGAATCGGCGTTCCACAGCATGAACCTGCCCCATTAGCACCATGATGCATGCATTGGCAGGGCCCATGCTTTCAGAGAAATCTGTGTCCATGTCCTGATCACTCACGGGACCGCGCTGACGTCGCCTCCTCGCCCGGTATCGCGTTGCCATGTTCTGGTGCTGCATATACTGCTGAATAATGCGTGTGGTGGTTAATGTGCTCCTAATTGCCAAAGTGAGCTGAGCGGGCTCCATGCTTGCCGTGGTATGGCGTCCGCACAGAAAAAAGGCGCGGAACGATTGTCTGCCGTTGCTCTGACGGAGGGAGGGGCGACTGACGACACGGCTTACAGGGTTGGCTTCAGGGAGCTAAAATCAACAAAGGGGGTGCCTGTACATCAAGGAGTATTTCAGGCAGGACTGCACGGAGGGTTCCAATAAGAAATGGTGCACCTAAGTTATCGTTGTTATTGGAACAAGGAGGTTAGCCTGGCCTCTGATTGATACATGGCTAGATTTACCTCGCTGCACCTTCTCTGTGAGTGACTGCAGTGTGACCTAGAGGAATGAGTCCCCTAGACAGGGGAGGAGGCAAATGAGTACAAAACAAATCTGGTCTATTTCTTGTTTTGACCCACTCCATCTATCTTTTACATCTTTGGCTGGCAGCAGACGGTGCAGAAGGACTGCATGCCATCCCCATCTCTTGCCTGCCTGGCAGAAGATGGTACAGTACGACTGCTAGCAGTCCGTATCGCCTGCCCGCTCACCATAAGACGGTTCAATAGGACTGACTGCAGGACTAAAGAGAATGACCTGGTCAAGGCACTCCAAATTTAGTCCCTGCGCCCATGTCTGCCCAGGCGCTCCCAGCCGACGTGGCCAGGAGCACCTCGGACACGACGAGGACGACTACCAGTCGTATTGCACCGTCTGCTGCCAGAAGGCAATGGGTTGCTGCTACTGTGCAGCAAAGCCGTACCGCGTCTGCCAGCACCCAGGAGACATAGGGTGACGGTTACCTGAGCGGGCTCCATGCTTGCTGTGGTATGGCGTCTGCACAGGTAACTCAGGAAAAAAGGCGCGAAATGATTGTCTGCCCTTGCTTTCACGGAGGGAGGGAGGGAACGGGGGCCTGACGACACGTACCCAGAACCACCCGCGACAATGTTTTAGCCCCATCAGAGTGCTCCATTGTGACTGCTCTGGACAGCACTCTCAGATGCCCGATTGTTTGCCATTGCTCTGACGCTGGGAGGGGCGCTTACAGGGTTGGCTTCAGGGAGCTAAAATCAACAAAGGGGGTGGCTTTACATCAAGGAGTATTTCAGGCAGGACTTCACGGAGGGTTCCAATAAGAAATGGTGCACCTAAGTTATTGTCCTTATTGGAGCAAGAAGGTTAGCCTGGCCTCTGATTGATACATGGCTAGATTTACCTCGCTGCACCTTCTCTGTAAGTGACTGCAGTGTGATCTAGAAGAATGAGTCCCCTAGACAGGGGAGGGGGGAAGCAAATGAGTACAAAACAAATCTGGTCTATTTCTTGTTTTGATCCACTCCATCTATCTTTTACATCTTTGGCTGGCAGCAGACGGTGCAGAAGGACTGCATGCCATCCACATCTCATGGCTGCTCGGCAGAAGATGGTACAGTACGACTGCAAGCAGTCCGTATCGCCTGCCCGCTCACCATAAGACGGTTCAATAGGACTGACTGCAGGACTAAAGAGAATGACCTGGTCAAGTCACTCCAAATTTAGTCCCTGTGCCCATGTCTGCCCAGGCGCTCCTGATCGACCTCACAGAGGCGACCAGGAGCACCTCAGACATGACGATGACGGCTACCAGTCGTACTGTACCGTCTGCTGCCACAAGGCAAGGGGTTGCTGCTACTGTGTAGCAATGCCGTACCGCGTCTGCCAGCACCCAGGAGACATAGGGTGACGGTTACCTGAGCGGGCTCCATGCTTGCCATGGTATGGCGTCTGCACAGGTAACTCAGGAAAAAAGGCGCGAAATGATTGTCTGCCCTTGCTTTCACGGGGGGAGGGAGGGAACGGGGGGCTGACGATATGTACCCAGAACCACCCGCGACAATGTTTTAGCCCCATCAGGCATTGGGATCTCAACCCAGAATTCCAATGGGCAGCGGAGACTGCGGGAACTGTGGGATAGCTACCCACAGTGCAACGCTCCGGAAGTCGACGCTTGCCTCGGTACTGTGGAAGCACTCCGCCGAGTTAATGCACTTAATGCACTTAGAGCATTTTCTGTGGGGACACACACACTCGAATTTATAAAACCGATTTCTAAAAAACCGACTTCTATAAATTCGACCTTATTCCGTAGTGTAGACATACCCTAAGTCGAAATAAAGGGCTTCATCGTGTGGATGGGTGCAGGTTTACATCGATTTAATGCTGCTAAATTCGACCTAAAGTCCTAGTGTAGACCAGGGCTTAAAGAGACTCTCTTTCTTCTGGATTTTCCAAGCTTCTTTTATTTTCTTGTTAAAGGCAGATTTTTTTTAAGAAAAAAAAAAAAGAATTACAGTATCTTAGCTATTTCTGAGTCATCGTTAATTTCACCTCCCTCTTCATTTATTAATGGACCTTCTTCCTACTGCTACTATCACCCCCACTATATCCTCCTTATCCCCTTTAGAATTAAGCATGTGAATAAGTACTTTTGATGAACTGGAGTTTAGATGTCTTAGATCCCTAAAATTTTCTTTCCTGGTATTTAATGTCCTTATACTACTACTGTTCCTGAGCCCACAGAAAACTGGTCCTGTAAAGTCCCCTCTCTTATTCCTTCTTTTGAATCAGAAGGACTTGTTTTTTCAAAATGTGTATCTTATGATGCTTTCATCAATCGAATTAATACATTCTTAGAGTTATCATGCTAATTCCCTTATTTTCAGGTAAGGCAGACTGTCCATACTTTGTAAAGGCAGAACTTCTGGCTGACTATCTGCAGATTAATTTGCCTAATTTCAAAATACACAAGATTACTCAGCATCCTGACAAGTGGGAGGTAAGGGTATTTAATTCAGTTCATTAATAGATGCCCATGTGCTTCAGGCTGAGCATGGAATGTACCTCTGATCTGTACTGTGCTTCCTTTGTTGCGCATATTAGCACCGCTTTCTGGCTCTGAAAACTACATGAGTGTCAGACACCACATTACTATTGTAGATAGTCTGGTAATCATTCTGCCATCATATTTTGTATTATGATTTGCAAATGTCCCAGACTAAGATTGTATTTTGATATTAAAATGTTAAAGAAGTTGTTATTTCCTTCAGTGTACAAATGCCTGCTTAGCCTATTACATGCTGCTGCTGTTGCGTGCCTATTTCAAATACAGTGTATCTTCCTTCTCATTCATTATTTGCCAATAAATCTCTGGAAAAGGAATTCTAGACTTCAACTTTCAGTTTCAATACTTTCAGGCACTGTAACATAAAGCCCCATTCTCATTTACTCTAAGTTCCCTTTACAAACACTTTTGTGGTGTCACATAGTACTGTCAGAGTCAGGTGATCTCTCTCATTGTTTCCTTGTGCTTACCTCTCCGTCTGTTAGTATCCATCTGTTGTCTCTTGACTTAGACGGAGGTGTTTTTTGGGTATGTTTGTACATTGCCTCACCCAATGGGGTCCTGGTCCATACTTCTAAGTGCTAGAGTAATACAACAAATACATTGTTGTAATAGCAGCCTGCTGTAAAGTATGGTTAGTGTAAATGAGAATCTGTCACTAAGTGTGTGACTGTGCAATGGATAGTGTCGGAAGTGTCCAGCTGAAGATAATTTCCTTTTTATTGTGGCTGTAATATTCTAGATCATATCTAGATTAAGCCAAACTCATTAAGAGTCAGTATTATCAAACTATTTGATGACTTATTAAATCGATTTCCGCAAATGCTTCTAATAACCAATTAAACTAAATTGGTACACACCTAGTAGAGTGCAGCACAGTGAGTAGTAGCTGTAGGTGTATGGGTGACAGTAGTTACAAAACAACATTTGATAAAATGCTGTACATTACAGAAGCTACAGTAAACAACTAGACAACTCTTTCAGCCCATCTGTAAACCAGCTTGCATCATCTATTTCAAAGCAGTTGAAATAATATTTATTAATAAAAAGAGCTACCAAAAAGACAATGGAAAAAGACAGTTGCCTCCTTCAAGTTCTTCCTTACTGAAATGGTGTTTCTTGCATGTGTTACAGAAGAATTAAATCTCTTAGATGTAATTTCCTTTATTATCTAACTGCTGGTAGCTATTCAGGGTAATGTAATATCTTACCTGCAACAGAGAGACTAGGGGAAGTTACTAGAAAAAAATCCCAGAACTATCTCATGAGGCAGACAAAGCTATAAGAGAGGTTTTACTAATGGTATCACCTCTTAGAATTTACCAAGTTCACTGCTAAACCAGCTGAGCAATACTTTTCACAATGATATGATTAAGGAGACATAAGTAGGATATTTTGTTCTCATGCTAATTAATTCCTTGCACAATACATCACATCCATCTGGTTGGTAAGGTTCCTCTGTTTTTCAAATATTCACATTTGGGAGACCTGTGAAATATCCCACAGCTGTACATTTAGATGAGAATTACTATTTTACATTGGAAAGTACCAGCAGTAATATATAAATATTGCCTTTCTGCATGTGAAAAAAATTATTAAAACTGTTTTGGGTGTGTTGCCTATAGCAGTGGCTTCATGACATCTGTGAGAAGAATGGATGGAAACACAAACGCTCGCCGATTGTTTGGAGGGAATTGTTGGATCGGGGAGGGAAGGGCCTGCTTCTGGGAGGATTTAACGATTTTATGGAGTATGCCCAGGTAACAAAACTCTCAGTACTGCTAATCCACATTTTGCAGTCTTTTCTCATTCCTTCCTCCTTTTTGAGATGCTACATAGCATTATTTTATGTGGTAAAACTTAGTGGTGTTTGGGGCCATGCTCTGATTACTGAATATCCTTTCTTCATTGTGAGCATTACTATGGCATCACCTCGGACATGCTGAGTGAGCAGATGCTGAGAATTGCTGAAGAGAACTTGCAGACCCATATAGAAATTGAGAAAGAGGAGGAATATATTAAAAGTCTTATCAAACCCTTGCAGATCTGGATCAGCAGGTGAGAAAGCAAAAGCACAGTAATATTCATTCGGCTTTAGAATAATGCATTTCTTCTCAGTCTTCCTTCAGGTGATTAAATGAATGTTGGGCTTGCACATATACATTTTGTTATTTACTGAGGTACATAGGATTTTAAAGGAACACTTTACAAATTTATCTTTTTTTGTAAATTCTAAGCCTTAAAACACATAAAAGGGATATCAGAAGTTGGTGTTAACTAAATTTTAATGTAAATTAAAAAGCTTTTTTTTGTAAAACATTGTCCATAGCTGTAGTAATTTATTTAAAAAAATACTATAAATAAAGCACTAAATTGTTCAAATACATGCTGATTCGTTTACTTGGAATAGGTTGTATATAGTCAGTCATTTTTACTGCACTCATCACTATTGTTTATGGGCAGTCAGTAAATATTCCAGAAGGTATTTATGTTTTGTTTGCAGCTTCTAACCCACACACCCCCAAACTCAATCTTTCTTGTGCCCTCTTCTCTCCTCCCTCCCCCCCCAAAAAAAACCTGGTAAGGTGATATGAACTTAAAGGGACACTTTTGGGCCAAATTTAGCCCCCAAATGACCTTTGGAAAAGGTTTACATATTTACAGTAGCAGAACCCAATAGAAATATTTTGATGAAATGTTTTATTTTAAAACAGAGGAAATTTTTACATGAATAAATATTCCCATATAGTGTTGGTAATCCAAACATTGCAACATTATGCTAATACATGAATAGCAAAAATGAAGTTTACTAGAAACAAAAGAAAAACTGATTAGTTTATTTACACTGTCCTCCATAACGGAAATGCAAAAAGGAAACAAGCAGCAAACAAGAGTAAATTAGACTTAAAAATTCTTGCACATTTATTAATTTGTTGGATTTTTTTAAATCTGACAGTATACCTTTAAGTGAAAGGAAGCCTGATCTGTATTAATTTTTAACTTTTTGTTATGAAAGCAAGACTGAAATGATCTAAGGTAATAGATCATTTGAATATCAACTACAAGACTGAGTTCTTTGTACTGTAAAATGTATTCTAAAAATGGATGACAAACGGCAGTATTTACTGGTTAACAAAGATTTTCCATATCTAAATTTTCTCATCAGTGCATCAGCTCCTGCCTGCTACAACCTGATTCCATTATTGGCCAATGGAGAAGTGTTTGGGATGGCAACAGAAGTTAGCATCCATCTGCTCGACAGTAGCCATTACAAGGAAATTCTGCATGGTATTGTAATGGAGGCTCAAGACTTAGCATTCCCTCTCCTTCGCAGTGTCTCAATGCACACTGAATTAGAGGATGCCTTTGTTCAGGCTGATATTGTTATTTTGCTTGATGACCTCCTCTTACAACACGAGATCCCATCACTGGAAGACTGCATCAGACAGGTGACTGAGCAATGTAAGGTGTACGGTTCCCTGATTGAGAAGAATGCCAACAGCAGTGTCAAAGTTATTGTGTCAGGAAAAACCTTTGTGAACCTTAAAGCATTAATGATTATGACATTTGCCCCATCTATTGATGGCCAGAATATTATCGCCATGGCAATGTTCTTGGAAAGCGCAGCTAAAGCTATGCTGGCCAGGAAACTGAATATGAATTCAGCAGGTGAGTAATTTGTACTCTTCAATATCAGTCACAATCTGGGAACTTCAAATCAGGATGCAGTTGGAGTATATGAAAAACACAAGTACACCTATTACATCTGCAAATGTAGATATTTATAAATACAATGGGTGCACACATTTTTTGCAGGTGCAATCACAGCCTCTTTGAAGTTAATATGTTAAATATCCTATTATTTGGGGAATTGACCAGGTATTTCTTATTTTGGTGTTCACCAAAGCAGTTTGATATTTTATATAATTATCTTGTACAGGTCACCATTAAGACTAAGTGTCTAAGGCTTTAAAAGTAACATTACCATGTTTGCGATTTGTTAAATAGGCACTACAATATACACTCATGTATACAATAGCATTAGATATGTTAGAGTTCCTTCTTCAATTTGTGTCTGGGTTTCATACATTAAGTTTTTTGTTATTGTAGCAATTTTGAGGTAAAATGACTCCTGCTACTAGGCAGTAGACATTTAAAACAATATCTTTCTGGTCACTCGTCATTATATATTCTTCTTTGTTACAGGAGTCAAAGATGTGATTGTTTGGGGTAATATCAGTGGCAATAACTACATTGATCTGTCTAAAGCAAAAGTTTACAGATATGATAGTGCTATCTGGGGTCCACCTAACTTTTCACACCGTTTGCTGGACATGATCTATGATGGGTACAGTATACATTTATTTTTCATTTTGATCGTTTAAATGTTACCCTTTTAAAATCCATATCAACCTGAGGCCGCTCATGAATACATGGAGATTAGTATAATTAAAGATGACACTTTCTAGCATAATATTAAAGGGACACAAATCAACTTGAAATAGAGTCATTTCCCAAAAATGAGGGAAAGTAGTTTCATGAACTACATTTCTCTATTCCCTGCCAATTTTTGTGATTAAAAAGTAGGAAAATTGATTGTATAATTTTTTTTCTCTCCCACATTACCATATAAAGGACTAGAGAAACAAGGAACACTCACTATGAACCAGATTTTTAAAGGTATTTAGGCACCTAAAGAAGCATATAGGCACCTAGAGGGATTTTCAAAAGTGCCCAAGTGAGGTAGGCACCTAGGTCCAGATCCACAAAGGTGCTTAGGCACCTAAAGTCCATTTTTACAAACCACAGCAATCCACAGCATCCTGCTCAACCCTGTAGACTCCTAAACTCACTCAGTGAGTATGTTTTTGCAGTTAACATTCTGAAAGTGCCTAGGTTTCTGCCTCTGGGTATGCACACTGCTGCCTGACTTTAGGCATCCATGTGTGGACCTCCCACTTAAGCCCCAATACAATCCACAAACTGGGAGAAGATAGGCCCTCCTCCACTTAACTGGCACGTGGGGCCTCATTCAGTATGTATGCTCAGAGGCTGCCTAACTCCACACAAGACAGCTGGGGTAGAGAGGGAAGGACTTCCCTTAGACCCTAGCCATCTAAGTTAAAGGTTATTAATCTGGGATGTGAGGAGACAGGATTTGAACATGGATCTACCACCTCTCAGGAAAGTACTCACACCACTGGGCTACAGGAAATTCTGATGTGGGGCGCCCTCAATCTCTCCTGTTGAAATTATTCCATTTTAAATTAAAAAATTGACTATTAAAAGGGCCAGAGAGTGTGAGACTGACTCTGTAGCCCAATGGTCAGGACACTCACCTGGGAAATGGCAAACTCCTGTTCAGACCCCTTCTCCGCAGGCAGAAGAGGGACTTGAACTGGTGGTCTCTCACAGCCCAGGAATGGTCTAACCTCTGGGCTAAAGGTTATAAGAGGGAGCCTACTCCATTAGCTACCTTTGTATGGAGTTAGTCAGCCTCTAAGCTCATCTATCAAATAGACCCTGCACTTGAATTAGGCAAAGGAGCACCTATCTTTCCTTGGTTCATGGATCACTAGAAGAAATAGGCAGCTATCTCCAGGAGAGGGGAGTGATGCTTAGGCTATACCACTCTCCTTCACATCTCCCACTGGTTAGGTTAGGCAGCTCCCTACCTAGCATACTAGGTTTGTGGAGCTCATGCTTATTGGGGTAGCCTCCAAGACCTCTTGCACTCGGTTCCCCCAAGAACTCAGGCACCAGTCTCACTCAGGTTTTGTGAATTTTTTTTGTTTTTTTTTAAATTTGGCATACAGCAAAGCTACACTGAGTTGATCAGACAAATGTAGCCAGTGGGTACAGGGTATATCATGCACCCAAAGTTACACAGAAACCCCCCTTCCTTTACATACACATTTACACATCACATTAATTTACTATACACAGCATCATGTTTTGGTATTGGCTTTATTACTTTGCAGGAACCAATCATTGTACAGCATGCTCGGTCCACGTGCTGTCAGTGTTTGACTTACTCTTTACCTCACCTTACATTCCAGGCTTATTTTATACATTGTTGTCTTGTCCATTGTAAATGATTCCCTGGATGTTCCCCCTTATCTTAGTTAGTACAGACATTGTTTCCAGCCTGCTAATCCATTTACCTCCCTCATTTCTTGGGAGACAGAATTAGGCCTCGCTTCTGTCCAGTTACTCATGTCAAGTGAGGCCTACAATGCTAAGGTGCCTGTCTCCCCTCATGCATTGTACAGGGAGTCTTGGCACCTAACCCAGGCTTTGCGGATCACAGTGCTGTTCCTGTGATTTTCTAGGTGCCTAAAAGTTAGAGGCTTTGATGATCGTTGTCACAACATCTAAGTCCCTTTGTGGATCCAGGCCCTAATCTCTATTGACAAACCAGCTAAGGCATCTGTCTACATCTTTATGTGCCTAAATCCCTTTGAAAACCTGGCTTTATTAACTTGACAGCACTAGTCAAACAATCTGTGTTCTGAGGGGATCCTGCAGCCACAAGGGAGCAGCGGAGATGTTATGATCAAGGTTTTGCAGATTCAGCACATTCCCCTGATTACCTCCACCAAAAGGGCCTTATGGAGTCCCCACTACAGTTTAGAATGCTGAAAGAAGGCATTTGAATAAATGACCTGCACCACTCTTCACCTCCGACAACCAGGCCACTTTTACCTCTGTGCTTTTATCTATAGCTGTAGGTGACTAGCTTTAAGCACTCAAGATTGAATTAGTCCAGCGGTTCTCAAACTGTGGGTTGGGACCCCAGAGTGGGGCATGACCCCATTTTAATGGGGTCCCCAGAGCTAGCTTACATTTTCTGGGACTTGGGGCTGAAGCCCGGGGCCAAAGCCCAAGGGATTCATCCCTGGGCATCGGGGCTCAGGTTACAGGCCCCCTGGCTGGGGCTGAAGCCCTTGGGCTTCGGCTTTGACCCCTACCTTGCGTAGGCAATGGGGCTTTGTCTTTGGCTCCCTACCCAGGGCAGTGGAAATCAGGCAGACTCAAGCTTTGGTACCTTCTCCTGGGGTCGTGTAGTAATTTTGCTGTCAGAAAGGGGTCATGGTGCAGTGAAGTTTGAGAACCCCTGTTTGAGAACTGTATTGGTCCATACTGACATCTCCGACTGTCTTTCATTCTTATTTAATCTAGAAGACTACCTGATCTTGAGTCTGCCATAGTGATATTTAAAAATCTCTCCTTTCTTGATGGCAGCAACTGGGTGCGTTCAGAATTTGTGTCTGTACTGAGTTCCCTGGAGCATCACTGCTTAGGCATGTCACCTGCTCATGTAATAGCTACTGTGCTGAGATACTGGTATCAAGACTCTCCTCCCGGGGAGATTGTCTCAATGGGAATACTCAGCGAAGGTAAATTTCTATTTGTAGTTCACATATACTGAGAAGATTTCTCTTTACTTTCCTTCAGTAAGCGTAATAGTAATTTTTGTATTCAGATCTTTAACAATTTTCAATTAAATCATGATTCTCTGAGTATAACAATTTTCTTAATACAAGAGCTTCCAAATCTAAGAAATGATTCTACCAAGAACCTAGAATGTTGTATGTAATTTTGTGAGATGCATGTAAAAAGTACTCAGGTGTTTTTGTGGTTTCATTTTCTTTTCCCTCTAGTTTAACCCACTAATTCAATTGATTTTATTTAGTCACTGCTTTGTGGAAAGGATTTTTATATTCTTTAGTGATTCTTTGGGCTACATTTTGAAAGAATGTCCTTTAACTGTGATTATGAGTCCAAATACATTTAGTAATATTTTCATAAGTGCCATTTAAAGCACAGATGGAAATAAGGAATTTTGCATACCTAGTGTTAAGTAAGGTACACAATGATTTTGTGGATTTCTAATTAAAACTTGCAGTCATGATAAATCAGGGAGTTCAGTGTTCTTTGTATTGTAAACTGAGAAAGGCAATAATCTGTTTATTTTAAGGTTTTACACTGCTACTCACCACTACCGAATTTGAGCACATCATTGTGCGTTTTAATCAGAAAGAAACATGTTTTGGGGGCATTTTTTCTTTAGGTCAATTTTGTATCCCTGAAGGGATTATCTTCTCCATGCCTGTGAGGTTCCAAGATGGTAGCTGGGAGGTCATTACAGAAACAGAAATTGATGAAGAAACTCAAGAAACTCTGAAGCATTTAGCCCATGATCTGATACAGGTGATGTATTATTTCCATTCAACAATCTATGGGTGCTCTACTCACTGCTTGGAAGCGCCTCCTCCTGGCTTCTTCTGGGATTAACACTGACAGGCCAATGCCCCTTCCTGCAGTTGCACTCTGTCACTCTGCAGCCTCTCTCTCCAGCTTCCTCTTTGTGACTCAGTCCTCCAGTCAGGTCACTAAGTGGTTCACCTTCTGAACTATCAAAATCTTTCCATACCAACAGCTTCAGGAAGTTCCCCAGTGGCTAGTAGGGGAACCCTGGCCCGCCAACTACTTTGGATTCCAGTCCAGAGACCTATCTCTAGCAACCATAGCCTGCTCACTTCCGGACCATGTTGCTCTTTCCCAGACTCCTTCCTACATCTTTCTACTTCTCAGCTCTACCTTATGGCTCCCTCCTCCCAGGGCGTAACTGTAGGCTACATAGCATTGTAGCCTCAAATACACCTCCCTACTCCCAAGGAGTGACAGCAGACTACTCCCCTGCAGCCCCTTTCTGCTGCCAGCTTCCTGGCTTTATCCTAGGCCCTCCTTTTCCTTTTCAGATGGGTGCTGTCATCATTCAGGGGATTAATTAGGCCACCTAATTCCCCTCAGCTGTGACCTAGCTGGTTAATTGGCCCTTTCTCAGCCTCATTAACACTTTCCAGGCTGGTATGGGGTTAACACCCCATCAAAGGTTGTATTATAGTTTTGGATGCTGAGACCCATCTGCCAAACGAGACCCCTACAAAATGCACACATACTGTTGAATATACAAAAATCTCATAGTGGCATGTGTAAACTAGCATTTATGTATACAGATTGGGCAACTGAGCAACTAATTGCCTATTAGCACATATTAATAATAGTTAACATGAGCCAATACAGATTTTGCACCCACAAGTTTGTGTGTTTTGTACTGTGCAGGACAGAAAATTATGCCTTAATTTTCCAGTTGTATTCTGAGTGGCTGATTGGACCATTTTGTTTTGGCTTTACCATATTTATGATAGTACCATGGCACACTGACTGTCCGCTGGTATGACTGTGGTGTGCCATATGTGCAAATACTGAAAGTTTTTTCAAATACTGGGTTTTTTCAAAGCCTAGAATTTCTCATAAAACACAAAATAAGCTAACAGCAATTTCTTTTCAGTGTTTCATTCACAATAAGTTGAAAATTTTTATTAATGTTGAATACAAGAGGACTGATCTCAAACACTTCACTTTAACATCATTCATTTTTTTTCCTTTTTAGTCATGTTAATAGTACAGAGGGGGTATCTTCATCACATTTTAAATTCGTGCTAGAAATTGTATTTGTTGTAAATAGTATATGATAATAAAGCTCTCTTTCTCATGTAGGAAAAACAAGTTGCACTAGGAGAAATACCTGAAATGCGTCCATATAAAGGTAAAACCATAAATAGTAAACATTGGTTTAAAGCTGTGTCATATAACAGAGGACATAAAATAAGATTTTGAGGGGGATTTAAAGTAATGGGTGTGATGATTGAGTTGTATGATTATTTTTCTTTTTCAATGAATTAAAATTCTGCCTTCTGGATTCCTGAAGTTATTTTAAGTGCTGGTATTAAGGGTCCTGATCCTACCATATTGTTGTAATCTCATAGCCCTTAGAGAGTGCAAGACTGGATGGTGGCAGTCATGTTTTGGTTTGTTGATCTTCTAGCATTCAGAGACTATGAACATCATCACTTGAGTTGGGATGTAGAATTTATATCTTGTCATTGTTTAATTTTGAACATTAAGCCTCTTTCCATATTGAAATGACTAATTGGAAAATACTTTTGCCATATGTCTTGGTTAATGTTTTTGAAGCCACTCTGGTATATCATGGGCTCTTTTGGCCTCTTTGTTAACCACCTGCCATTAAAAAAAAGGGGGGGGGAACCACAGATGCAGAAAGGGCTGTTGTAAATGTGAATTTGAATCTTTTCATTTGGATGTTTTTTACAGAAACTGCATTTAATGGCTTCAATCTGCTAGCGCTTCTAGAAGAGGAAAACTTTCAAACATCCCCAAAGGGTAGGCTAATAAACATGATAGTAGCCCCAATTATTTCAGGGAAGTTAAATCCAATATTTCACTGTTACATCTTGTCACTTCCTCAGGAGGTCCCAATTACAAGAAATGAGAGATCTTTTATACCAGCACTAAGTTACTGATCCACTTGGCTTCACTTAAAGTAAAATTCCTAGGTTACCATGACAGAGTTCAAGTGCATAACCACATAAACCGAACCCTATCAATACTTACAGAAAATTCAGTATCTCTTCTCTACTTTGGGAGTTTGAGAGATGAACAGGATTCGTTTGGCGGGACCTGCAAACCACATCACAATGCCATGACAAACTCTTGAGCCTTCCCCAATCTATTTTTCCCATCCACAATACAAGGCCAAGTCCTAATCCACTTCTTCCAATGCTTCATTTCCCACCAGTTTTGCTACTTGGATTCTCTGCCCTGTCACTTCAGGATGATTACATTAGGGAAAAAAGAAAGAGCATCCATTAAATTTGAAAATTTCCTAACCTGAAAGCTGTGTGTTCTTGGGGTTTATTCTGTTTTCCCTTTTTTTTCTCCCCTTCCTTCCATCTCCAAGTTTTATTTTCTTAGCTACCATTCCATGTTCTCTTTTTTCATCTTTTTAAACTACAGTTCTCTCTCAATTTTAGTTTTTACTCTTTCCATGTCTCCCTCCCTCTTCCTTTGTGTCATTTCCCTTTCTCACAATCCCTCTCTCCCTGGATTCTTCTCATTTCCACTGAGTTTCTCCTATCTTATTTCTCAGTCCCCCAAATCTCTTTCCTCTTGGGCCTGGTCTACACTACGAGTTTAGGTTGAATTTAGCAGTGTTATCTTGATTTAACCCTGCACCCGTCCACAAGACGAAGCTCTTTTTTTTCCAACTTAAAAGGCTCTTAAAGTCGATTTCTTTTCTCCACCCCTGACAAGGGGATTAGTGCTGAAATTGGCCTTGCCAGGTCGAATTTGGAATACTGTGGATGCAATTCGACAGTATTGGCCTCCGGGAGTTATCCCAGAGTGCTCAGTTGTGACCGCTCTGGACAGCGCTGTCAACTCAGATGCACTGGCCAGGTACACAGGAAAAGGCCTGCAAACTTTTGAATCTCATTTCCTGTTTGGCCAGCAAGGCGAGCTCACCTGCACAGGTCACCATACAGAGCTCATCATCACAGGAGTCCCAGAATCACCGAAGAGCTCCAGCATGGACCAAATGGGAGGTACGGGATCTGATCGCTGTATGGGGAGACAAATCCATTCTGGCAGAACTCCGTTCGAAAAGACGAAATGCCAAAATATTTGAAAAAATCTCCAATGGCTATAACAGGGACCTGCAGCAGTGCGGTGTGAAAATTAAGGAGCTCAGGCGAGCCTACCAAAAAACCTGAGAGGCAAATGGCCACTCCGGTTCAGAGCCACAGACATGCCGCTTCCGTGATGAGCTGCATGCCATTCTAGGGGGTGCAGCCACCACTACCCGAACCCTGTGCTTTGACTCTGTCCAAGGGGTGGGAGGCAACAGGGAAGCAGGTTCTGGGGGCAAGGAAGATGATGATGAGGAGGAGGTTGTAGATAGCTCACAGCAAGGAAGTGGAGAAATTGGTTTCCCCAACAGCCAGGATCTGTGTATCACCCTGGACCCAGTATCCCCCGAATCCACCCAAGGCGGGCTCCCGGACCCTGAAGGCAGAGAAGGGACCTCTGGTGAGTGTACCTTTGTAAATATTATAGATGGTTTAAAAGCAAGCTTGTTTAATGATTAATTTGCCCTAGCATTCGCGGCCAGTACAGCTACTGGAAAAGTCTGTTAACGTGTCTGGGGATGGAGCAGAAATCCTCCAGGGACATCTACATAAAGCTCTCCTGGATGTATTCCCAAAGTCTTTGCAAAAGGTTTCTGGGGAGGGCAGCCTTATTCCGTCCTCCATGGTAGGACACTTTACCACGCCAGGCCAGTAGCACGTAGTCGGGAATCATTGCAGAACAAAGCATTGCAGCGTATGGTCCCGGTGTTTGCTGGCATTCAAACAACATCCGTTCTTTGTCTCTCTGTGTTACCCTCAGGAGAGTGATATCATTCATGGTCACCTGGTTGAAATAGGGTGGTTTTAGTAAGCGGACATTCAGAGGTGCCCATTCCTGCTGGGCTGTTTGCCTGTGGCTGAACAGAAATCTTCCCTGCTGTTAGCCACGCGGTGGGGGGAGGGGTAAAGCAATCATCCCAGAAAATTGGGTGTGTGTGTTTGTGTGGGAGGGTTAGTTGGGTTTCTGCTGCACGTGAACCCGGAAACCGCAGCCCCTCGTTTTAAATTGCCAACCCATTTTTAATGGCCAACCCAATGGCTACTTTGTATGGGAAATGAGGGCACTGCTGTTTGAAACCATTCCCACATGTTATGAAGGTTAAAGAAGCCAAAAGACTGTGACTTACCATGGCTGCCTGCAAGGCGAATTCTGTTGCCCAGCCCTGCGTGAGTGATCTCTCACGCCAAACCGGCATATCCTCAATAAGAGGCAAAATGTGACCTTGTAATGAAAGCACATGTGCTATGTAATGTTAACAGCAAAGTTTACTTTCAAAGAGTGTACCCATTGTTCTATAAAATGTGTCTTTTTAACTACCACTCTCCCTTTTTTTTTTCCTCTACCAGCTGCGTATGTTTCTCCTTCCCAGAGGCTAGCGAAGATTAGAAGGCGAAAAAAACACACTCGTGATGAAATATTCTCTGACCTCATGCTGTCCTCCCACACTGACAGAGCACAGCAAAATATGTGGCGGCAGACAATCTCAGAGTGCAGGAAAACACAATATGACCACGAGGAGAGGTGGCGGGCTGAAGATGGTAGGTGGTGTCAGCTTGCTGAAAGAAGGCAGGAGTCAATGCTCAGGCTGCTGGAGGATCAAACTCATATGCTCCAGCATATGGTTGAGCTGCAGGAAAGGCAGCAGGAGCGCAGAGCGCCTCTACAGCCCCTGTGTAACCAACCGCCCTCCTCCCCAAGTTCCATAGCCTCCTCACCCAGATGCCCAAGAATGCGGTGGGGGGGGGGCCTACGGCCACCCAGCCACTCCACCCCAGAGGATTGCCCAAGCAACAGAAGGCTGGCATTTAATAAGTTTTAAAGTTTTAAAGTGCTGTGTGGCCTTGTCCTTCCCTCCTCCACCACCCCACCCGGTGCTTCCCTCCTCCACCACCCCTCCCGGGCTACCTTGGCAGTTATCCCCCTATTTGTGTGATGAATAAATAAAGAATGCATGAATGTGTAGCAACAATGACTTTATTGCCTCTGAAAGCGGTGATCGAAGCGGGGAGGGTGCTTAGCTTACAGGAAAGTAGAGTGAACCCAGGGGGGATTTCCATCAAGGAGAAACAAACAGAATTTTCACACCGTAGCCTGGTCATTCCTGAAACTGGTTTTCAAAGCTTCTCTGATGCACACCACGCCCTCCTGTACTCTTCTAACCACCCTGGTGTCTGGCTGCGCGTAATCAGCAGCCAGGCGATTTGCCTCAACCTCCCACCCCGCCATAAATGTCTCCCCCTTACTCTCACAGGTATTGTGGAGCGCACAGCAAGCAGTAATAACAGTGGGAATATTGGTTTCGCTGAGGTCTAACCAAGTCAGTAAACTGCGCCAGTGCGCTTTTAAATGTCCAAATGCACATTCTACCACCATTCTGCACTTGCTCAGCCTGTAGCTGAACAGCTCCTGACTACTGTGCAGGGTGCCTGAGTATGGCTTCATGAGCCATGGCATTAAGGGATAGGCTGGGTCCCCAAGGATAACTATAGGCATTTCAACATCCCCAACAGTTATTTTCTGGTCTGGAAAGTAAGTCCCTTGCTACAGCTGTTGAAACAGACCAGAGTTCCTGAAGATGCGAGCATCATGTACCTTTCCCGGCCATCACAGGTTGATGTTGGTGAAACGTCCCTTGTGATCCACCAGTGCTTGCAGCACCATTGAAAAGTACCCCTTGAGGTTTATGTACGCGCTGCCTTGGTGCTCCGGTGCCAAGGTAGGGATATGGGTTCCATCTATCTCCCCACCACAGTTCAGGAATCCCATTGCAGCAAAGCCATCCACTATGACCTGCACATTTCCCAGAGTCACTACCCTTGATATCAGCAGCTCAGTGATAGTATTGGCTACTTGCATCACAGCAGCCCCCACAGTAGATTTGCCCACTCCAAATTGACTCCCGACTGACCGGTAGCTGTCTGGCGGTGCAAGCTTCCACAGGGCTACCGCCACTCACTTGTGAACTGTGAGGGTTGCTCTCATCTTGGTGTTCTTGTGGTTCAGGCAGGGGAAAGCAAGTCACAAAGTTCCATGGAACTGCCCTTACACATGCGAAAGTTTCGCAACCACTGGGAATCGTCCCAGACCTGCAACACTATGCGGTCCCACCACTCTGTGCTTGTTTCCCGGCCCCAGAATCGGCGTTCCACCGCATGAACCTGCCCAACTGACACCATGATGTGCACATTGCAGGGGCCTGTACTTCGTGAGAAGTCTATGTCCTCATCACTCTCGTCACCGCGCTGCAGTCGTCTCCTCCTCGCCTGGTTTCACTTTTCTTGCAGGTTATGGTTCTGCATATCCTGCTGGATAATGCGCGCAGTGTTTATAGTGCTCATAATTGCCGCAGTGATCTGAGCGGGCTCCTTGTTCCCAGTGCTATGGCATCTGCGCTGAAAAAAGGTGCGAAACAATTGTCTGCCGTTGCTCTGATGGAGGAAGGGGCGACTGACAACATGGCTTACAGGGTTGGCTTACAGGGAATTAAAATCAACAAAGGGGGTGGCTTTGCATCAAGGAGAAACAGAATAGCCCCCTCAAGGATAGAACTCAGAACTCTGGGTTTAGCAGGCCATTGATTTCACGGAGGGAAGGAGGAAGGGGGGAGAAAATGAATACAAAACAAATCTGGTCTATTTCTTGTTTTGATTCACTTCATCTATCTTTATATATCTTGCTGGCAGCAGACGGTGCAGTACGACTGCTGGCCATCGTCATCTCCTGGGTGCTCATTAGAAGACGGTGCAGTACGATTGCTGGCAGGACTGAATCACCATGAGACGAAACTTAAGAGGAAAATGACCTGGCTGAGTCACTCCCATGTTTGCCCAGGCGCCCCTGACTGACCTAAGAGCATCCTGGAGTATGGCGACGATGGCTACCAGTCATACTGCACTGTCTGCTGCCAAAAGGCAATGAGCTGCTATTGTGTAGCAATACTAGTACCACGTCTGCCAGCACGCAGCAGACATATGGTGACGCTGAGCTGAGCGGGCTCCATGCTTGCCGTGCTATGGCGTCTGCACGGGTAACCCAGGAAAAAAGGCACGAAAGGATTGTCTGCCGTTGCTTTCATGGAGGGAAGGAAGTGGGGGGCTGACAATATGTACCCAGAACCACCCGTGACAATGTTTTTGCCCCATCAGGCATTGGGATTTCTACCCAGAATTCAAATGGGCGGCAGAGACTGTGGGAACTGTGGGATAGCTACCCACAGTGCAACGCTCTGGAAGTCGACGGTTGCCTTGGTACTGCGGATGCACTCCGCCGACTAAATGCACTTAGAGCATTTGTGTGGGGACACAACAATCGACTGTATAAAAACGCTTTCTACAAAACCGACTTCTATAAATTCAACCTAATTTCGTAGTGTAGACATAGCCTTGTTCTCATAATGCCCCAGCTATCTCCTTTCCCTTATGCAGGTGCTGCTATTTCTCCTGGTCCTAAATTGCTTTCCCTCTCTCAGATCCCCTCAAATTCCTTCTCTTTCAGGTCATATCAACTCTCTTTTCCCAGAAAACTTTTCTTCTTTACCATCCACTTTATAGATGCACATACTGGGAAACAGGAAGAGGAATGGGAGTGGTATCTCTGCAGCTCCACACCTCCAGTGACCACCTGAGTATTCTGGTCTCTCATCATAGTCCACAGCTCCAGTGATGAATTCTTGATTTATGAAGGGCTCAGTGGTCCGCTCTGGCCACATCCTGGTGCTCTCCGAGATAGACTTAAAGTGAGAACAGGACTCTTCCTACCTGGCTGCCACCTTTTGCAAAACTTCCTCATCCTTTGTGGCAAGAGAGGGCACACTGGCAGCTCAGCAGAGGAGCAACTCAGCTACAGGCAGTCAGCTAGCTAGTAGTAACCTAAATACTCAATTGGTGGAGAACCCTGCAAGTCAAGTTTTCCTGAGGCTTTGGGGGTCTTAGAATCAAATCTTCATAGCATCATATTATTCAGATAATAGCAAACATATCAAAATTCTTTTCCTGTAGCCCTGCATATTTAAATATGAGGAGATGTGTGTTTTAAAATACACAGCATTCTATTATTTTGTTTGTTACAGACCTGGACACCTTATCCAATGGCTTACTTCAGCCAGAGACCCAGGAAGGAGAAAAAGTCCAAACAACCACTGATGGTAAACTATATGTTCCAGAATATTATAGTTTCTACAACATTTCCCTTATTGATAACATCTGAAGGCTGGAGCTCTTTATGCAGAAGCAGGTTGAAAAACAATGCAAATGTGACATTCCCAGACAAGAGGGCAAAGCGTCTTGTGTGAAATCCTGGGCCCACTGAAGTCAGTGAGGCCAGGATTTCACCTTTTATGTTTAATGATTTGTAGCCATGTAGGCCAACAAACTATTAAAAACCTTCCTTTGTTGTCCAAAATATTCACATTTGGGTTTACTGAACAATGGTATTCATGGATAAAAAGAAGTGTTTCACAGCCCCAAGCTACTGCCTCCTGAGGAGGCCAGATATAATACATGACAACTCCTTTGTAAGAATATATATATAAACAAGAAGGCATAGTTAAGGTTGAGCTTTCTTTGTCCTTTCTCTGTGAAGGTTTTATGTACCCAATTTTAGGTTTTTTGGTGAAATACATAATTACAAACACACTCACCTGAAAACATTCAAGAAAATATGTATAAAATCAATTTCCAATACCTGTAGGTCCTCCTGAGAAATTGGTCCTTAGGATGGTCATTCCAATCCAACTGCAAATTGTTAACCAAAGTTGTCTTACTGCTTTGTAATTTATCATTCGTGATCATAAAACAAGTGATGATATCCAAAAGCTCAACTTGACATAACATATATGAAGGTGAAACATGAGACTACACTATCATAACTGATCACATTTTCAAAAATCTCCACATCCTCTTGAAACCCTCCCTGCTAAGCAGAATATCATCAGTATCTTACTTATATTAAATACCACTAAAGAGAAGTAGCTTGTTCCACCAACCAAGAAATATATGTAAATGATAACAAATGTTGCCTCTATTACTGTATCCTATTAGGATCTGAACCGAAGTCCAATGGGAGTCTTTTTCCTTGATTTCAATGGGCTATTTGGGGCCTTTAATGAAGAGAGAGGGGCTTATTGAGCAAAAAATACATATACTGTTTAATATCAATGAGGCCAAGGGGACTCCTCACTGAAATGCTGAAAGACCCTTCTAATACCCTTTTCTCCTCCTCAATACTATTAGACACAAACCAGGCAAATCAGAGAATAGGGGAAGAGCATGAAAAATGAGAATTAACTCACTCATGAATGTAAAGCATTTCATCCTCTAATTCTGTTTAGTGTGGAAGCTGAAGCTTCTTCCAGTGACTTATTTCAGCCAGGGACCCTAGAAGGAGAAAAATTCCAAACTCCCACCAAGGATATGCCAAGAGGCTTAATTAAAAATGATCTTTTTTTGTTCATGGTCAAAAGAATTCACAATCTACTGTCACATTTCCTTCTTGCTTGCACCTGCGCCCGATACCTTTTCTTTCAGTTTCTCTGTCTCTCCACATACTGCTTCCTTTATGTACATCATAGTGCATAAACTGTGAACTTAGTTCTTCAATTAATGAATGCATGTTTTTAGCCGACAGATACCTAGACTCATTATGGCTTTGGAGTTCCTTATAAGCAGAATTATAAACCCTTACATCTAAAACAGTGTGGTCTAGTTGCTAAAAAATTAGATTGAGAGTTCTGCTCCTGTGCTCTTACGCTGACGCGGTCTATGGTTTTTGACAAATCACTGAGGCCAGCATTTTCAAAAGTGGTCACTGATTTGGGGTGCCCACCTTTAGACACGGGGGCCTGATTTCCAGAATTTTTGAACATCCATCACTCCATTAGTTTCAGTTAGAATTGTGAATGCTCAGCACTTCTAAAAATCGGACCCAAGAAATCTGAAATTGGGCACCTAAGAACCAAGGCTCCAAAAATCAGTGACTGCTTTTGGAGAAATGGGCCTTTCCCTAACTGTATCATCAGTTTTTTCATGTATAAAATGATAGTTAGCCACATTTGTAAAGCATTGTGACTACACAAGTATTAAGTATTATTATTTATTATTCACATAGAGGCTATTGGCAAGCCAGCCTGTTTCTAAACATTGTTCAGTATTTAGACTAGACACCTAGCTATCTAAAAATGACTGTCTTCTCAGGAAGTTCTAAGTGCGATTGATATCCATTTATACATTTTAGGACCAAATATCACAAATAACATGTGTTTGGGTAACACATCGCATGACAAAAGTCAAATGAGGATCCTCTATTTTATTCAAAGAATGTCAGTTTTTCTGAAGGGTTTTCCATATCTAAGCACCTCATACGCATTATTGATTGAATGGCCAAGGCAAGGTCACGCAGGAAATCTGTACCAGAAATAGGATCAGAATCTACTGAGTCCCTGCCCAGTGCATTAGCCGCAGTTAGCCTTCCTCTCCTCATTCAGTTCTAATCTGTTCCACATCTCATCTTCCTAAAGCCTCAGCCCTGGTCTATACTACAAACTTATGTAGGTATAACTTCATCGTTCAGGGGTGTGGTTTTTCCGTTTAGTCCTTTCATTTTGTTTGTTACAGAACCTGAAGCTCCACCCAATGAGTTACTTCAGTCAGAGATGCTGGAAGAAGAAAAAGTCCAAGTGCCCATAGATGGTAGGCCAAGATGCCTAAATACAATTTTTTTTTATTGTTCATAATGTTCAAATTGTAGCTCTTAACACCTTTTGACACACCTGAATACAAATCCTCAACTTTTCACAGGGGGCTAGAAACAAAATAATGGAAAACTTTTGTAAGTAAACAGGATAGCAAAATACCAGGTCTAAATAGTTTATTCAATCACTGACCCAGTTGGTTTAATTTAAAACAGAATATAAAGATTTATCCATTCAGTTAAATGGAAAATGTACCATAAACAAGCAAAGCAGGTATTAATAGCTTCTCAGTGGGGATTGTTGGTAGCTGAGCACTTTTGAAAGTCTGGCCACATCATTTAGGTGCCTATCTGGGAGATGAGCGCTTTGGAAAACCTGGCCAGTGAATTTTACTTGCCCCCTAAGGGAATGTCTACGCATCGGCTAGGAGATGTGATTCCCAGCTCAGGTAGACATACATGTACTGGCTACTTTAAGATGGAAATTTCCACGGAGAGCGTGATCTGGCTCCTACAGACCATCAGAAAACCAAGAACAAATAGGGAGAAACTCCAAAAAAGAGAACGTCTTGTAAACCTAAAATATTTTAAATTTGTTTTTACAGATCCTGAAACTTCATCTGAGGGCTTAAATCAATCAGAGACCAGTCTGAGCAATGCAGAAAACAATGAAAACCCTTAAATAATTTCTGATCAAGTAAACTACAGCAAGGGATATGCTATAGTGCCTGGAACATATTATTTCTGTGATCTGGCAGAGACTGATTCACAGCTTTGAAACTTCACAGGTTTTCTTTTGTGGTAGTTATGAAAGAATGTATAGGAACTGGCACATTTAAAAAAAAAAACACCACACCCACACCCCTCATGTTAATTGATTCTACAGGGCTGAAAATTTAAACACAAATTCAATAAATGAAAATGTTAAAATTATTTTATCAATAATTCATTCACATTGCATGTGTTGTATATCAAAGTAAATATTTAACAGCCTAAGCAAAAATCTTAGGCCAAAATTGTCAAAAATGAGAGTCTAACTTTAAGCCAGGATTTTAAAAAAGGGATGCTTTCTTTTATTTGCTTTCTGATACCTTTATGTTTGAATTAGTAATATTAATATTGTATTAAAATAAGAAATTAAAATGTAAGTGTAGCATTAATGTTACATATTTAAAGTGTAGTTTTACTCTGAGAAGTAACAGTAAAAATGGCATCTCTTTGCTCAGCAAATATGCACAACAGTAATGTATTTGCTCACTTTAGTGACAAAAATATTCTTAGCCTTACAGAGCCAACAGAACTAAGATGGAATAGAATTTGCATCTTATTCAATCTTGCACAGCCTCAGCAGATTGTTTACTGAGTTCCAGTCAGTTACACCTGTGCAAACCCATTGAGGAAAATGTTGTTGCACAGATAAAGCTGAGTCCCAGTTTGTCTTACAGAAGCTTTGTCAAAGATGCTGATGCAGAAAGTGAAAAAGCGCAAATTGATCCTCAGAATCCAGAAGGAGATGGTAGTTAGGAAACAAATCTTTTACTTAAGTACTGAGCACATTTGACACAAAAATTAATAATACAACAAACATGGAAGCCATGATATCGACTTAGCAAAGTCACTTTTCAGACTAGAACTTGACATAGAACAGAAAAGAATGAGAGAATGAAAAAAAACCAAGCATTTAAAAATATCGAGGCGCTAAAGCAATAATTGCCTTTTTTTAAAAAAATTTGTGCTGGAGAAGTCACGATACAATAAAGAAAAGCATCTTAGCTGTACACTGTAGAGTTGCACTGTTGTGCTTTTTTTTTTTTTTTTTTGCAGCTTCATAGGTTTTAAACTCACCCTCTCCTTAGGTGCACCCAGCCAAAAGGACCTTTAGTGCATCTGTCCAGATGTAGCCATAACTTGGCTTCAGTACCTGGGGAGCATTAGTAGAGGCCAGTTAGCACTGCTGATAGCACTATTGGTCCTAAGAGAGTCACATCTGGGCAGGGTCATGGAATCAGTAGGAATACTCGTGAATAAGGGTTGCAGGATCTGGCACTTGACAAATGAATGAATCAAAGGGTTATAATGGAAACTTTTATGCAATTTATAGGAAACTCAGACAGGTTTTGCATATCCAAAGAATCATTTGAAAGGTTCACAAAGCCTTAATAGCGACAAAGTTTGCTTAACCCAAGGTAATACACAAAATACATTTTCAAGGGTCATTATTGTCACTTACTAGAGGGGAGGTACTAAGGGAAAAATTCCATCCATATTTATTACATAAGGTAAATGTAGTGGTGCCAAGACCATTCCCTTTATAAAGGGAACAGATTTGAACAAAATGTTACTGAGAGGTGTTCTCTGCTGCTTATGGACCAACACACAACTCCCATTACAGTTAATGAAAGTTTTGCCAGGGTAAGCACTTCAGGATTTGGCCTTAATTTCTTGACACAGCCATTGAAAGCATTTTCTTTTTGAATGTAAGTTCTGCATAGCACACTCTGATCAGCACAGCAAAAGTATGTTTTGCTCTCTGGATTGGCTCTAGAAAATATAAGTAATAATAAAATGGGAGGCTTAATAGACAGTCAACCCTGTGTGACAAGCTCTGGTGCGTGACGTCCCCGATTAAGCTACAGGACAACAGTGTTATGGTCAGGGCAAGAATTCTCTTTAATCACAAAAGATCATTTCATTGCTTCTTAGTGCTTCATCTTAAAAGGAAGAAAAGTTGATATTTTTTCTTTCATTTTTTCCTCCATTAATTATTTCATTCATTCCATTAGTTTCAAAAGGTAATACTCGTATGCTTAAAGGTAAGCAGATGCTTAAGTCCTTGCCAAAATCAGGGCATTGGATAGCTGCAGTAGACCTTTTCATGTGTACTCAGTGGAAGTTGGTTGTACACCAGCTCCTTTCTTTTGTTAGTCTACATCTTTTAATAGACAACCTTAAAAATAAATTAAATGCCATTGTGCATTCTTAATTTGCTTTTTCTGCAAAGTTTGGAATCAGGATAAAAATTTTTGCTGTTATCTGCAACAAATAAAGAGTGTTTGAATAAACTAATTTCTGTTCAGATGGAGGCTCCATTTGACAAGGGAGGAAACTAAGATGACTTCTTTAGTTCTTTGCCAGTTGAGATGGACTAAATGGGGAGAGGGAGTCTTGTGAGTCAAAGGAAAGGGAGCTTATGAGAAGAGTGCTCAGGTGGACCAAAGGAGGGTGGGAGCTTGGGTGGGATTTGGAAATGGAAGTTGAGTCTTTTATAGAAGGAATAGCACAGATGGGAAGAGTGTCATGGAGGCAGCAAGTGAGGGACCTAAATTTCTTATGGGGGCAACTGTCTCCTGCGTAGAGGTCATACTGGAATCAAGAGTCTCCTGGGTGTCTTAGGGAAATCATGTAGGAGTCAGATGATTCCTGGGGCAAGGGTGCTTCAATGGGGGCACTGGTTTCAGGGAATAGACGTGGCTCTACTCAAAACCAGTTTGTCACATTTTCTTCAAACTTTGTAAGTATGTTCTCGTTGGCCTTCAGAGTATTTCTACCAGTTTTTAGACCAGACCAATTTTCTAAACCTAAATTATAGGATAGTTAAAATCTGACATTGTAACAGCCTCTTTGTAAGATATTTGTTCATACATTCTCAGATTTAGTATCTTTTAAGCCATAAATAATTTCCAGTGCATACTTTATGAGCTATTATTTAATGCTGTATATGCTGGGAATGTGTAGAATATGTGAGTTCTGATATACTGCCTGTCAGAATAACTGGAAAAGCTTAATTTTAAAACTTCTTTAAATAAATGAATTTCTCTTGCCAAATTTAGCACTTGCATTGCACATACTGTACCATTTGGCTGTACTGTAAAATGTGTAAGCTTTTTGGTTACACTAACACTGCTTTACCTAGGGGGTTACATTACCAGTTCAGTTTATTATTGTCCCTGTTTGAGTTGTCAGACTAGTGGGTTGTCACAGGACACTTTGCTTCCTGCCTGAGAGAGAATGACTTCCTCCAGTGTCCATAGCAACATCATGTTTCTCAGCAACCGGGAGATGCTTGTTTGTGTTTCCCCATTCTAGAAATGTTACCTCGCAGTAGAAGAAAAATGGCCCTTTGAAACAACGATCAAGGAAGTTCTGTATTTAATTATTCAGAATATTTATCACTCTTCTGTGTTTTGATTGCTGAGACAATGTACAGTGTCTTGAGCTGAGCCTTTCCTGTGTATTACTGTGAACAGCATTCATTTAAAAGCAAAATCTTTTAGAGTTGTGTCTTGAAATCAGCTTTTAACTACTGAACAGCTTCCACAATACCTTGTGACTTCTAGGCCTTCGGTAGGTAATAGAGAAAGGTAAGAACCGTTACTGTATTTGAGAAGAGATTGTATTTATAATTACAGCATGACAATAAGTCCCTTTCCCCCCTCCCCCCAAAAAAGTATAAGAAAATGTTTTATATTGCTATGGCTTCTTCAGGGTATTTAAGTACAGATCACCCTGAATATCTCACTTGACTCGATTTTGCCTGACTAAAGACTGCAGGATTGGTCCTGTTGATCTACTGTGGATATCTTTGCCTTCCAGAATCTTAGTTAGCCTATGTTTTTTAAAAAAAAAAAAGAATGCAAGACCCGATACTGGAAACACTCATGCAAATGAGTAACTTTAATGTATGTGACTATTCCCACTAGTTTCAATGGAACTACTTATGTGAGTAATGTTACTTATACCTTGCACTTCTATTGTTACTTTTGTTCGCTGGATTAGTCCCTAAGGTTGTACGAGTTCTGTCATGCATATTCATGATTTATCTTATACTACTAGTTTGTTCAGATAAGGCCTATTGAATTATTAAATAAGCATTTAGACATTGTTACTGACATGCTATACTGTGCATCAAGTATAGTACATCAGATCCCACTGAAATTGAGAAGAGGTGTTAATGCAGCAATTAGTTGCTACCTGGATAAGTATTACTTTTTATTTTGCTTACTTTATGTACAGAACAGATACTAACCTTGGGCTAAATCCTGTTCACCTCACGAGTAATCCCCATTAAAGGCAATCACGTTAGTTACCTCCCTCTTTAAAACACAAAAGTTTATAAGTTCATCATGTGAGTGGGTGTGATAATGTAATAATGCCTTTAAAACACTTTGAGCCAAATGCATTGCTAATGCACATGGATGCAACTTCATTGGTATCTGAGGGCTCCATCCTGCAAGATGGTGAGCACTCTAGTCCAACCCAGATAAACACATGAGCACCTGTTTCACTTTAAGCACTTGAATAGTCCCATTTACTTCAACAGGACTACATCTATACTTAACTTTTAGGATATACATAAATGTTTTGGTGGATCAGGCTAAAATGTTCAACATCTTGCAGGATCAAACCTTAACAGATTTGCACTCACTGCATAACTTCATTGAAGTCAGTGGAACTGTTACCATTTATGTTAACGCCCAGTTTGCCCCATGTACCTTTATATACAATGTCACCTCTTGCTTTATTTTGTATACCTTTGTTGGGAAAAAAAAGTAAGAGGTAATTATTGTAGCAGCCTGCATCTATATAAGTCTATGTCTTATAAGAAAAGTGAGGCAGCCTTTAGGTAACTACACCTTTAATAACAATGTATATCCTGATTCACTGGCATGGAACCCTGCTGTTCTGGGGTCCCACTGATTTCCCTGGGACTGCACTAGTACATCAGTATGCACCCGCTTAAGAACTTTTGAGAATTGGGGCTATCAGAGCTCGTGGAGAATCAGGCCCATAAACTGTAATAAGGAAGAAAGTAAAGGAAAGGAGAATTTTTAAAAAGTGATATTCCTTTCAAAGCAAGAGTTTTGAGAGAGTCTACAAATGAACAAAAATAACTGTAGGTTCCTCTATTTAAAATATTAATGTGGGAGTAAGATTGGGACCCAAAGTCACAGCTTTCACACAATAAAATGGTAATCAATACATCTATAGTAGACATCATTTTTCAGACCCACTAATAACTATAGGTCATCGAATTTCTATGCTGTGGAATTGGCATATGTACTATCATGTTTATCTGATAAGTAGTGGTCAATGGCTGTGAGTGGAAAAATACAATATGATGCAAGTTTGGGTAAGTTCAGCTTTAATGTCATATATATACTATTAATGTTTCAGATCATTTCCAACTCTGACTGACTAGGTTACTCATTTCTTGTTCAATTGAACATCAGGATTTTTCACTGAGCCATACATAATGCATTTAGAACCTTATAACTGTTCCATTGTGCCCTATGTTGCTAAAGGTGAGTGCATAACTAGAAGATAAACTTCACAGGAATTTTTACAGCAGCTAATAACAGAATTTAATTTAATAAATTTCTGACATGTAAGCTGAGAGCAGGGCTTGAAATCTCACTGTTCTCAGTGGTATAAGGACTTCTATTTTCCAGAGCAGGAGTGGGTTACAGACGTTAGTTGGGTGTATGTTTTCCCTTCTACCTTTCCATATTCACCTCTGAAAAGAAATAATAGCGCCTTAGTTGAAGAATCTTACTCCACTTGGAACAATCTAAAAAGTTGAATTATTAAAGCAAGTGCACTTGCTAAGTGGCTAGCAGACTTCAAGACATGCTTTCTTCTCTGGGATTATTTACTCTTGAATGGGTGGTAATATTGTACATGCACACTGGATCACTGAATAGCAAAGGATCCCATCCTACCACATACCTGCATTTAAATGCCCATTCGTCCTGATTCTCCTCTCACACCAATTTACAATTACTCCTGTTTCACACTGACTGGGAGAGGGGAGTCAGGCCCATTTAATGGAATTTATGCACTTGGAACTGCAATACGAAGGGGTCCATTTTAAAGTAAAGACTTGTTTTATGTAATTTTTGTTTAATTTCATCTTGAAATATACCCAGTAAATGATGCAGATTCAGATGTCCAATTTAAAGAGCTTGCACATATCCTGGCTGGGAGCTGTGATTTAATACCATGGTTTGTTTGGTTACAGGAAGTCCAGTGGCATCCACCTATTCTAAGCCTTTCTGTTATGGATCCAGACCAGCAAGGTAAGTACTGTTGTCAAGTGCTTCCCAAATTTCACAAGAGAATTCCCAGTGTCCAAACTAGTGAACTTAACTGGAGTTGTTCCATCTTCAGAATCTTTTGTTATAATGCAGGAGACAAGATCAAATGCTATGGCAGATCAGTCTGTTGCTTTAGATCATGCAGCCTGGAAGAAGGATTTCTGGGTTGTGTTATTCTTACAGTGCTCCCTGTATTATATGTAAAATAGTATCTGTTCTCCTATCTTACCTGCCATTTAAGTCAGTAAGATGCAAAACTACTGGATAATTAGATGTGAGGTGTAAGGAAACGAGGATAAAAATATGTAACTTAAAACAATTTAATCATAGGACCGGAAGGGACTGTCCTTTGCACTCATGGCAGGTCTAAGTCTTATCTAGTCCATTCCTGACAGGTGTGTATCTAACCTGCTCTTAAAAATTTCCAATGATGGAGATTCCACAACCTCCCTAGGCAATTTTATTCCAGTGCTTAATCACTCTGACAGTCAGGAAGTTTTTCCTATTGTCCAGCCTAAACTGCCCTTGCTGCAATTTAAGCCCATTGCTTCTTGTCCTATCCTCAGAGTTTAAGGAGAACAATGTTTCTCCCTCCTCTTTGTAACAAACTCATATACTTGAAAACAGTTATGTCCCCTCTCATTAATGCAAGTTAATCACCAAACTATTATAAAAGCAAGAGTTTTACATCAAGGACCATCAATTACTTGGCCTATGCTATTTTCATGAGTTTTATATTTGAGGGCCAGCAGCAACATCCTGGCCAACCTAGTCTAATTGAAGTTCAGGAGGTCCTCAGCCCAGCTTCAGCTGTCTGGTGTAGCCCCAAACTGAATTCAATGTATTAATAAACCCTTTTGTTCAGTAATAACCTACTTACTGCCAGGTAACATGGAGAGAAAGTCTACTGTAATATTGGTGCTCTGTGTGCTATTTTTCTCTTCTTGGTTTTGATTCTCAGTCTCTAAAACCCTCCCAACTATAAATTAATGACTCCTGAGTTATGTTTTTTTTAAAACCTAGTGGTTTTGGGGTACAATTCACCCTCTGCAGAGAGTCAGCACAAGGTCTAGCACCACATAAGGGCCATTTAAAGCCTGGACCTGCACAAGGTTATGCCCCAGTTGAGTCCCACAAAAGAAGTCCATCTAGGGAGGATGTGGAATTCAGTGGTGCATAGGCCTCCTGCTGTGTCTCTGCAAAGGGGTGAATTTCACCCCAGTTTGAAATTAGATATTTAGTTTGTGTCTTGTAAAATGTCTTCTCATCAATAGTAATTCTGACTGATATGTAATTTAGGCTAATTTCTTTTTTGCTTGGACACCTTACAGATTAGTTTTGCTAATCTAAATCCTAATCCTAAAGTATGAGCAATTGGTGACCTAATGTTTGTTAAGGACTGACTTAAAAGTTAAAAATATGGTGAAATGTTTCCAAAGCAGACCACTAGCAGATGGTTACCTGTACCCTCTGCAAGTGAGCCTGAGAATGTCAGATGATAGCATGAAATTCCCTCATCTTAGAGAATCTTATTCATGGAAGAATTTCCTGTTGGGTCACATAGAATCATAGAATATAAGGGTTGGAAGGGACCTCAGGAGGTCATCTAGTCCAACCCCCTGCTCAAAGCAGGACCAATCCCCAACTAAATCATCCCAGCCAGGGTTTTGTCAAGCCTGATCTTAAAAACTTCTAAGGAAAGAGATTCCACCACCTCCCTAGCTAATGCATTCCAGTGTTTCACCACCCTCCTAGTGAAAATTTTTTTCCTAATAGCCAACCTAAACCTCCCTCACTGCAACTTGAGACCATTACTCATTGTTCTGTCATCAGCTACCACTGAGAACAGTCTAGATCCATCCTCTTTGGAACCCCTTTTCAGGTAGTCGAAAGCAGCTATCAAATCCCCCCTCATTCTTCTCTTCCGCAGACTAAACAATCCCAGTTCCCTCAGCCTCTCCTCATAAGCCATGTGTTCCAGTCCCCTAATCATTTTTGTTGCCCTCCGCTGGACGTTTTCCAATTTTTCCACATCCTTCTTGTAGTGTGGGGCCCAAAACTGGACACAGTACTCCAGATGAGGCGTCACCAGTGTCAAATAGAGGGGAACGATCACGTCCCTCGATCTGCTGGCAATGCCCCTACTTATACATCCCAAAATGCCATTGGCCTTCTTGGCAACAATGGCACACTGTTGACTCATATCCCGCTTCTCGTCCACTGTAACCCCTAGGTCACATGATACCTTACATTCATGTTTCTTGTTCTTCTTCTGGAAGACAGACTTGGGACTGGATCCACAGCCTATTAAAATCAGTGGGAATCTTTCAATTGGCTTTAATGTACTTTGGATCAGGCCCTTGAAGAAAAGAAAAAAAAATCACTAGTATAATAAGCCAGCAAAACCAAACTTTTTTCCATATTGCATTACTTGCTACAGTGCATTATGCTACATAACTTCTCCAAACAACAGGCAGCAACATAACCTGACAAAACCAAGACTGGACAAGTGGCATAGCAGACAAGGGTTACTGCTATATCATAGGAAGCAACTGAGAACCAGCAGAGTCCATAATTTGCTGAATATTAGCATTAGACTGGTTTGTATGTGAGGAACCACAAATTGGTCCATTTCCACAGGAAACAAGTGGAGAGTCTTGTGACCTATTTCCACTCAGTTATGCATGTTTGCAGTTTATCTACACCCTTCATCATCTGTTTTTGCCTCCTATTTGAACTGCAGGGATATATATGGCTCACCAGGAGAAAGCAATGAGCTAATAAGTCCTGTGATAGCTTCTAAAGATACTGTATATAAGCATTTTTTAAATACAAAGTTTACATGTATGTCTGTAAAGCGCCAGGAATATTTTTGGCGCTGTATAAATAACAGGTCAAGTCACGAAGCCCCTTACTCAGTTCCTACTCAAATTCCCGTTGACTTGAGCGGAGTGAAAGGTTTGAGCAGAAGTAGTAACGACATGGGATTTAACCCAAGAACTTCAGTGAGATTGCCAAGGGGAGGTATTTATGCTGACAAATTGTTTGATTCTAACAGAGCCACAGATGCAAGACCCAAACATTGTTTTCACAGTATAAAGTACAACTGGTTGAGAAATTGTTTTTCCTGGCAAAAGGCTACAAAAATTAAATTGTTTTGGTTTTCATCCATTTTCCTTCAAAGTTTTAGATTTTTGTTGAAGCCGAGTTGTTGGGTTGTTTTTGTTGTTGTTGTTTTTTTAAAGTCTGCAGAAGTTTCCATTTTGTTGTAAAGCTATTTTCTGTCAGAAAAACTATTTCAGTGGACATTTTTGACCAGCTGTAGTATAGCGTGAGCTCTGTCAGTGTGTAGTAACTTCCCAAAATGGCATCCTCCTGTCTTGTGGCTCCAGTGATGGACAGGCTAGTCCCTCTAGCATTATTTATGGAGAGGATCTAAAATAGTGATCAAACTTCTAGGCTGGTTTCTCTCTGAAACATTTACATCAGGAGAGCATTATGTTTTTCTGTACCAGGTGTACTCTATACTGTAAAAATAACACTTGGGTCTTGCAGTTCTGGAACACAAACCTATTAACTTCTCTGGGCATTGGCTCTGTTTATGGAGCAGAGTAAGGATGAGCACTGTGCATGCCTTTTGCCAAATTAATAATGAAATGATATTTCTAAAAACAGTGCACCTTCTTTATCAGTGCAGAGATGCTGTTTCTGTAAGAGCCTGTTGAGTTACCCTCACACCCAGCCGGGCTATAGTGTTCCATGCACTGGGCAAATTCTATGTTAAAACAAACATCTGTGGCCCTCTTAGAATCAAGCAATTTATCAGCTTTAATGCTTTCCCTTGACTATCTCACTGAAGTTCTTGGATTAAATCCTGTGTCCTTAGTCGTTTTTTACTCACTAATTGTAACTGAGTCCAGACTGGGATCAGGTGTGAACAGGACAGTTTGAGAAACCCTGGTCTCAGACGTCAGGTTTTGGAGACTCCTTTCATGTTCTTCCGTGTTCTCTTGAGTGTTCCACCGTCCCTTCCCTTCATAACTAGCACAAGAGAATCTATGGTAATTTATATTTGTTTTCCTTTACAGAAGCTCTAAATGCCATTCAGAATTCTGTCTACAGAACAGCCCTGAAACTACGCTCAGTGCAAACCCTGTGCCAGTGTAAGTAGCTCAAAGGAGTCCCGTGGGAGGAGAACCTGCAAGAGTGCTGGCTCTGAGTTGCAATCATAAATACCGCTACTTGTTTTTCTCTAATGCTTTCCGTCTGATGATCTCAAAGATTATCAACAACATTAATGAATTAATAAATAATACTTCATACATGTACTTGCTTCCTTTGAGATTCTCAGTCAAATGGCGCTAAGTAGCATTATCCCCATTTTACTGATTGAAAAACTCAAGCTCAAAAGGGGTGAAATGACTTGCCCAAAATGACAGTTTAGTCAATTAGTTGGGGGTAGAGCTCAGATTCTACCTGTTCTAATAACTAAATGATTTCCCAAAGCCTTTCAACACACATTTGACATGGATAAATATCATTATCTCCATTTGTGTTATAAAATAAGTACATATAGAACTGCTCAAAGTATTTTCAACAGCAAAAAAAAAAAGTAATCAAAAGTGGGGTCTCACTTTAAAAAAGATTTTCTGGAGAAAGTTTTGATTTGATTAAATGTTTTCTGTTTGAAAAAATTTCAAAAGGAATGAGAAGATTCAAAATTTGTTTTAAAATAGCAGGAAAATACTTATATTTCCTTTTTTCCTTCTCCATTGGAAAAAGCTAAGTGAGGAAAAATAGGTATTTAATTCTTTTTCAATGGAAAATAAAAAAAGAATAAAAGTGAAGAAAAACCTACTTTCTCCTTTCACCCTCCCACTGGACCAGTGTATGTGAGGCAGGGGAGGGGGGACAGTGCAAATATTTATAAAAAGAGAGAGCATAACAAGTGAAACAAATACTTTCTCCAATTTTTTTAAAAGTAGGGAAAAACCTAAAATTGAAGTGAAATATTTTTAAACAAAACCAAGCATTGCTTTGTTTAAAATATTGTTTAATTTTCAATGTGAAAGTTTCATTTTTCCCCGAAGAATCTTTTGTTATATCCCTCCCCTTCTCCACCCCCAATTTTGACCAGCTTTAATAGTAAGAAAGAAGCGTATCGGGCCATAGTAGCAATAGTTTATGTAAATTTGGCGTGAATCTGGTGCTATGTATACAAACTTTTGATAGCAGAAACCATGCTTAAGGCCCTTAGCATGGTTTCTGCTATCAAAAGCAATCAGAGCCTCACCTCTGCTTAGGACTCTGCATGGATCTAAAGTAGCCAAGAAGTGGACTGAATGGGCCCAGGAAGGGATGTGGCTAAGTTGGATCCCCCAGTTTCAGCATATCCCTTTCGTAGTTTAGCTTTCATCAGAAGGGCTTTATTGAAGCTCAGAGGCTAAAACTACCTCTGTCCAGAGGACTCCCCAAGGAACAGAAGCAAATACAACCTTCTCGTCCTTAGAGTAAAGCCCAGATCCTCAAAAGGTATTTAGGCACCTTACTCTCACTGGCAGTTAAGTATCTAAATACCTGTGAGGATCTGGGCCTCAATCCTCAGTGTAGTATGGGCCTCACTAGTGCAAACTGTACCTTCTGCTGCTAGGTGGGGTGAATCGGACTCAAACTGTAAAAAAAAAAAAAAATTTTTTGCCCTACTTGCTTCATCTGCTTGGCTCATTCTCTATAAATTAAAATAAAAGAAAAATGAGGAGAAAGTTAAATAGCTTCTAAAACTTGAAGCCAGACTAACTAAAATAAAGTCTAGACCTATAAACCTACTCCTCAGTGAGTGAAATATTTGATGTGGGAGAACCACAGTGACCAGGCAAACAACAGTATTCTTGCAAACAGATTGTACCCTGTAGGATGGCAGACTCACCCCAGAAAGAGAAGCAGATGTTCTCCATTTTGCCTTGGAGCCCAGCTTTCCCTTGCCCACACTTACATGCATCGATGAAGTGGGTACTCACCCACAAAAGCTTATGTTCCAATATGTCTGTTAGTCTATAAGGTGCCACAGGACTCTCCGCCGCACGTACTACTGAGTAATTCCCGGACACCACAATCAGCTTCAGCTATGGAACCCTGCAGACAACTATGGTACAAGAAACCCACAGATTACCACAATTACCTTCACAGATCCAGTAACTACCCAAAACAACACCAAAAACTTATCTACAGCCAGGCACCCGTCAGATACCATAGAATATGCTCTAAGGAGTAAGTCTGGGATTCACACAACACACTAAAACCATCTTCAGCAAACAAGAACTCTCCGCCAAAGTAGATTGCATCATGGAATTGGCCATCCAAGTACCCCAAGGGAACTTACTTCAATACAGGAAAACACACCCTCTGACCATCCACACCTAGTTGTCACCTACAGCCCTACACTGGAACCCATACAGGGTATCATTAAACAATTACAACCCATACTCAATGGGGACTACATCCTGAAAGAAGTCTTTCCTGGACCCACCCCCCTTCTGCCCTTCAAATAACCTCCCACCCCCACCCCAACCTCACCAAGCTCATCATCAGAAGCAAGCTTCCCGCAGACCTGGAGACACCAGCTCAAAGTGGCACCAGACCCTGCCAGAACAGATGCAAAACCTGCAGACATATCTCCACTGCTAAGATGACCAATACCACCCCCACACCCAAACACACCTTTCAAGATTCACAGGTCCTCCACATGCCATCAGAACATATGGTATACCTCATCCTTTGCACCAATGCCCCAACAACTATTTGGGTGAAAAACAGACAATCACTACACTCTTGAATGAAGTCGTGTGTGTGCACACACGCACACACACATCACCCTTGGGCAAACACTTTTCACAAAATGATCACTCCATATTTGACCTCTCAGTCCTTGTCCTCAAAGGAAATCTGCACAAGACAAACTCCCAGGCTTGTCTTTTAAAACTCATAGCTTTGCTAGACACTAAAAATCATGGTCTTAATAAAGGCACTGGATTTATGGTTTATTACAATAATCTGTAACCCACTAACCTGCCCCCTATCTTTTCCCCTATGACTGAAGAGGTGTTAAAGGACCACTTCACCTTGAGTGGTCCCTTAGAATGGGTGTTAGCTACTTATGCTAAACAATCTGTTCCACCTTGTATTTAGCTGTGACACTTTGGGTATGTCTATTCTACACTGCATTGTAAACCCAGGGTTTGAACTCAGCCTCAAGCTTAATCCCCCTTCTGTCTACACACAAATTGCGCTAACCCAGGGCTAGGATTCAATGGGAGAGGAGGGTCGGAACCGGAGTCAAACTGGGACCAGGATTCAAGCTCTATTGCTTTGCAGCATGGACACAGCCCCTCTGGACTCAGACTCTGGGAGTCTGCCAAAAGTAGTCCACAACCTCACAGGCCAACTTTCCTTGTCCTTTAGACCGTCAAGCTTTCCCACACTGCACCATGAACAGAGGTAAAGTGGCCATCTTTTGGGAGGGCACTAGGAAGTCTGGGATGTGTGTGGCTGGACTTGGGCCTGCATAATACAGTGCAGATGGTGGAGCCCCAGTTTGGGACTCAGAGTTCAATAGTTCCTAACCTGTGGTTACAGATAAATGGTTAACAAACCCAAAGACTACTAACTCAAGTTCTACTAATTCTGGGTTTCCATTGCAGTGTAGACATACTCTCAGAGTACCTTTCCCAGACCTGAAGGAGAGTTCTGTGTAGCTTAAAAGCTTGTCTCTTTCACCAACAGAAGTTCATCCAAAGAAGGATATTAGCTCTCCGACCTTGTCTCTCTCACAGCTCCAACGTTGCAAACTACAATGTAAAATGTCAAAGTCAGACATTCACCCCCTATGCTAAACCAGATGGTAACAAGCCCCTTTTCACAAATAGTATTTGCCAGTGTATTTGGGGTTAAGGGACTGGTCACTCAGTAGCTACTTAGCACAGATCATCATAACTATCTCAGCTCTCTAATGGAAAGAGTGGTGAAGGTTGAGGAGCACACTCAATGCTATTACAGAAAAAGCAGATCTGCTATAATGGCAGTAGTAGATTGTTCACTGCACCCCTGAAATTCAAAAGAACTCTCCCTTTAATAGATCTTTGTAAACAGTTCTACTCACTGCCTTAGCATAGCACTGCAGAGATATTTGCCTCTAACAGCCCCGGTTGACCACCAATTTGGTCCTACGATGAACCATTTCTGTCCACAATTTGCCTCTAAGTCACATTTAGTTCAGATATCTTCTGGAGTAACAGAAGGCCAGCTAGAAGTCCACACATCCCAACAAGAGATCCTTTCACCCCACTGGGGCTACTCCTAAATCCATGTTCTGGGCTCAGTCCTGAGCCCCACTCTGGGCTCAACAGTCCTTGTGATAGAGTTTTTACATCCTTTTCCCAGCTGGTAGGGAAACCCCAATTTCTCCCCCCTTTTCCACTGTGGTTTGTTGAGCAGCTAGGTTTTCCCCTTTAGATCTGCTCCTGTTTCCCTGGCCCACTTCTTACCTCCACATCCTAATAGCTTATGGATAATACAGCCTCTCCTCTGGCTCCAAAGTTTCTCCCAAGGTCCGCCCAGTTCTTTGTTCCTACCCTGGTACACCAGCCCACAAGCGTGCCTCCCTGGACCTTTCTCCTTTTCCAGCTCCCACCACAAGGACTAATTCTGTCTCCATAGCCCTGCTCAGTCTGTCTTTACCAGGCCCTTCCCAGAGAGCAAGAATTCCCTTTCTCCTGGATTTCCTCCTGTGTCTGTTCTCTCCCTTCTCTAGGTAGTCTCCCTGACCCTTCCGCAGCTGGGATCACCAATTGTAATGGAGTCCAGATCACTATCAGCTCGGGGTTAACTGCTAAATCACAAGCTAGATTGAAACCAGCTCCCCTAGAAGGCTGGCCAGCCTGAGACAGCAGAGATTTTAAAAAAGTTTTGCAAGCTAAGGAATGTTTGCATAATTGTTACAATGTATTACATTGCTAACATAGTGTAAAAGTTGCCAGCAATTATGGAACTTCATATATGGTCTTGTTAAATGTCACAATCTGATGTGTTGCTTAGGAATTGATTTATTGGAAATAGACATAGATCATCAAAAAGGCATGGGCAATTTGCAAACAATATTATTAATGCTATTAACATTAACAACAACAAAATAAATTAGACTATAAGGGATCTAGTCAGTACTGCTTATCTAGGCAAAATTCTCACTGAAGTCAGTGGGACTTTTGTTTTAGTAAGGTGTTACTGAGTAGAGTTCTCAGCATTTATTTTGCTCTCTAATTCTGGATGCAAACTTAACACTGAATGGAAGCATATGTAATTGGTTGTCTTTGTGTCACTTTCAAGGAGGTGAATGCCCCAGCATCCTCACTTGAAACAGTCTGTTCCTGAGGATGTACAAAAATAACAGTCATTGCCTTTAAGGCAAAAGGCCCCATGAAGAGGAAGACTAGCCTTGTGTTGAGGCCCTAGCCTGGGATACAGGAAACCTGGGTTCAGTTCTGTCACAGACTTTCTATGTGTTGGCAAGTCATTTTGGGTGGGAATTTCAAAATATTTAAGTCATTTGAAAGTCAATAGACCCTCTGTTCCTAAACCACTTAGGTTTTCAAAATCCTACCCTTAATCTGTCTGTGCCTCAGTTCCCTTTTTCTACGAGGGGGATAATAATACTTTCTTTCTCCCATCCCTTATCCATTTAGATTGTGAACTCTTAGCGGCAGAGACTGTCTCACAGTATGTATATACTACACCTGGCACTATGGGGCCCTGATCTCAGCTGGAGCCCATTGCTTCTACTGTAATAATAAATAATAAAACCACATTAAGGCTTGGATTTAGTAAAGTAAAATATCCCATAAATACCTTTATAGGGGGACAGACTAGACCATCACAGGGGTCCCTTTGGGCCTTATAATCTATGAAAAAAATCTTTTCAGACTCTTTGGAGCATATGTAAAAGTTGTCACAAAATCATTGATGAAATAGGACTTCCTAGATGATTTTCAGATCATATGTCCAGTTGGTTCAGTGGATGTTCCCATTTTGGAATCTATTCTCTGATCAATATGTGTGCAGGACATGCTCATATTAATGGTCTCAGTTCTTGAGTGAACTCCAAGGATATATTCCTGCTGTTCACTTTGGTTTTGTTCATCTCTTCTCTCTTTCCAGTCACTTTCCATGCACTTTTCCCTCTACTTAGATACAGTTAGTTCTATGCTGTTTACTCTGGCTTGTGGTCTTTTGGATGTGATCTTTAAAAAAAAATCAGAGTTCTGTCTGCACTCTGTGGACATTAACTATCCTATGGCACTTTTTTATAATAGGGTGGTTGCCCCAGTGTTCTTGGCCAAACCATTTCCCAGGCTCCTTCATTCTAGCGGACATTGTATGGAAACCTACAGTGGAGGGTAAGGAAACCTGAAGTCCCACTTAAGCCTTATATTGAGGTTGTAAGTGGTGCATAGGCTTTGTGTTCTCTCTCTGCACAGGGGTGAATTGCATCCCATGTACAAAAGTTACATGTGCAGTTTGGATGAACAATTGCTCCTGCACTTTTCCTGTATCACCATTTTAAAATCAGGCCTATGAAAGCCCAATTGATCTTTTCCTTCTTTGGACTCTCAGAAAATTAGCTGAATATGAAAACCCAGCACAAGAGCCCTTGCAGGGTATTTCCCCATTCAGTTTTATATCAAGTCTTGTAAGAGGCTTTGCTTTCCAGACAGGTCTTAGTTATGTATTTTCACGAAATGTTCAGCTTCCATTTATGATAAAGACATAGGGACTGATTAATTTCTCCCATTGTTTTCCCACAGTGAGTTTGACTGATGTCTCCCTGATTCAGCACCTCCTGCCAAGCCACCAGTGTCAGAGGGAGAAGCAGAGCTCCCTGACAACACAGCAGCTACTGCAGTTGCTGAAGGAGCTATTCCAGAAAGCCAGATTAGATAAGCCAGGCCAGGTAGAGCCACAAGCCCCTGAGCTCACCTGGAACCTGCTAACTGCCATGTATGACAGGTGAGAGCAAGTGCACCAGTGACTTCATCATCACTATAGCAACACCCATTTCCATCCCCTCCTGCTTTTACATGCCACTTCAGTGGGAAAGTGCCTCCCCCCGCCACGAGCTCAAAAGGCATGTGTTATTTAAATTATACATAGTCAGAGGGGTTTAGCTTCAGATCTGAATTAAGCTTAGGCTAAGGTTTGAGGTTCAGGTAAAAGCTCAAAGCAGGGCTAAGGTTCACGTTAGATAGCACCAAAATCTTGCAGACTTGTTCTCATGAGCTTTCAGGCCAACTTGGTGGAAATCTCACGAACTATGCTGCTTTTCCAAACTTTCTGCCATTTTGAATCAACCCCTTGATGGCAATCTCAGACAAGGGGCCAGGAACCAAAAGCGTGGGGAAGGTGAATGACCTCTTCAACCTTAGAAGCAATGCTTTCAGCTGAGGGTTGAGGCATGTTGGCAGAGCAGTGCAGGAAGCCTGCATGATGGCTTCCCATTCTGCAGCTATTCAGTCTGACAGAGTAATTCAGTCTCCAGGTCTGGTGAGCTTCACCCACCAATCCCAGTTATCAAATAGAATGAGCACTAAGTTCACAAACAACAACAGCAGCAAAGGGAAATGTACAAGTGGGTTTTGTTGGTAAGAACAAGACCTGGAGAAGCTTTGTTGTTGTGTGAACAACCTCACTCATGCTACAAAAGAGCAGTAATGATGTACAACAAGGGTTGAATCTATGGCAGCTTTCCGTGCCCTGAAAAAATACAGTGCTAGATTACATGGCATGAACTATGAATGCTCTGTGCAGCTCTTACCTGAGAAACTAAGTGATGGTGAATTGGAAAGGTGTATGAACCTGATTTGCTGTTGAACAATGCAGAGGATAAACCCCTTCCCTGAACTGAAAACAAATGCCCAAACTGTAGGGTGACAAGCAGAAAGAGTGTGCGCTGAGAGCCGCGGCCCATTAGGCAGTGAAAGGGTGGTGCTGACAGCTGGGTTTTTACTAACAAGGAAGCCACAAAGATGAACTAGTTTTAATCATGGTGGGAAATTTTTGCAAAATTTCACTAGCGAACACAAGGCTTATCAGACAGTTTTGCCAAAATTCATTTGAACCCTACTCAGTCATTCAGTTTGACAGTCTGCTAACACCTGCGTTACTATCCATCATTTTCCAGTTTAAAAAGTTAGTCATCCATTCATAAGCAGAATCAATCAGGAACAAAAGAAAAAAGTGAAGTTCATTGTTTAATTTATTCACAATGGATGGAATTTACCCCGCATAAAGAGCCAGAACAAAACCTATGTACCAATTAAGCCCTCAAAAGCAGAACTTAAGTGATTCATTGTACTTTTACCATCCCCCTTGAATTTTCCGTAATGAATAAGTTGATCTGCTGTTTGCAATTCCATCTGATGAACTGCTTACAGAAATCACTTAAAGGTTAAATATAAACTAGTGCATTTTGGAACAAAACGAGAAATATCAGGAGTATTTTCTAAGCTTCATATTCTAAGTACATACACCCCAAGGGAAATTGCATAGAAGAATCTCCATTACAGGACTGACTTGGTCCCTTTTTGCAAGTCATTTTCTGTCTTCCTAAGGCCAGGCATCATTGTCCACTTGCTGGATATTTGATTTTGCCAGTGAATTTCTTGCCATGCATGCACTGTAGGAAAAGCTTCACATGTAATTGTGGTTTCATCCAGTGATCATTTACTTCCATCTATATTTTTTTCCCCACTATCTGAAGCTCAAACATTTTTTCCTAACAGGGACACACCAGAACCTTTTGTGTATCCATGCGTTAGTTTACTTGTATGCCTACTGAGAATATCACAAAGGCTTTTCTGTCGACAGTAGGAGTTCGAGTGATTTCACTGGTATCTTTTCTGCACATTTCATCAGACAGCAGTGTCTGGTGAACATTCTGTTTACATCTTCAACTTTTTCCCAGCTGATTGATCTTAGTTTGGTCTCAGGGCACTGCTGATGACTCAGCTCACTAGTCCATTCAGTTTAAGTGAATTTCTAATCTTCTGTAGTTTCCTTTCCAGTAGTACAGCACAATTTTATTCTTCCCTTCAAAACTCTTGCCACTGATGTTCTGAAGAGAATGGTAAGTTTCCAAGTCTAGAAACCCTTGTTTGACTGAAACTCCCACCAAGGTATATATTACCGCTATATCTCAACCTTCCCATAATAAAATAAGATATATGGACACTTCTGAAGATGATTTTGATGCACCACAGTAATTAAAATTCTTTAAAGTGCTACCCTACCCTGAAAAATGACTCTATTAAAATAGCATTGCAGTGTTCCACGTTTATGGTCTCTCAGATTCCAGATCAAATCTTCCCTGTTTTCAGGTTTTAAAAAAAAAAATTATTAACTGCCCACCTTGCAAACTGCAGTTAATCTGAAAGTTAAGCTGGGTCCTTTCTGGCCTGCACTTCAACAGTTAGAACTTAGGCCCTGATCCTGCCTATCCAGAGTCCCAATGAAGTTGGTGGGGATTTGCTCAGTCACCGGGATTTGCCCATGCAGAGCCCACTGCTGGACTGGGGACCAAGTTAATTCTTTTGATGATACATAAGACATAGTAAAACCCAGCTTTCCCTCCCACAGCTGTACTGGTTCCACAGGAGTCAGAGATAGTAAAAACTTAGGGAGAGAGTTCAGTGACATAAAGCAGATCAAAAGCAGCTCTACTGAGTAAAAAAATGCCATTTTATAAGGTAGCTTTCAGAACAGAGTCACATTTTAACACAGGGTTTCAGATGGGACATAATCTTGTTACAGTTTGTGATATCACAGTGTAAAATCCAAGGCTAAAAATTTACTTAGATTGTAATCTTTTTCTTTTGTGTTTGTACAGAGCCTGGCACAGTGGAGCTCTGGTCCATGACTGCGGCTCCTAAGCACTACCCAATACAAAATAAATAATATGGTATATCAAAGCATGTACATATAAAAGGAACTGGATTCTTATGAGGTTGTCTTCCAATATAACAACGGTTTTTGCACTAGTAGCTTTAGCTTTCACATTCCTAGCTTTATTTTTATCTTGTTCTAGGACTGGAACAGGTTTTATAAAAGCCAGATCGGCTGCAGCTGCCCTAATTGCTCTCTCAGGAGACAGTCTGCTTACTAAATACAAAGGTGGGAAAAACAGATCTTTACACACTACTCAAGGTACTATGTACTGAGTGTTGACCAAATCTCCAATCTATTTTTCTACACAAAAAGAAAACAGGGTCCTAATGTGCACAAATGTAAGTACATGGGACCAAAATCTACCGCTTTATGGTAGGAAAAAGGTGGATGCAGAAGATAAGCTATTACCAGCAGGACAGTGGGGTGGGAGGAGGTATTGTTTCATATTCTCTGTGTGTATATAAAGTCTGCTGCAGTTTCCACGGTATGCATCCGATGAAGTGAGCTGTAGCTCACGAAAGCTCATGCTCAAATAAATTGGTTAGTCTCTAAGGTGCCACAAGTACTCCTTTTCTTTTTGCGAATACAGACTAACACGGCTGTTACTCTGAAATCCATCTATCAGTGATTATTATATAGTACGGTTTGTGTAAGCATCTCAGAACAAGTCACAGAAAATACGATGGTGGTAATAGCTTTCTTGATAGTGGTGTATTGATGAGACACACCCAATTGTTGCCATGGCAGCTCTTGTTGGAAATAAGTTGCATTCAGAATCTTCAGGCTCTGCCAGGATTGTAAAGCTGTCTTCTCCTGTCCTTTGCAGCTTTGTTTCAACTCTATGCTGATCCCAATGGGAAGGAGACCCTGATCACTCGGAGGGCCATGAGGAGCCTGCTGTCAGACTTACATCAGGTGCTACTCCACACATGGAATGGCTAAGTGTAGTAAAAAGTGGTTGTGAAAGGACTAACTGGGTTACCCCAAATATTATGGGATGGAGCCTTGCTCCACCCTTCCCTTCCTATTTTGTAAGGTGCGGGGCTTTCCTTCACTCTGTTGTGCTACAGGTGAATAAAGGAGCAAATTCCCAGCCTGCAGCACTGTGAGTAGAGAGTTTGTTTTGTTGAAATGAGCAGTCCCTTTACAAAACTGACTGAAGTCATTGGGGCTCCGTGTAAGCACAGGGATATGCTATGCAGACCAGTTGTTGGATCAGGGCTTCAGTGTCAAATCCTGTTGTCTTCACTCAGTCAAAATTCCCATTCATATCAGTGCCTCTGCAGCTTGAGTTCTGGCTAAATTTATGGTAGCCATATCCTGTAAGTAGTTCCAAGAGAATGGAGTTGCACCTATGCAGAATTCTGTTGTTGTCACAAGGGGCTCCAGCTGCTTGCTGGATCAGGCCATAGCTACTTAGATTGTAAGCTTCTTGGGGAAAGGGAGGAGGAGGTTTTGGAACAAATTGATAAACTAAACAGTAATAAGTCACCAGGACCAGATGGTATTCACCCAAGAGTTCTGAAGAAACTCAAATGTGAAATTACAGAACTACTAACTGTAGCCTGTAACCTATCATTTAAATCAGCTTCTATACCAAATGACTGGAGGATAGCTAATGTGACACCAATTTTTAAAAAGGGCTCCAGAGGTGATCCTGGCATTTACAGGCCGGTAAGCCTGACTTCAGTACCGGGCAAACTGGTTGAAACTATAGTAAAGAACAAAATTGTCAGACACATAGATGAACATAATTTTGTTGGGGAAGAGATTTCCCTTTTGTAAAGGGAAATCATGCCTCACCAATCTACTAGAATTCTTTGCAGGGGTCAACAAGCATGTGGACAAAGCGGATCCAGTGAATATAGAGTACCTAGATTTTCAGAAAACGTTTGACAAGGTCCCTCACCAAAGGCTCTTAAGCAAAGTAAGCTGTCATTGGATAAGAGGGAAGGTCCTCTCATGGATCGGTAACTGATTAAAAGATAGGAAACAAGAGTAGGAATAAACTGTCAGTTTTCAAAATGGAGAGAGATAAATAGTGGTGTCCCCCACAGGTCTGTACTGGGCCCAGTCCTATTCAATATTCATAAGTAATGTGGAAAAAGGGGTAAACAATGAGGTGGCAAAATTTGCAGACGATACAAAATTGCTCAAGATAGTTGAGTCCCAGGCAGACTGCAAAGAGCTACAAAAGGATCTCTCAAAACTGGGTGACTGAGTAACAAAATGGCAGATGAAGTTCAATGTTGATAAATGCAAAGTAATGCACATTGGAAAACATAATCCCAATTATACATATAAAATGAGTTCTAAATTGTGGATAAGTCTCTGAAAACATCCACTCAATGTGCAGTGGCAGTCAAAAAAGCAAACAATGTTGGGAATCACTAAGAAAGGGATAGATGATAAGACAGAAAATATCATATTGTTTCTATATAAATCCACGGTACACTCACATCTTGAATACTGTGTGCAGCTGTGGTCGCCCCATCTCAAAGAAGATATATTGGAATTGAAAAATTTTCAGAAAAGAGCAACAAAAATTATTAGGGGTATGGAACGGCTGCTGTATAGGCGAGATTAATAAGACTGGGACTTTTCAGCTTGGAAAAGAGATGACTAAGGGGGGATATGATAAGAGGTCTATAAAATCATGACTGGCATGGAGAAAGTAAATAAGGAAGTGTTATTTACTTCTTCTCATAACACAAGCACTAGGGGTCAACCAATGAAATTAATAGGCAGCAGGTTTAAAACAAACAAAAGGAAGTGTTTTTTCATACAACACAAAGTCAACCTGTGGAACTCCTTGTCAGAGGATGTTGTGAAGGCCAAGACTATAACAGGGTTCAAAAATGAACTAGTTAAGTTCATGGAGAATAGGTCCATCAATAGCTATTAGCCAGGATGGACAGGAATGGTGTCCTGACCCAGTATGGACGTTCTGATGTTCAGGGACCTTCTTTTTGTTCTGTTTGTCCAGGGCCTAGCATAATGGGGTCTTGGTCCATGACTGGGGCTCCTATGGGTCTATCATGATACAAATAATAAACAGCAGCAGCAGCCAGGCATTACTCATTGGCATGGCTCTGAGAATGGCCTTCAGGAAGCTCTCAGCCAGGAGATACTATAAGGTGTGGAGGTTGAGGTGGGAGTTTTCTCACTTCACTGTGTTTAGGAAAACATGGAATAAGTCTATGCTGGAAAAAGAAAGTCTGTCCTACTACTGACAGCACAATCTGTTGATTCATATCTAATTACTGGGCCAGAGGCATCATTCTGACACATACTCAGGTTTAGAATTACACTCGTGTCATGTGTCTAAATTTAAACAGTCTTTCCCCCACTATTAGAAGTAAATGGCTTTTCCTTTGACACTTCACCATCTGTGCTCTGTCACTACATCGGTATAGCCTGGTGGTGATAGCTGTCTTATAATGGTGGTTCTGAACAGTTGTCTGTCTTCCTGATGTAGATCCCAGCCATTGTGGGAGAAAGCTGTGCTCAATCTTGTGTGGAAATTGCTATTCGAAGCTGCTTCCATGGGGTGAGTAGAATTCAGATGACCCTAGGAAGTGACTATGAATGTTGCTGACTGATTGAAATTGCCAGTGTATCACATTACAGCAGTTAACGTTACCTCATTTTAAGGGACAAGCTTGCTTCCCAATTCCACATGGTAAACATCGGACACCAATAAAGAAGAATACTCAATAAGGTACTAGCATGGACCCCTGCACTCGTGTGGAGACCCTTTGAAGCCAGTGGCATTCTACATGGGTGGAGGAGTCTGTGCTAGCATATCCTGATTTAGGATCAGGGCTTATATTATGAGGTGTGACAGAGGCAATAGTTCTATTTAAATAAGTGATTGAACCAGAGATTGATATTCTTTTCCAGGTTCTGAACTCAGCAATCAGTGAAGAGAAATTCCTATCTTGGCTACAGTCTGAACCTGGCCTTCTTCTGTGGCTTCCTACCTGTTATAGATTATCAGCCACTGAAATGGTTATGCATCACGTTAGATGTAGCATCTGTAAGAATTTCCCCATCACTGGACTAAGGTACAGCATGCTTACTATGAAGTATTATTTGTAGCATACAGAGATCAGCACCCCATTGCGCTAGGTATTTTACATGGACGTAGTGAGAGATAGCTGCAGCCTCAAAGAGCTTACAGTATAACTAGACAAGACAAGACAGATGGGGAAATAGAAACACAAAAAGGGAAAGTGACATGCCTGAGATCACACAGCAAGCCAGTGGCAGAGCTGGGTATAGAATTCAGGTTTCCTGAGCCCTGGGCCAGTACCCTGGCCATTATGCAATGCTGCCTTGTAGCAAAACTTAACAGCAACATCTACTTCCTGAGCAAATGCAAGAAACAAAACATCATCCCCAGAGGTCTCACCATCTATAACCCTCAGAACACTACATACAACAGTTACCTCACCTGTGTTGTCTCTGTAATATCCTGGGACCGACCCGGCTACAAGTACATTGCATACATTGTAGCCATGGTGTCTTTTTGTTATTAAATCTTCTTTTGCCTTCTCCAGTTGGTTAGCTACGATATCCCTTACGTCAGCGATTCTCAAACTGTGGGTCAGCAGTTCTCAAACTAATGGGATCACCAGGGCTGGCTTAGACTTGCTGGGGCTTGGGGCCCAAGCCAAAACCCGAGGGATTCAGCCCTGGGTGGCAGGGCTCAGGTTTTGGTCCCTCCTCCTGGGGTCATGTAGTAATTTTTGTTGTCAGAAGGGGGTTGCAGTGCAATGAAGTCTGAGAACCTCTGCTTTATATCCAGGCAACTAAAAAAATACCTCAGAGTATTAAAGGAATGCTACCAGGTAGCTAGGGCCCAAAATAAAAAGCAAATGAAAAGCAAATATCAAGAGCTTAATATTAATGTAAATGTTTTCATGAAACTAGATCATGATCTGGTTTTGAATATTCTCCGGCAGTGTTTGCCTAGATCTATTTTACAAAACTCCTCTACAAAGACCCAACAAGCTCTGTGAGGGAACAAGGGTCTCAAGAGCTGTACAAGTATTCAAAGTCCAGTGAGGGCTACACAGGGAACAGTCAGTTCTCCATCCTAGTCTAGCTGTAATCAAGACCTCTAGTTTTGAATTCAGTATCTCACACCTGGTTTAATAAAAATGGAATAGGGCTCAGGGCACTGCCTGTTTAAACTGTGAATAACTGCTTTTTCAGTTCAGTGGCTGAACTAAATCATCAGTGGGGAAAATTGTTTTCATAGAATCATAGAATCATAGAATATAAGGGTTGGAAGGGACCCCAGAAGGTCATCTAGTCCAACCCCCTGCTCGAAGCAGGACCAATTCCCAGTTAAATCATCCCAGCCAGGGCTTTGTCAAGCCTGACCTTAAAAACCTCTAAGGAAGGAGATTCTACCACCTCCCTAGGTAACGCATTCCAGTGTTTCACCACCCTCTTAGTGAAAAAGTTTTTCCTAATATCCAATCTAAACCTCCCCCACTGCAGCTTGAGACCATTACTCCTCGTTCTGTCATCTGATACCATTGAGAACAGTCTAGAGCCATCCTCTTTGGAACCCCCTTTCAGGTAGTTGAAAGCAGCTATCAAAGTTGAGTTGACTCCATTCAAAACAAATTTTTAGCAAACCAAAAAAAATTAAAGTTTTACACTTTGGGTTAAATGAAACATTTCCTTTAGTTTTTTGGGGGAGGTTCGCCTTTTAAAAATAAAATTGCCGTAAAATGTGAAACAAAGGCTTTTTGAATTGAAAAATCATAACATTTCAAAAATCTTGAAATAAACATTTCAGATTCTGATTTTTTGAATGAAACAATTGGACCCTAATTCTCAAAAAGTTTCAGTTGACTCAAATCTGCATTTTTAATTGAAAAAAGTTTCAGCTGAAAAGCTTCACCCTGCTCTATTGCCTGGTCTCCAGCAAACCAGGAGTTAACTGCAGCTTCTCTTTCCCCATCTCTTGGACAGGTGCTATGAGAAGGGTGAAGGGAGGACGTCTGAGAAAAGACGGGACTAGGCGAGAGGACAGTGATAAACCTAGGACAGGGAGTTTTACTATTATACTTTTGTGGCAATGTTAGCTTGCATTATTGACTTAAGTTTTTCCAAAGTCATAGGTCTCACTTTGCTCTGATGCCCCAGCATTCATCATTCTGGGATGTTACAGCCCACAATGAACTGTATATAGAGACAGGTTTCAGAGTAACAGCCGTGTTAGTCTGTATTCGCAAAAAGAAAAGGAGTACTTGTGGCACCTTAGAGACTAACAAATTTATTTGAGCATAAGCTTTCGTGAGCTACAGCTCACTTCATCGGATGCATACATGAAGTGAGCTGCAGCTCACAAAAGCTTATGCTCAAATAAATTGGTTAGTCTCTAAGGTGCCACAAGTACTCCTTTTCTTTTTGTATATAGAGATAAACTGAAGCATGCAAAATACGAGGATACCACAACAGGACCAAAAAAATGGTATCATCGGCAACTATGGCTCCACTATATGAAGTTCAGTGCATCAGTTATTAACTATAAAAATAAAGCTGTTCTAAGGATTAGAACATTGTCAGCTGATCAATTACTCTTGTTTTGATAATGAACTCCTTGGCTCTCCCCTAGCTGTGGGAAACCATTACTACATTGATAATATCATCAGTAAAGCTGGGTTTTTTGATTAACTTTTCACCGAAAAATGCCAAATTTGATGACCAAGGTTGGTTTCAACAAAGTGTCAGACTTCAAAAAGTTTTTGGAAAAGAAAACGGACATTTTCAAAAGAGAAAGTTTCAGTTTTGAGTGAAAACAACTTTTCGTTTCAAAGTTTCAGTAAATTTAGTCTAAAAAGTCAAAAAAACAAACAAACAAACAAAAAACTCCAACTCCAAAATAAACAAAGGTCAAAATCAAAAACCAAAACATTTCAAAATCATCAGAATGAAATGTTTCACTTGACCCAAACCAAAACCTTTTTCAGATTTTCAGTTTGTGAAAATTCATGATTTTGACTTTTCATCCTTATTTCGGACAGAAAAATTTTCAATATCTCAAATTTTCTTGGACCAGAAAAACTGTTGCCTGCCCAGCTCTGTCTAGATTATCAAACATTCATGGGTGCTGATTTCTAAGATCCCAATTCACTTGCATGAATTTGCCAGTCCTTGAAGGTTAATCTTATCCTTTCTGTTTTCCCTGACAGGTATCGCTGTCTGAAGTGCCTGAATTTTGATCTTTGCCAAGTCTGCTTCTTCACTGAGCGTCAGAGCAAACCACACAAGAGGTCACACCCTGTGATGGAGTACTGTGTGAAGGTACCATCCCATTTTACTGACTCATCTGCTTGCTTGGCCTATTGGTATGGATAGGTAGGCTCATGGCTATGATGATTAGAGAGAGAGAGCATGTGTGTGTGTGATCACCCCCATGAAATATATCCGCACTAGCTGCTGAGCAATGTTAGGTGAGAGAATGAATAAAGTGGGGTTTTAAGTTTAGAATTTTCACTCTGCTTTGAGATAAAGACACAGTCTAGTCACATGGGACACCGAGGAGTAAATCCTGCCCCGTCCTGTGTGTGTGGTATGTCACGTCACCACCCACAGGCATCCACCATCCCATTTTTGGACCTGTGGAAGGGGCCCTCCATGGCACCAGACTTTTGTGTGTGCAGACTGGTTGGGAGGGGGAAGGAAGGAAGGGAGCTTGGCATATGGCTGTAGGAGACATGGATCATTCCCCCTCCCTTCTACCCCACCCTGTGTCCATTCAGGAGCTAATTCAGTGTAAAGCTGCAAGAACTCCTCAGTAAAGCATCTTCTAGTTGGTTTATCAACCTTTGCGAGGCGGCCCCAGGGGCTGTGTGTGAAAAGAGAATTCCTTTTTCATCATGGCTTCACATAGCAGTGTGGCAGGACGGACACCAAGGAGATCACCCCTCGGTTAAAGGAGGACTCCAGTCCTACAGACCACCACATCCAGAAGATGACTGTATTAAATGGAATAGATTGTTGCACTAGCACCTAGAAGTCACTGTGCTAGGCACTGTGCAAACATACAGTAAATGAGAGTCTGTCCCGGGCCACAGAGCTCATAGACTTAGGAAAAAAATGGAGACGTAACAGGTGAATGAGACAAACAAGCCAGTCAGTGTGGGAGAGCAGTGAGGAAGAAACTCTGCAAGGGGAATCCCAGAGTTTTCATCTGCTTGCTGCAAGCTGATCCAAAGGGAAACCCCTGCACTAAACCCTTCTGAAATCAATGGGGTTCCAGGAAGCCAGAGGACTCCACCCACAAGGATCAGCTTGCAGAATGAGGGTCTGAAGGTGTGTTGACATTAGAAAATGAACTGTGTTTGAAAGCAGTTGACAAACACACTTACTTTCTAAGCCAAACTGAGCACAGGCTTTACTGTGCCCAACAGCTAATTCAGAAAGTATTGTATAGCTCAGGTGAAAGTGGCAACTGACCATGATATAGCCTATCCTTTAAATCAGTGGTTCTCAACCTGGGATCCAGGGCCCCCTGGGGGGGCTGCAAGCATGTTTCAGGGGGGCCGCCAAGCAGAGCCAGTGTTAGACTTGCTGGGGCCCAGGGCAGAAAGCTGAAGCCCCACCACATGAGGCTGAAGCCCAGGGCCCTGAACCCTGCCACCCGGGGCTGAAGCCGAAGCCTGAGCAGCTGAGCTTCACACAGGCTCTGTGGCATGGGGCCCCGGGCAACTACCCTGCTTGCTACCCCCTAATGCGGGCCCTGGCTTTTATATACAGAAACCAGTTGTTGTGGCACAGGTGGGCTGTGGAGTTTTTATAGCGTGTGTGTGTGTTTGTGTTTTTGGGGGGTGGGGTGGGGCCTCAAAAAGAAAAAGGTTGAAAATCCCTGGTCTACATTGTCTTTCTCTAGCCCCCATGCCAATGTTTATAATGACAATGCTGTTTTTCTTTACCACAGTGACACCTTGTGGTAGTTTTATCATCAATGTAAGACATGAGTGGAACGTACAATGGTTGCATTATTTTTTCCTGTTTGCTTTTTCACAATTCCCCATGTAGATGCACTAGATGCATAATGAGCATCAAATGCTCCCAGCTAGGAAAGGCAGCATTTTACACCCACTTTTCACAGCAGGAAGTAACTGGGCCCTTTGTTGTCTTTCCAGCACATTCTTAAAAACCACCTCAAAAAGGACATTAGGTTCACCCCTATCTACAAAACAAAATCATATTAAAGATGAGGGTTCTATTAAGCTCCAGACAAACTAGGGAAGAGCAACTAAAGTTAGCCAGCATCCACAAAGGTCTGGAGTTACATTAGCTTTCTTGTGGGTAGAGGGGAGAAGACAGCAACACTCAGCTTTATCTGGGATTGTGTTGACCGACTGACTGCTTGCTGCTTCAGAGCAGTGCTGGTTTTAAATCCACTCCTTTCTCTGTTACATATCATTCCAGCAGATGTCAGCAAAGGAGAATGCAAAGATCTTTTTTCGCACTGTCAGAAATAACCTGCTTCAAGAGCGCTGCAGAAGGAAGGAGGCTCAGAGAAGGCAGATACTGGAAACGATGGAGGGAGGGGACTTTCCAGAACATGAGCAAGCACTGTGAGTGTGAGTCCCAGGGTATTTATACCACCTGAGTGGTGAATTTGAAGAGACCAGATACTTCCAAGCTGCAGCACATTCACCACCTGCATTTAACAGTGCTAAAATAGAAGCAGTTTTGAACATAAGCTACTTGACTGTGCTCACACAGTAAATGACTTTGATTTGACAGATGAAATGTGGTCAGTGATCAGTCCATAAAACACAAATTAAGATTACAAAATGGAAGGGTTGAAACTGTACAATAAAAGCAGCTTCTTTCCATGCTTTTTAAAAAATACCAGTCATCTGAAATAAGCCTTTGCATGATATATTGATACTGTGCCCACAAAGTAGCCATTACAGTCTATGGGGGTCAGTGACTGAGAACCTTTTCCATGCCGTGACTTCATGTTATGGCAGAAAGAGGAGCAGGAATCTGCAAAGCTCTCACCCTAGAGAATGTGAAGGTGGTCGCAATGGCCCCCATACTGAGAACCTATCTAACACACTTCCATAAAAGAAATTTTAAAACATTCTATCAGGCCTTGGTCCTATATAGTAACTGCAGAACTCAGCCTTGCTGACAAGTAGAAAGGAAGGCTGGTCGTGTGGTTATGGCCCTGGGTTGGGATTCAGAAGCTCGGGGTTTATTTCCCAGCTCTGCTACTGAAGTGACACCTTGGACAAGTCACTTAACTTATCTGAACCTCAGTGTCCCATCTGAAGATGGGGACAGCGATGCTTCCTTTGTCTATTTAGAATGTAAATGCTTTAGGAAAGGCGCCATGTTTTTCTAGGTATTTGTACAGACGTAACACAATAGGCCCTGATCTCAGGTGGATTCACTAGGTATTACCATAATACAAATAAGCAAGCAGTTTTGGATGAGTCAGTTACTCTATAACACATACTCTCCTTTAGGGGGTGTCATGAGTGTTGTAGTCCATCAACTCTTTAGGATGCTTGGCAGCAGAGTAGGTGAACAATGAATTTGAAGGCGTGTGACTTCTTACGTCAACCTTCTACAGGGGTTTGAATATTATGGTGCTGGGGGCCGTACTAATAACTACCTAAATAAAACAACAAAGATGGAATTAGAATTATGAGCACCATTCACAAACAAGCACACATTTATTTTGTTTTCTCTTCTTAATGTCAGCTCTGTGTGCCATGTTTTGTCAAATCTAATCTCGGGCCCAGCTTTGCAATACTTACTACCAGACAGTACCTCCCACTGTGGGTAACACCACTGAAGTCAATGAGACTGCTCTGTGCCCTTTAGACTCAGGTAATTGACTTAAGTCTGTTACCTCCCTTCCTGAATGACCCATGTCCCTTTACGTCATCCAGGTGTGAGAAAAGGCTCCTCTTAGGTTCACTGCAATACTCTATATCTGTGAGTTGTTTTGGCATCTTGTTATGCTTGTCCTTCATTTGACCCATTCTTGCACTTTGTCTATGGGGGACTTGAATGAGACTGAAGAGGTCTCTTAACCATGTGCTGGTCCTTAGCACAAGTTCTGAATGTTTGTCTTGCCTAATTGGTCTGTTCAGTTTGTAGACTTAAATATCTGCCAAACAGGGCTTAAGTAAAATTGAATGATGGTATTCATCCTTTTGAACAGGGGTGAATTTCATCCTTCCCAACAGGAAGGAAGTGGAAAATATATTTACTAAACTTTACACTGAGTAGTGTTATTGCTATTAGAAACCAATTTTAAATACATTCAGACTAATCAAGGCCCCTAGCTACAGTATGAATAGTTTGCTGGAATTTCAACCTTGTGCTGGAATTTCAACCTTGTGCTGGAATTTCAACCTTGTCAACAAGCTATTTGATCACTGAGATGTTGCTTAAGTGTTTGTTCCTTAGCATGGAATGTGATTGAATGCAACTTGCCCATTAATTCTTTCATGACTGATATTTGCTTACTTTCATTTAGCAACAAAAGCTCCCTTCTTTACATGAACTTTACCGTAATCTTTCTCCAAGTCCACAAGGTCATTTGATGACTTGAGGGGTTTTTGCTTATATCACATTTGGGCAGGATAAGCCATCAGTGAGAGCAGAATTTTGAGTTGCTACTCCAGGTGTCATTAAAAGGATCATTGGTACCTCAGCCTAGCACAGATTGGGCCACAGGATTTCTGGCTTTCTAAAACTTTCCTTAGTTGAATTGCCCCTAGTTTAGTTGGCCCTCTACTGCCAATGGCTAAGAAACAGGGGAAGATGAAAAGGGAGAGCAGCTGTACTGTTGCTAAATGAAGAGGAACTGGAATTCCGTGCTAAAGACTTTATGGTCTCCATTCAATAAACAAAATGACATCCACTGTCGATTATCCATTTTTACAGCCAAATATAGTGCTAGCTAACAGTGGTCATAACTACTCCGTAATTCCTACTCAGGCATGACAGTTATTACTCTGTTGAAAACAGAAGTTTTATTTATGATGATTCTAGGGAAAGGAACCTAAGAGTTGAGCTTCTCATTTCATCCTCTCTTTATTTTTGCTTTCTTTCCTGGTGTACAGGCCCTCTACAGAGCTCAGCACCTCCCCACAGCCTGCCCATCATTACCTATCCTCCCCAGAAAACAGACTGGCCCCAGAGTCATCCAAGCACTTAGCTGAAAAGGGGTCTGCAGTGCAGCAGATTGAGAATGACAACAGGGCACCAGCACAAGACAAGACATCAGCTCAGGTGAGCAAAAACAAGATATAGCCACACTGAACAAATCAGGGTGAGTATTGAAGCGTGCAGGGAGACCCAGACCAATTATCGATCAGCTTTCAGACTGCCTATTAAATACTGATCCTAAGATGTTCCCTTGGTTAACTTCAACTCTGTTAATTTCTCATGTTGGAGGGAGGGAAGTGGGCAGGAGGAAGTAGAAGGAAACAAATCAGGAACCTGGAAACTTCGTAGTCATCCCTTAAAGAGCTTGACTACATTTCAATATTGGTGACTGCAGAAGAGTTGACTCACCATTGGCAAGTCCCCGGATGGCAGAGCTTGAGATAGCAGCTCTTTCTTGCCTAACACTGTCAATAGTTTCTCCGGCCCTTTGATGATCGGTCTCATCTTGCAAGTCAGCCCTCTAGCCACATTACATTTTAGTTCCCCACTTTTGAGGTAACAGAGTCTAACAAATAACAGTCCCAGTGTCCTTACGAAAGGTCTTCACACTCCTTCTCTCAGGGCTTCCAGTCATCCTTATTCCCCTCTCAGAGGGCTTCATGCCATCTTTCCTGTGGCTGGTAAGGAAACCCAGATCCTCCCACTCCACTAGGTTCCAGAGCAGGTATCATGAAACAAACAGCAGTAGTCTGCTCCATGAGACTCCTTGCTGCTACATCCCTGGACCTGTTCTGACTAACTACAACCATTATGTCAGGTCTCCTGCTGTGATCTACTCTCCAGGCCCTATTCAGTACCTCCAGCCTCTCCCTGCTTCTTACAGACTCTGCCTCAGGGTCTCCCACAGGACCTACTTGTTCTCTGTAGCCCTTGCAGCTGTATCCCCTCAAACTTCAGTCCAAATGCCCCTTAGGCCCAGACTTCTCTTTGGCTTTAGTTCAGCTAAACTTTCTAGCTATCTCTCACTTGGGTCTTCTGCCTGCCTACCTTCCTATTGCTCTATGCTCCTTAGTCCTTCCTTTATGAAGGCCCAGTTCCTCCCCCCTGGGTATGATCATCAGTTATGCCTGACACCCAGAGGCTTAATTGGGCTCAGGCTCTATTAACTGCTGGTTAACAAGTCTGGGGTGTATACACCCAATCATAGTGGCTAGGCCCAGATTCACAAAGGGACTTAGGTGCCTAAAGCCTAGATTTAGACACCTAAGTCCCAGCTTTTAGTCACCACTGCAATTCACAAGACTCCCACTGACCCTGTAGGCACTGACACTTAATTAGCCTAAAAATTTTCAAGAGTGAAATTTCCTAAGGTGCTTAAGTTTCTACCTTGGGGCACGTGCACTGCTGCTCCATGCTAGGGACCTGAACACTTACCTTCCACCTCAGCCCAGAGCAATTCAAGAACCCAGGGAATACAGACATTCCTCTGCTTAACTCGCCTGCAGAGCCCTATCCAGTCAGCATGCTCAGAGCACACCTTCCAGATTGGGCGCCGTCGGCAAGCTCACACAAAATGGCTGGGGCGAGGAGGAGGATCTGCTCCCTCATAACTTTTAGCCTAGTGGTGATGTGGGAACTTCAGGTGTCCCAAGCTCCACCAAACTGGGCTCTAGCCCCCTGCATCCTTACAACAGAGATGTCTCAAGGCAGCGTTTCTTCCCAGCTTATGAAGGCCCTACATAACTTTCTAGCTGAGTGGTTAGGGCTGTCACCTGGGATGTGAGAGCCCAGGGTCCAGTCCCCCTGCTCCAATTACTCTTTATTTATACACAGTGGAATAGCTTGAACAGGAGAGATTGAGGGAGCCCATGTCAGAATATCCTATTGCCCAATGATTAGGGTGCTCACCTGGAGGTAGCAGATTCCCAGTCAAATCCCTTCTCTTCATCCGGTGGAGGGGGCACTTGGACCAGGGCATCCCAGCTGAGTACCCTCCTCTCCCCAGCAATTAGCAAAAACCACTTTGGGCCCCGAACTCCAGAAAAGGGTTCACAGCTGAGAATCACTAGCAGAGATAGGCACTACCACATACCCCCCTTGTCAGCATCTCCCATTGGCTAGCTTAGGCAGCTCCCTGCTTAGCTGCTGGCTTTGTAAATCACAGTCTGGCTCTGCTCATTGTGCCGGAAGCCTAGCCCACAACTCAGGATTTGTGGATCACAGTGTTGTTCCTGTGATTTGTTATGCGCCTAAAAGTCAGGCATTGTAACACTGAGCACCACAACTCCTATGTCCCCTTGTGAATCTGGACCTCGTTATCTGAATGTGGTAGCACACACGGCTATTTGCACTGCAGGGTTATTTGTTCTGTTATTAATTTTTATTTGCATTACAGTAGCACATGACAGGCTCCACTGAGATTGTGGTCAAAATACCATCACCTCTCCCTTCTGAAAGCAACAGTTTAAGGAAAGACATCATAGGCCTGAATCTCAGTTAGGCTTGGGCCATTCTGTGCCATCATGACAGCATAAAGGCAGCAGAAATAGTCCCTCTGAAGATATGTCCAGAGTAGTGATTCTCTCCAGCCAATGTAGAAGTGCCATAAAGGCTCTAAACCAACTCTGCTCCCTGCCCAGCAGCCATGTTAGGGGCATGCTGGGAGTGGGTGGAGGTGAATGCATTGCACAACAGTATTGCTTTATTTTCCAGGGGCCATGGGAATCAGAATGTAAGTTAGAGTAGCCTCAGGTTAGGCAGCCTCTGCATAGCCCTAGACTATGGGGAGCACAAAAGAGGTCAAGGCCAATTTTGCCTCCCCACCCCTCTGTCTCTTCCCCAGCTCCAGAATGGAGTAATTGAGAATCAATCCCCGTATATAAGCTCATCTATTTTGCCATCACACCCATGCCTCTCTTCAGGAGCTGTACTTCCATGGAGAACATGAGACACTGTCAGCCACCATGTACCAGCAGTAGCAGCTGTGAGCATCTGCAGATGTTCAAGTCAAGAGCACTTCACCTCATTGTCAGGCATGCATTCATTTCAGAAGAGAGAGAGACAGGACTGCCACCTTTGGGTTCCTGCAGTGTATTCTTTTTCCATCTGGTGAGGTAGCCTGGGGTTTTGTCATGCTGGCTGTTGACTTGTTTAGTTTCTCCATGGGCTGAGAATTCTTTCTGAGAAGCTTTATCCTCCTTTTGTGTTCTACACTGACATCATGCTGGTTTTTCAGTGCTGCTTTAAAAGACACAGATTGGAAGTCCTAGAGTCCTGTTTTGTCAGAAGGTAGATATAGGATGTACCAGAACTGTACCAGACATGTGCTAAATCAAGATGCTTAGGGGTTCCTGAGGATCTGCTTCCAGGCACAGTGGAAAAGTGTGATCCATAGAGAAGTATCCAGACTGTTAGAAATGTGCTAATACCTCAAGTTAATGGCAGTCAAATAACTCAAGACAAAAACTGTCATGTAGACATATCCTAAATGTGATATTACTGCTTACAGCAAGGTTTACACAGCAAATATGATTACAAACACCACACTGGTAAAATTCAAAACAGAATCTTCTCTCTTTCTTCCATAGGCAATAGCCTCTATTAAGGCAGAATTGTTAAAAGCTCATGAATCCATCAAAGCCCTTCACAGTGAGAAGAGGTGGGTAAGTGTGTTAACACCAAAGCTGAAGCCAAATGGAGATAAGTGTTTTAATATTAAAACCAGACAACTTGAATAAACATTACTGCTTCTTTCCTTCCAGTCCCAACCCTTCATTTCCAACCCTAAACCAGACCAAAGCAAGAGAAAGGTTTTTATCCTTGTGCAGTGTGTGTGTGTCTGTGTGTGTGTCCGTCCATCAGATTTTTTCTAGCTGTCAAATGCTGGGCTAAGCTCTCGTGTGCATTATTCAGTGAGACAGCTTGCAAGTCTTAATTCTGTCATGTGGGCATCAATTTAATGAACCAAATTTTCTGCTGGTGTCAATTGGCATGGTTCCATTTAAGTCAAAGAAACTGTGCCAGTTTACACCAGGGAAGAGTTTGGCCTTACACATGGGTCAGTCATATATACCATTAAATGCAGTATATGTTAATTATGGCCTCTTATTCTCTTTTTCATGTTCTCAAGAGCCATGTCAGAGAACCTCATTAATATATGTTGTCACTTATTAATTTCTCTTTAAATATTATTACAAGAATTAAGCTGTTTTTATTGGCTCCTCATGAACACAGCAAGATAGTTCAGCTCCTATCGTCCCTGCAAAAGATAAAAAAAAAATACAAATAACAATTTTCCAAGTCCTTTTTTAGATTATTATAATATTATCATTTAAATTTACTACTAATACAAGCAAAATCTTCTGCCTTTTCCAGAACACAAGTTGGAAATAACCCCTAGAATGCAGCTTTATTATCCCAATCATGATTGCATGATGTGATGCATTGATAGCAATAAACTTTTTTGAAAACATGAAGCATGTTATTTGTAAACAAGTCTTAAAATAGCAAAACACTCACACAATGTTGGTCAGACCAGCTGCCTTAACAAAACCACACACACACACAGAAGAAATACTTAATACCTGACACAATCCCCATGCCACTACATGTCCTCTCACCCCATGTTCTCCTTTCCCTTCTTTACACATTTTCCCTTCACTTGACAGTGGGGTAGGGAGGTGGATGTTTCCATTAGAGAAGAGTTGAAGAAGGAAGGCTGCATGGAGTTTAGTTGTCCTGTCCCACTGCTTTTGAATCCTGTATGAATCTGAGGTATGTTGCAGGATGATCGTGCTGTGGTGTGGGGGAGGCAACAGGAGATGGTATTCTGGCAGCCATTATGGACAGGAATTGCTGAAACAGTTCCCTGTTGAGCTCTGTCTCCCTCCCTAAGCCACCATTCCTGTTCCAGGAACTGCTTTCCAAGTGCCAGCCCCCTCGCTGAAACCCTGTTTTCTACCTGGGTGGTGAGCCCCAGCCTTTCCTCTTGCCTGTCAGTATGCTGTTGTTTCAGTCTTTCATCCCTCTTCTTCTGGTACCAGACCCGCTCGTCTGCCCTCTTAAGATCATCAACCATAACTTTGTCATGGAAACTCTTCCTTTTGGAATGGTTCGTGAAGGTACCTTGGGCCAGGGATCGAATTCCTGAAGAACAGCAGGCAGTAGAGGTTGAGGGTCCTGAAATAGGACAAGAAAAAGGATTGTTGTCTAAAGTAGCTCAGTGGAGGAGCACAGAATTAATTATGGTGGAATCTCAAGAACATAAAATGTAACATTTCTAAAGTGAACACATATTGTGACGGGAAGGCTTCAGTCCTCATGCTGTCTCTGAACACAGCCTTGTTAGTCACAGTTACAGAAGTGTGAAGACAATGGTAAGTTTAAAATTGTAACTTTTTTCTGTTTCATAAAAATTTCGTAACTAATTGTCATGCAGGGGAGGAGGAGAGGTGTGTATAATGCCCTTGCTGCAAAAGGCTTTTTCTGTCATTTCAGGTTTTGGAAGATGACATAAGTGTTCTTGTGGTGCTCTATTGGCAGAGGGACATGTTATTCCAAGCTGCTGGAGGGAAACATACAGTGTATGCAGCTGAAGTATTCAAACATATAGTGACCAAACAGCATATCTGAGAGTGGGGTGGACTAGTCAGCTATACGGGGCAGGGAGGTCCTGGAAAATACGCCCTTCCCCACAATGTGACTATCTATGTGGAGCTCCTGCTTCAGGAAAAGCATGCAGCTATCAGCAGCCAGGATTGGGTCAGAATCCATGAAGGAATTAACCTTAAGAGCTGACACAGCATCTTTGGCTTACCCTGTTACTGCTGCATACAAATATGCTAAAATCTGCAGCTTTTCTCCACCCTGCACCTGGCATAGTTCTGGGGAAAAACTGATGCCCCACTCGTACTTTGGAGAAATGAATTTGTGACCCGCAGACTGCATGGATTACGCTTAACAGAAATGAGCTAGATTTGGAAATAGAAGACTTTACCCCAAACACACATGCTCAGTTCGCTGTTCACAGGCAGCTGTATAGACCCAGGAGGAATGATTACAGCGTGGGATATTTCTTATTGCTGAAGGGAAATCATGAATGACCCTAGCAAACATCTGTGACTTAACAGCTACAATAACCTTTACAGCTGTTTATGAATCTTTGAAATTTCAGGTTGCCATTTTGAACTAAACAAGTGGGGGGAAGGGAAGGCAAACACCACGGTGCTGTGCTACAATCCACCATTATTGGCCACATGCTGATATCTGGGACTTATTTTTACATTGCTTCTTAGAGCAGAAATCCCTCCCATTACTGTAATAATAAACTGTAAATTTGAATCATACACTTACTGGGCTTTGGGGCCGCTTCAGACCGCACCGTGTTTGTTGCAAATTTTGGCAGTGGGCTGTTCCTCGGGCAGGGGGATCAAACAGCTCTTCCAAGTAGGGACCAAGAACTCACTGTTGATGCTGATCCACAGCCTGCTCTGGGACTGGTTTCATTAAGAGAGTCACTTCATGCCCTTCACTTGGAGCCTGCTGCTGGCTGCCTTCAGTCCTCATGGTGGATTCAGGGGCCAACATAGAATCATAGAAGATTAGGGTTGGAAGAGACCTCAAGAGGTCATTTAGTCCAACCCCCTGCTCAAAGCAGGACCAACACCAACTAAATCATCCCAGCCAGGGCTTTGTCAAGCCAGGCCTTAAAAACCTCTAAGGATGGAGATTCTACCACTTCCCTAGGTAACCCATTCCAGTGCTTCACCACCCTCCTAGTGAAATAGTGTTTCTTAATATCCAACCTAGACCTCTCCTACTGCAACTTGAGATCATTGCTCCTTGTTCTGTCATCTGCCACCACTGAGAACAGCCTAGCTTCATCCTCTTTGGAACCCCCCTTCAGGAAGTTGAAGGCTGCTATCAAATCCCCTCTCACTCTTCTTTTCTGAAGACTATATAAGCTGAATTCCCTCAGTGTCTCCTCATAAGTCATGTGCCCCAGCCCCGTAATCATTTTTGCTGCCCTCTGCTAGACTCTCTCCAATTTGTCCACATCCTTTCTATAGCAGGGGTCCCAAAACTGGACGCACTACTCCAGGTATGGCCTCACCAATGCTGAATAGAAGGGAATAATCACTTCCCTTGATCTGCTGCCAGTGCTCCTACTAATGCAGCCCAATATGCCATTGGCCTTCTTGGCAACAAGGGCACACTGCTGACTCCTATCCAGCTTCTCATCCACTGTAATCCCCAGGTCCTTTTCTGCAGAACTGCTGCTCAGCCAGTCGGTCCCCAGCCTGTAGTGGTGCATGGGATTCTTCCATCCTAAGTGAAGGACTCTGCACTTGTCCTTGTTGAACCTCATCAGATTTCTTTTGGCTCAATCCTTCAATTTGTCTAGGTCACTCTGGATCCTATCCCTACCATCCAGCAAAACTACCTCTCCCCCCATCTTAGTGTCATCTGCAAACTTGCTGAAGGTGCAATCCATTCCATCATCCAGATCATTAATGAAGATGTTGAACAAAACTTGCCCCAGGACCGACCACTGGGGCACGCCGCTTGATGCTAGCTACCAACTAGATATCGAGCCGTTGATCACTACCCATTGATCCCGATGATCTAGCCAGCTTTCTATCCACTTTATAGTCCATTCATCCAATCGATACTTTTTTAACTTGCTGGAAAGAACACAGTGGGAGACCGTATCAAAAGCTTTGCTTACAGCAAGATATATCACATCCACCACCTTCCCCATATCAACAAAGCCAGTTATCTCATCATAGAGGCAATCACCTTGGTCAGGAATGACTTGCCCTTGGTGAATCCATGTTGACCGTTCCTGATCACCTTCCTCTCCTCCATTTGCTTAGACCCTGCAGCCCTGAGGGGTCCTGGGACTGAGTCCTGGGTTAGAGCAATTGCAGTGTAGATGCAAGGGGTGTTAGGATGGAGCCCAAGATCAAGCTCAGGCTTACATTGCAATGTAGATATACCCATAGGGGCCAGTCCTGTGAGATGCTGAACATCTTCAGCTCCCACTGAAGTTAATGGTAGCTGAGATGATGCATATGAAGCCTGCTCCTTCGGAAACGTACTCTGTCCTGACTCAAGACTATACTTGCTGAGTCTCCAGGAATTAAAGATGAATCTTTAAAGATTGTGTCGTGTGGTGAAACCTCCAAGAATGCATCCAACCAAAGTTGGCAACCCTGCTCAAGACCCGATTCCGTAAACAGGAAAATGAGTAACTTTGCTCCCAGGAGCAGTCCCCTTCATTCCTAGTCAGTGGAAATACTCGCACAGGTTAAGTTACTCAGGTGAACGTTTGCTGACAGGAATGGGAACAGAAATAAAGTTTGCGGATGATACAAAGCTGGGAGGTATTGCCAATTTAGAGAAGGACAGGGATATCCTACAGGAGGATCTGGATGACCTTGTAAACTGGAGTAATAGTAATAGGATGAAATTTAATAGTAAGAAGTGTAAGGTCATGCATTTAGGGATTAATAACAAGAATTTTAGTTATAAGCTAGGGATGAATCAATTAGAAGTAACAGAGAAGTAACGGAGGAGGAGAAGGACCTTGGAGCATTGGTTGATCATAGGATGACTATGAGCTGCCAATGTGATATGGCCGTGAAAAATGCAGTCTTGGGATGCATCAGGAGAGGTATTTCCAGTAGGGATAAGGAGGTTTTAGTACCGTTATACAAGGCACTGGTGAGACCTCACCTGGAATACTGTGTGCAGTTCTGGTCTCCCATGTTTAAGAAGGATGAATTCAAACTGGAACAGGTACAGAGAAAGGCTACTAGGATGATCCGAGGAATGGAAAACTTGTCTTATGAAAGGAGACTCAAGGAGCTTGGCTTGTTTAGCCTAACTAAAAGAAGGTTGAGGGGAAATATGATTGCTCTTTATAAATATATCAGAGGGATAAATACCCGAGAGGGAGAGGAATTATTTAAGCTCAGTACCAATGTGGACACAAGAACAAATGGATATAAACTGGCCACCAGGAAATTTAGACTAGAAATTAGACGAAGGTTTCTAACCATCAGAGGAGTGAAGTTTTGGAATAGCCTTCCAAGGGAAGCAGTGGGGGCAAAAGATCTATCTGGCTTTAAGATTAAACTCAATAAGTTTATGGAGGAGATGGTATGATGGGATAACATGGTTTTGGTAATTAAATATTCATGGTAAATAGGCCCAATGGCCTGTGATGGGATATTAGATGGGGTGGGATCCGAGTTACTACAGAAAATTCTTTCCTGGGTATCTGGCTGATGAATCTTGCTCAGGGTTTAGCTGATCGCCATATTTGGGGTCGGGAAGGAATTTTCCTCCAGGGCAGATTGGAAGAGGCCCTGGAGGTTTTTCGCCTTCCTCTGTAGCATGGGGCATGGGTCACTTGCTTGAGGATTCTCTGCTCTTTGAAGTCTTTAAACTACGATTTGAGGACTTCAATAGCACAGATATAGGTGTGAGGTTTTTTGCAGGAGTGGTGGGTGAAATTCTGTGGCCTGCGTTGTGCAGGATGTCAGACTAGATGATCATAATGGTCCCTTCTGACCTAAATATCTATGGGAAAAAAATAGCTAAAGATGCTCAGAACCGCACAGGACAGAGCCATTAAATGCTGAAATATAAGGACTATTAAAAGGACTAGTAGAGCTGGTCAAGAATTTTCCAATGAAACATTTTTCCAATCAGGAAATGTTGATCTGTTCATTTTCTGATTCAAAATGACTTTTTGCTTAGAAATTTTAATTTGTACTAAAATAAGTTTTAAAAAAATTTGAAAGGTCGGTATCAAAATGAGATGTTTCAATTGATCTGATCCAAAAAAGTTTTCAGACCATTGGTTCACAAAAAAAATTTGAGATTGACTTTTTATCCCATCTCAGGGTGGGAAAAAATGTCAAAAATCTGAAAGAAAATTCTCGCAAGGACAGGAAAACCTTTTCTAAACCCAGATCCAAATACTAGTGTTAACTTTGCATGTCCAGACTTCTTACAAGCCTTATGGCCAAATCTTGCTCAGCTGACATGTATAATCCCATTGAAGGGGTCAGTGGGGCTACTGGCATGAGGAATGTGAGCAGATGAGTTCTGTCTTTACCCCTAGTGTGGGTTTTTCTGAGTACGTACTGATTAATGTATTTCTTCTTTTAAAAATAGAGCTGGAAGAAACCATTTAGTAAAAGACTGATTTATAACACCATTGCTTCTTGCTTATGTGAACCAACACATTATCCAATGGAAAGTTAATAAACTAGAACTCTTGGATGTAATAGAAGAGTGGGGATAACTATTTCAATTGAGCAATATACAGCAGCTGTCTTATTGCTCCAGTGCTAACCAGCTTTTATATCTCTTGCTCCGCCTCAGCAGTGGGCAAGACAAAGCTGTATTGCTATCCTGTGGGCAGCACTTCTCTGCAAGAGTCTGCCTCTATATTAGAGAAATGGGTGGTATTTATGTATTGTCTGCCCTGAGTAGATATTATGTGCATAGTCTCTAATTATCCTGCTCTAGTATGTGTGGGGGTAGCACTTTTGATTGCAATAACCTCATCTTTCCAAGGACAGTGGCTTCTATAGAAACTTTCTGTGCAATCAGTGGAGGCCATACAGAAGGTCCTTAGCAAGAAGGATCATCATCAAGGAACAATGGGGCAGATTCATCCCTGTGGTTGGGCCAGGACAGACAGCTTGCACTTCCCCACTTTGAGAGCTAGCAGGAGCTGGCTTGACCCCAGGCACAGAGGAGGGCAGCCCTTCTCTTGTCTCTGTTGTGACAGCCCCATGGGCCATTCCAGGAATGTTGAATCACCAGAGCCCAGGACCATCCTGGCCACACCTTCTCCATCCTCCCCATGTCCTGGGCTTCCTGGAATGTCCCTGTGTATAGGCTGCTGTGGAGACAGCTCAGCCCCTGCACCCTGGGTGGGAAGGTTCTTATACCTGCGCTATAGCCCCTTTGCACCAGCCAAGCTGCAATATTTGTCCTCTCTTGTGCTGTGCATTAAGGAGTGTGCATGGAAGATAATTTAGTCCAGTAACTCCCCTGTCCCCCTGTTGCCTGGCAGGTACCTGAGAAAGCAGTTAAACAAATGGAAAGACAAGGTGCTGCTCCTCCACAACTCCCAGGAAGACAAAAGCTGCAGACTAGAAGCAAAGCTCCAAGTCCTGATAGCAAACCATGAGAGTGTGCAGATGGAGCTGCAGCAAATGAGGCAGGAAATAAAGGTACAGAGAACAGTGTACCAAGAATCTTGACAACAATTTGGCTTTGACATGTTCTGACCACTGCGCACCAGCATTGTCTCATTGTTACTTTGTGCTCCCCCTGTTGTCTCTTATCGATAGATGGATAGAAAGCAGGGGCTGTTTTTGTTCTGTTTGAACAGCACCTAGCACAATGGGGCTCATAGGCACCACCACAGTACAAATAAATAAATAAGAGTAATAATTAATAATAAATAGCTGAGTGAACAGCTGAGTAAACACCCTTTCTGTGCAAATTCCAACCATAAAAAAGGCTCCAAAGAGAATTGCTCAATGCATCTTAAGCAAGACTGGACACATCACTAGACAGTGCAGTCTAAAGAACAATTTTACATAAGAATTAGATAATTAAAGGAAAGTCTTTACTTGCTGCGGATCAATATCTTATTTTGCCTTTTTCTTTTGGAATATTTTAATTCTGATTCATTTAAAGTAACCCTTGGTTTCTAAAGTTCAAATGATGTTCTCACTCTAAAATATTAGTCCATATGCTATGCAAATGCATACAGCTGGATATACATGCAATTTGTTTGCATGAGTCATATGTACACACACACACACACATTGCATGGGTGTGGGTGTGCGTGTATATATACTCTGCCTATATTCTTAGTTAAATTCTTTTAGAATAATTTTCCAGCAAATTAAATCTTGGGCTACTGTGATGTCCCCTTTTTACTGGCACAGTAAGATACAATATCTTGAGACTGAAGTTGCAATAAATCGAGACATAGAAAATTGTGGAAGGAAACCTATGTACAATAAAATTAGACCCAAGACACTGAAAATCAGGCAAGAGTCACTAGAAGAAGAAAAAGGCAGAGATGGTGTTTCGTGATAGACACCAAACTTTTATGGGCCTGATCCAAAATCGACTGAAGTCAATGGAATAACTCCTGTTGATTTGTTGTTATATTGCAGTAGTGTCTAAAGTCCCCAGCCATGATCAGGACTCCATTGAGCTAAGTGCTGTACAAACATATGAAGAGAAAGTCCCTGTCCTGAAAAGCTACAACCTGATTAATCAAGACCGACAAGGGAAGCATTACTATCCTCTTTTTACAGGTGGAGAAACTGAGTCATGGAGATTCACTGATTTGCCCAAGGTCATACAGGATGTCTGTGGTAGGGATGGGAAGGAACTGAAACCAGATCTCTTGAGTCTCATTTCAGTTCTTTAACTACAAAACCATCCTACCTCTTTAACAGGCTTCCATTGGCTTTGTATCAAGCTTTATAAGCAAGAGGTTTCCTGTGTTGTGTTCATTTCAGGCAATGTTACAACCACCAAACCATCCTTCATTTGTACTGTGTCAAAATATGATGCCAAAAAGTGAGGACCCCTGGAATGAAAGAAAGCTTCACAATGGATCAGATTCAGCTCTGGCAAAACCCATCCCCACTAGCTTCACTGAGTTGAAATCCCTGGATCCCTCCTCCACTGCAGAAAAAAGGCAGTTACTACAGACTCAGACTGATCCAGCTGCAATGAACCTGAGATCATCAGGTACCACTTTGGGGTCAATATTCCTGCAGAATGGCAATCCCCTAATGAGACAGCATGAAAAATCAAAAGAGAAGGGAATTCCTCAGACAGATCAGGAGGGGATATCACAACCTGAAAGGACCAGGAACCTTACCCAGGGAATTATGACCACAGCTTCTAGTCCCACTGCAGCAGAATTGCCATTTAATGAGAAGGAGGTGAATGAAGAGAAGGAACTGCAGCAGCTAGTGCTGAAGCTGAAGGATGCTTTATCTCTTCAACTGCAACCAGGTAAGAGTTCTAAAGTCACAGATAGTAGGCCTGATTGTCTTCTGACCTACATCCAATTTAATCCAGCATAGTTTATAGACTTCATTGGCGCTACGCCAGACACATATGTGAGTGAGTGGAGAATCAGACCTGATGGACCAAACTCTATTCTGGTGTAAATGAGTGAAGCATCACTGACTTAAAGTGTCACCCTTTGACACCAACAGAGAATTTAGTCCATTGAGTCTAGCATGAGGTGCCTTTATATTTACACTTTGAGTCAGTCAGGTGCTGCACTTATTTGCACCCTTCTCTACAAATTTGAGATCTCATTTGAATTTCTTTCGCTGGTTCAAAATTACTCTAAAAAGGATGCCCACAGAGTTCACATCCATTCTTTAAACATCGGGGATGTGTCCTTCGTATCCCCTATTCACAGAAGTCGCAGAGTATGTAATGATGGCACCTGCTGTTTTTCATCAATTTGAATATAATTTGGTGAGACAGTATATTAACAACTAGATAATTTGTGTTACATAAGTGTCTTTTACTTCTAGATGTGCAGTAACTAAACCTCACTGCATCCCTTGACATTAGCAGAAAGCTTTTACATGGAAATCTGAAATGCATGGGAGACAATAGGTCTCAGGATATTTGTGTTAGATGTGCTTCCTGGCACTGTAAATTACTAAGGAGAGAGTGACATGGCATTCTGAGGAACCTGTAGTTCTTCAAGTGATTACTCATTACAATTCCAAGTAGGTGTGTGCACGCTGCGTGCAGAATTGTCTAAAGGTTTTTCCCCTAGTGGTACCTGTCGGGTCAGCTGTGGAGCCCCCTGGAGTGGTGCCCTTATGGCAGTGAATATAGGTCCCTGCCGACCTGCTGCCTCTTCAGTTACTTCTTACCACCAGTGACGGTCTTTGAAGCTACTTTGTTCTCTTGCCTTGGGCAAGCTCTTCTCCTAGTGAACAGTTATTCTTGTATTGTATATAGTTCTACTTAGTTCTTTCTAGTATTTTAGTTAATTAGTTCGTAGATAAATTTCTATTGGGGGATACCCCCCACCCCGTTATCCTACTACCCTCCAGGGACTGGGGTATGCTTTGGTCTCAAGGCTTCAAAACTTGTGAGTCTTGCCAGAAGCCTATGCCCAGGGGAGACCCTCACGACTCCTGTTTAAAGTGCTTGGTGGAAACCCACAAAACTGACAAGTGCAAAATCTGCAGGAGTTTCCGCCCAAGGACTAAAGGAGAGAGACTTTAGACTTAAGCTTGTCCTAATGGAGTCAGCTCTCCATCCCCAGCTGGCTCAGACTGCGTCAGGATCCAAGCCCAGCACTTCGGTGCGGAGCGCACCGGCCTCAGTAAGGGAGGCTGCGGTGGCAGCGAAGGATTTGGGGCCCATAGACCTGCAGCACCACCACTCTCTGGCACTGAAGACAAGTTTGTCGACTTCTCAGCACCAATTTCACTCACCGGTGCTGCATAAGAAGCTGAGAAGAGCTGAAAGGGGGCACCTGCTGACTGTCCGAGCAGTGGAGCACAATGGTGCCCTTGGAGTGCATCCCACATCGGGACACTCAACTCCTGCTCAGGGACAGCTGGTATTGTTGACTCTGGCCATCCAGGCAGAACTGTTGACTCCAATTCTGTTGGACCCCCCCAGGACGAGAGAGACAAATTGGGGAGTTTGACATGCTGTCCACTCCTGACACGTTCGAGGCTGCCAGGAACTTCATAGAGATCGCAACCCAGCAGTCCCCAGCACCACCAACACTGCACAGGGGGGCTGGACTGTCCAAAGCAAACCAGCCATGCTGCGGCACCGGTCGTCCTCGCCTCAGCACTGAACACTGGCACCAGCCCACACGGCACCGCCATCGAGCCCGAGATCAGACTCGTCCTCCGAGTTAGAACCAGAATTATACATCTCCAGATGCAGCCAGCACCAGTCTCGTTGCTCCAGATATAACGAGATGCAACAACTTCTGATGATGTCCTGGCCACCACAGTGGCAGGTACCCGCTCATTGGCCATTCTGGACTCCCTGGGCGTATCATCCAGCCCAGGGGCCAACTTCACATCCCTTTCGGTCACCTCGGACAGATGGGGGACCTCTGTCTGCCTCAATGGTGAGAGAACCTCCAAGGGATTCGGAGCCCAGTGCCCAGGACAGCACCGAACCCGGCACCGAGTTTGCCTCTGGCAACACATCTGCACTGCGCAGGAAGCACCTGCATGGGAGGACCTCCATGAGTTGGAAGGTCAGGAGAATCCCGTGCCTATGAGGTCTTCTTCATTCTCCTCCCCGGATGAGGCAGTACCCGGCTGGTCTGCCTCCTTACCGGCTTTGGACAATAGAGCCCATCAGGAGCTGCTCAGAAGAGTAGCCCAAGATCTGGGCCTGAAAGCGGAGGAGGTGTCAGAAGAAATGGACCCTATGATGAACATTCTGAGGCCAGAAGACCTTTCCAGGGTGGCCTTGCCATTGATCAAGACCATCCACAATACTACCAAGACCCTCTGGCACATTCCTGCTTCCATTCCTCCCACAGCTAAAGGGGTGAAAAGGAAGTACTTTGTACCCTCTAACGGGTATGAATACCTTTTCACCCTCCCTCAGCTGGGTATGCTGGTCATGGATGCAGCCAAGGCCAAGGAAAGGCAGGGTCACCAGGGCCCCACTCTAAAGTCTAAAGAGGCAAAGAATCTAGACCTCTTCGGCCATAAGGTTTATTCCACTGGGGGACTCCCGCTTCAAATTGTCAATCAGCAGGCGGTTCTTAGCTGCTACCCTTTTAACTCTTGGAATTCCCTGTCCAGGGAGAGCTACTTCCATCTGACTCCTGCTGTGACTCTGGGGCTGCCCTGGAGGAAGGCAAGACCATTGCAAGGACTTCCTTGCAGGCTGCATTAGACTCAGCGGACTCGACCACCCGTACAATGTCTACAACCATTGTCATGCGGCACAGTTTGTGGCTACAAGTCTCGGGCCTCCCCACAGAGGTCCAACAGACTATACAGGACCTGCCCTTTGATGGTGTGGGTCTCTTCACTGAGCAGACGGACTCTAGGCTCCATAATCTCAAGGACTCTAGAGTGACCTTAAAGTCCTTGGGGCTTCATACGCAGCAGCGCAAAGAAAGCATTTTAAGCCTCAGCCCCTGCCTCGCTTCAACCCCTCTCAGCTGAGGCAAGACTATAAACAGGAGACAGGGTAGGAGTAATAGGAGAAGGCCTCTGCAGTCCTCTTCTACCCAGGGCCAAGGCTCGGTGAGACAGTCGCCGGCTCCCAAGAAAAACTTTTGAAGGTGCGCCCGGGGCCGGCGCACCAGTCCATATCCCGGATCCTTCTCCTTCCTTTGTGAACCATCTATCCTATTTCTACCATGCTTGGGCTCAAACAACATCAGATCGCTGGGTCTTGAGCACGGTAGAATTGGGATATTCTCTCCAATTCTGTACCTGTCCACCCATTTTCCCCATCCCTCTTCAGGGACCCTTCTCACGAGCAACTTCTAGTGCCAGAGGTGTAAATGCTCCTGCAACTCAGAGCAGTAGAAGAAGTACCTATGGAGTTCAGGGGAAGGGGATTCTATTCCCGTTACTTCCTAGTCCCCACGGTCAACGGTGGGCTCTGGCCTATTCTAGCCCTCGAAACCTCAACAGATTCATGAAGAAGCTGAAGTTCTGCATGGTCTCCTTGGCTTCCATCATGCCCTCTCTGGATGCGGCAGACTGGTGCGCCGCCCTCAATGTGAAGGATACGTACTTCCATGTGTCCATAGTCCCGTCCCACAGACGTTTCCTTCAATTCGTTGTCAACAACACGCGCTGTCAGTTCACGGTCCTCCCCTTCGTCCTCTTGGCAGCCGCTTGGGTGTTCACGAAGTGCATGGCAGTTGTGGCAGCCTTCCTGCGAAAGCGGCAGGTGCAAGTTTTCCTGTATCTGGACAACTGGTTGATCAAGGGTCAAGCATGGGCCCAAGTGGAGGACCATGTGAGCCTGGTGCACATGATATTCCTCAGGCTCAGTCTCATTCTAAATGTGGAAAAAAGTCAACTATAACTCCTACGCAGAGGATAGAGTTCATCAGGGCCCTCCTGGACTCCATCCAGGCCAGGGCTTTTCTCCAGGAAGCTCATTTCCTCGCAATGAACACTATCAGAGAGGATCTCAAGATGGCGCAAACTTGTCTGAAGTTGCTCCAGCATATGGCTGCCTGCACGTATGTGGTACAGCATGCCAGGTTGTGGCTACTCCCTCTTCAGGAATGGTTAGCCCGAGTTTACAGGCCTAACAGAGGTCACAGACAGACGGGTCACTCTTACTCCTCAGGTTCTTGAATCCCTCCGACGGTGGCTCGACCTGCAAGCAGTATGTGTGGGAGTGCTCTTCTCCATACCTCAGCCGTTGCTGTCTCTAGTCACAGATGCGTCAGCGATGGGATGGGGGGGTGCACCTGAGTGAACTTAAGACACAGGGCCTCTTGGTACCAGGCAGAACTTTTGCTGCACATCAACATCAGGGAGCTGTGGTCGGTTCGCCTCGCTTGCCAGACATTTCAAACCCATCTGCAGGGAAGATGTGTATCCGTACTGATATATCCGTATATAAACCAACAGGGTGGTACTAGCTCCTCTCCCTGTGCCAGGAAGCCCTCAAGCTGTGGGACTTCTGCATCCCCCACTTGATACAATTGGAGGCCTCATACCTTCCCGGTTCACAGAATGAACTGGCCGATCACCTCAGCAGGTTGTTTCACAGCCACGAGTGGTCTCTGCACCTGGATGTCACCATCAACACCTTCCAAAAGTGGGGATCTTCCCAGACAGACGTGTTTGCGACATAGTGCAACAGGAAGCGTCAACAGGTCTGCTCCTTCCTGAACCAAAGCCTGGGCTTGCTCACGGATGCCTTCTTCCTGTCCTGAAAAGGGCACCTGCTGAATGCATTCCTGCCCTTCCCACTCATCCACACGGTCCTCCTCAAGATCCAGTGAGAGAAAGCATAGTTGATTTTAATAGCACCAGCGTGGCCACATCAGCACTGGTTCATCATGCTGCTGGGCCTGTCAGTGGGTACACCCATTACTTTGCCCTTGGTTCCAGACTTGATCACCCAGGACCACAGCTGCTTCCAGCACCCTAACCTAGAGTCTCTCCATCTCACAGCATGGAAACTCCATGATTGAATCCACTAGAGCTTACCTACTCAGACTCGGTTAGGGAGGTTCTCCTCAACAGCAGGAAGCCTTCCACTCGTGCCACTTATCTGGCAAAGTGTAAGAGATTTTCCATTTGGTCTCTCCACAAAGGTATTCCTCCATTGCAGTCCTTGATTCCCTTTTTCCTGGACTACTTGCTTTACCTGAAGCAACAGAGGTTGTCAGTTTCATCAATAAAGGTGCACCTGGCAGCAGTTTCAGCTTTCCATCCCGGCTCAACGGGATGCTCAGTGTTTGCTAACCCTGGGGTTGGTGTTTCCTCAAGGGGCTGGACAAACTGTACCCCCAAGTAAAACAACCAATCCCTCCACGGGAGTTTAACCCTCCCTTTGAGCCCCTAGCAACGAGTTTGCTGTTCCACCTGTCTTGGAAAGTGGTGTTCCTAGTGGCTATAACATCAGCCAGAAGGTGTCTGAGCTTAAGGTTTTGATGTCCGAGCCCCCTTATACTGTGTTTTATAAGGACAAGGTACGATTGTGGCTGCACCCAGGTTCCCTCCTGAAGGTAGATTCACAATTTCCCGCAAATCGGGAAATCTTTCTGCCAGTGTTCTATCCTAAGCCGCACGCCAACGACAGGGAATGCATGCTCCATTCCCTGCATGTCAGACGGGCATTAGCCTTTTACATCGAGTGAACAAAGCCATTTAGGAAGTTGATGGAGCTCTTCATTGCTATTGCAGAAAGAAAGAAAGGTCTCCCTATTTCATCTCAGAGAATCTCTTCTTGGATCACGGCCTGCATCAGTACATGCTATGACTTAGCAAAGATTCCAGCCCCAGCATGGACAGCGCACTCCACAAGAGCACAGGCTTCATCTGCAGCATTCCTGGCACAGATCCCCATTCATGACATCGGCAGGACAGCGACGTGGTCGTCTATTCACACCTTTACGTCGCACTATGCCATCACTCAGCAAGTGAGAGACGATGCCGCGTTTGGCAGAGACATGCTACAGTCGGCAACTCAGTGAACTCCGACCCCTCCTCCAGGGGACTGCTTGGGAGTCACCTACTTGGAATTGACATGAGCAATCACTCGAAGAAGAAAAAATGGTTACCTACCGTTTGTAACTGTTGTTCTTCAAGATGTGTTGCTCACGTCCATTCCAAGACCCACCCACCTCCCCTCTTTCAGAGTATCCGGCAAGAAGAAACTGAAGAGGCGGCAGGTCAGCAGGGACCTATTTCACCACCATAAGGGTTCCATTCCAGGAGGCTCCACAGCCAACCTGAAGGGTACCACTAGGCGAAAAACCTTCCAACAATTGTGCATATGGCGTGCACACACCCGCTTGGAATGGACATGAGCAACATATCTTGAAGAGCAACAGTTACGAAAGGTAGGTAGCCATTTCTTGTATGTCTCTCACTGACAGGAAGTGGCTAGATTCATAGGTCACCTGTGTTATGCTGGATGGATTTTCAAGGCGGGAGGGACCAACCAGTTCTAGCCTCCATTCCCCTCCCTGACTTCCAGTCCCACCACTTTGCCTAGCCAGTCCCAGGTTCCACCCCTCACCCCAGGTTCCAGTCTCACCAGACACCTTGTCCCAGTCTACTCTTCCCTGCTCCACCGTCCAGTTTTTGTTACCGTTGCACTCAAACGAGGCAGCTTTTCCTCTGTGCTAGCTGACTGCCAGCAGCGGGTCACTGACAGCACAGGAGAGACGAGCTCACTGCTCTCAAGTTCGAATGCCAACTCCACCCTGGGCCAGAGCAGCCATTGTAGGGAACGTTTGACTTTGCCCTCGTAGCCTTATGGAGGAGGAGCGCGCTCACAGTTGCTATGTGGGGCTAGCACATGTGCAGTCCTGGCCCATGTAGAAGCTGTGAGGGGATGGAGCATGCTCACTGAGGACGGATTCTTTGGAGATTTTAGCTTTTAAGCTCTAACACATCTCTACTGAGCATGTGCAACCTGCCATTCTTCAAAGCTTATAGGATGGTCAAATTTGGGCAGATTTTCCAAGGGATAGAAGGAGGCACATCACTGCCACAAAGGTCACTGTCTGATGAATTTCTACTCCCTGCTTCAAAACATGGGGGTGTTAAAAAATTCTGGTGACCTTTTCTTTGAAATACTCTAACATGGTCAAAACAATATTTTCCCTCTCCTTGTTCCGAGAAATGGCTGGGCCATTTTGGCTGAAATTGTCCAGACAAGTTCACGGGGAAAAATTAGCAGGTGCTCCACACCCACTGGCAACCAAGCTCCCCCCTCCTCGCTTCCTTCCCCACTCTCCCCGCCCCCCGCAAGCGCACCAAGTCCCCACTCCTCCCCCTCCCTCCCAGCGCTTCCCGCCCTCCTGCCACCTAACAGCTGTTTGGCAGTGCTTAGGACTTTCTGGGAGGGAGGGGAAGGAGCAGGGATGTGGCACGCTGAGGGGAGGAGGCAGAGAAAAGGCAGGGCAGGGGACTTGGGCGAGGGCAGTGCAGGGGTGGGGTCAGGAGGTCAAGCACCCACTGGGCAAAGGGGAAGTCAGTGCCTATGCATATAAGTCACAGAGCAAAGACCAACTCAACATGAGTAGAGATATAATCTGACAACTCTCTTCATAGTTTATAAATAGCATATTAGACATGTGGCAGACCCAAGCATTGAACCCAGATCTCCTAATTGCCACTACAGTGCTGTCACCACAACACTAGCCTTCCTCTCTCAGCTTGCAATCACTCTAGAATTACTCCAGATTTGCACTCATGCAAGATCAGCATTTAATCCTCAATGCTTGAGTCATTTAAAACTGGAGAAGACCTAGTACTGTAGAGGAACAGGTTTCAGAGTAGCAGCCGTGTTAGTCTGTATTCACAAAAAGAAAAGGAGTACTTGTGGCTCCTTAGAGACTAACAAATTTATTTGCATCCGATGAAGTGAGCTGTAGCTCACCAAAGCTTATGCGCAAATAAATTTGTTAGTCTCTAAGGTGCCACAAGTACTCCTTTTCCTTTTACTGTAGAGGAAGTCACTCACAGCAGTCAATATGGAACAAACTTGCATTGGTGGTCTTTTCTATCTCCAATTTCTATGACTGTGTAATTGGTTGACCCCACAGCCAGTCTTCCAGTCACATAAAATCCCCTTATAATCCACCGTATTATTACAGCATAGCTTTGTTCAGCTCCTAGAATGCCTCTTTTTCATTAATAAGGATGTAATAATGAAAGCCAGCAGATAAAACTTTTGTTTTTACAGAGCTATCTTGAATTGGAGTCGTATAAAGAGCTGTACAGGGAGTTTGCTGCATTCAGGTGCTATGAAAGAATCTCTTTTCTTTCCAGCTCAGCAGTCTGCTATAAAGCAGGAGTTGGTCTCCTCAGCTGAGCATGTTTGCAGGTCCTTCTCTGACCTCATCAGCCAGGTGACTTTGCCAGCTTGGAAGTAATGGAACGCCGGTATTAGCCTTACTACTTCATTGCACTATTGCCCAGGTAATTACAGCCATGTATCATCTCTAAAGTTGGTCAGATATTGAACTGTAATAATCTAACATAATGGAGTTCTGTCTCTGGGGTCTTTATCAGACTCTTCTGTGGTGTTAGAGAAGGAATTTTCCTTTATATTAGAACCATGTATTCCTAGCCTATTCCTAACCTCAAGAAAATATAGGGCCAGATCTTGGCCAATACATATCAATATAGTTCTGTTGACTTCAGTGAGGCTATGCTGACATATACAGTTATGATCTGGCCCATACTATCTTCTCATTACTATAGTACCTGATAATTGCTTGTGTTTCAGGAAACAGAGGATTTTTTTCCCCCTACATGAACACATGGAGATGGCTTTAGCTAACCAGTCTCATTGATAAGTTGTCTGACATTGTATCATAGTTCAAGAAGCACTGAATAGAAGGAGTAAATCTTTAGTTGTCTTCTCCAAGTTGTCCATTGTCTCCAACATCTGACAATCTGACAGTCGGGTATTTGCATTTTATTAAATTAGCAACTAAATTGGTGAGAAGGAAGAGCTATGAACAATTAGAGGCATTGTATTGCTTTAGAAGCCCCTTCCCTTACTATATCTTTATATATATGTATGGAACTGTTAAAGAGCTTAATATTACTTGAAGGTCTTACAACATCAGAAAAGAAACTTTTATTTTGTTGCTAGCACAGCATAGTCACAGAGTCAGCTGAAAACAAATTATGAAAACATTTCCAACGCAGCATTGAAAATACTTAAGGATGGTGTTTATATATGGAAGGTTTGTATGGTATTGAGAGATATTGGAATGCTTATAAGGGTTTAGATGGTTATTTAGGTTATTGCTAGCTGACCACCAGATCCTGTGCCCATTGAAGTCAATGGCAAAGCTTCTATTGACTTCAGCAGTGCAAGCTTTCAGCCTTGGATGCTTTGGAGGGGAGTAAGATAGTGGACAAAAGAAGAAGAAGATAATCACTACTGATTCATCTATAAGAGGTGCCACATTCCACTTTCTCTCCTTCTGGTACATAGGAGAGAGATCTGGAAGGAAAGGACTGAACTCGCACTTAGAAGAAAAGCCACTTGCGTCATATGCTGTTCTTTAATGTCCTGACCTTGGGCCTGATTCTCCATGGTTACATATGTTTTACACCAATATAACTCCCCTGATTTCAATGGAGTTATATTGACATAAAATTGAGGTAACAGAAGAAAGCCACGCCCATGACAGTTTTGTTATGGAATAGCAATGCTGAAGATTGAGACAATGGTGAGAGGGCAAGGCAGTCATGTTTGGACTATTAATTGTGGTGTTATCACCAGACCGGATATTTTTGTGGGTAACTGTGACCAAAAGCATCCCTGTGTTCACACTCTACATACTATTGTAATCTTTGTATGAAATATGCCGTGTGAGATTTCATCTGAAAATAATAAATAACTTGCTGGTCAATAATACAGTGAAATTTATGAGAGTATTATATGTGAAGTTACAAATTCACTCTATATGATATTAACACATGCTCACAACCAGACAGGCCTGTCTAGGCAAAAGTTGTTAAACAGGCATATCCTAAATAAAGGCATGTATGTTTACCCCTCAATGTACATATAAGTAGTAAATAGGGTCCTCGAGATAGCAGGGGGAAGAGATGACTAGAAACAGAACAAGTTGGATTTCAAAGACAAAGGGAGGGGGGAAAAAAAAGAGCATGGAGCCTCCTTTATCACCAGACCCCATGTTGCCTTCTTTACTGCTTGAATAAACTTTACTTTGAAGCAGGGGTGGGCAAACTGCGGACCACGGGCCACATCCAACCCACCAGCTGATTCAATTCGGCCCTCGAGCTCCTTTTGGGGAGCAGGGTCTGGGGCTTGCCCTGCTCCTGCACTCCAGCTGGGGAGCAGGGTCTGGGGCTGCTCCGCAGCTTCCGGAAGCAGCAGCATGTACCCACTCTGGCTCCTATGTTTAGGGGCAGCCAGGGGGCTCTGCGCACTGCCCCTGCCCCAAGTGCTGCCCCCACAGCTCCCACTGGCTGGGAACTGCAGCCAATGGGAGCTGCAGGGCAGCGCCTGCAGATGGGGCAGCGTGCAAAGCTACTTGGCTATGCCTCCACCTAGGAGCTGGAGGGGGGACATATCGCTGCTTCCCTGAGCTCCACCCATGCCCCAACCCCCTGCCCTGATCCCCCTCCCGCCCTCCGAACCCCTTGAGCCCAGCCTGGAGCACCCTTCTGCACCCCAAACCCCTCATCCCCAGACCCACTCCAGAGCCTGCACCCTCAGCCAGAGCCCATATCCCCCCACCCCTTGCCCCAACCCCCTGCCTCAGCCCTGATCCCCCTCCTGCCCTCTGAACCGCTCGGGCCCAGCCTGGAGCACCTTCCTATACTCCAAATCCCTCATCCCCAGCCCCACCCCAGAGCCTGCACCCCCAGCCAGAGCTCTAACCCCCTCCTGCACCCCAACCCCACTTTTTTGAGCATTCATGGCCCACCATACAATTTCCATACCCAGATGCCAAAAAAATTTGTCCACCCCAGCTTTGAAGGATAACCCTCAGAAGAATCCACCAAAGAAAGGGGCAGAGAACCCCAAGTTCTCTCTCTTTCTCCTAAGAAGACTAAGGCACCAGCACTTTTGGGCCTCTGGGAGAGATCTTAACCAAGGAAACTGTCAGCCTCCATCTTGCTGGAAGACTGTGGATAAGAAAGGCTATCTTGAACAAAGCATTGAGAAAAAACTTGCTAGAATAAGTTTGACTTTTAGATGCATTTTCACAGGTAACCATTTCTAACTCTCTCTCTCTTATACTTGCATTCACTTAAAATCCTAACTTCTTTGTTAATACTTAATAAACTTGTTTTATTTTTAATCTAAACTAATCCAGTACTTTATTTAAACTGAACTGTTTGGTAAGTCCAGTTGAAGTAAACTATTGAATATCAACTCTTTACAGGAGCAAGGAACCTTAATATCTGAACTTTCCAGAAAAGGGCTGGACAGTGCAGAACACCCATTTTGGGGGAAAATCCGGGACTGGGAGTATGTTGGGGTTACCCTGCAAGTAGCATCCAAGGGTGGTGGAAGCCAGAGTGGAACTGTAGACAGGCTGGCGGGATCAGAGCTGCTGAATCAGGATTGTCTAGCACACACATACTCAGGGTGCAGCCTGCATGCTGGTAGGCTAGCTGTGAGCAGTCCAGGTTGGGAACTACAACAGAGATGCATTGTGAGGCACCCATGGTTACAGGGAAGGCAGTGACAGAACCCCCTTGCTGGTCTGGGCTGCACCCCAGACTGTGACAAGGACTCACTGTATTGGAAGCAGATACTTTGTTGAATGAGAGGATGAACTAAAGTTTTCTGACTTGGCTTTTCACCAGTGCTGACTATTGCGAATTTCGCTCTTTGTCAGCCCATTCTTGCTCTGTGATATATTATTATTTGATACATTATTTCCATCAAATTGAGATGTATGTTTCTAGTTGATGACACAGATGAGGAATCAATTACTCTGAAGTACAAATGTACTTTAATGAATAAGAAATGGACGTGATTCAGTTTCCCTTCAGACAGTGGAATTACAGATCGACCTGCTATCAATGTTCTGCAAGAGTACACAGAAGACTTAGTGAACAAAGTACAGAGACATGGATTTGCACAAATCATGAGAGCAGACATAATTCCAAAAATAATGTACCTAAACTAGATCACTTATAGGTGAAATTAAGGTGCTACACCAATTGACACCAGCTGAGAATCTAGCCCCCAAAAATGAAACTTCCAAGGACAACCAGAGACTGTTCATGGCTTTAAGGACTAGAAAAAGAACTCGACTTGGGGGAAAATTAATGCACTATTGGAAAAAGATAAAGTGAAGAAGGTCATATGCTGAAACAGAGCTCCATAAATAGTGCAGCAACATTTACGCAGATTGAAACATGGCGTTTAACAAGGAGGCGCAGTTTCAACGGACAGCTTTCTTTTCTGCCTAGAAAAGTTCTGTTTTTTAGAAGTCTTGATGGGATTATAAGGCATCAAGATAAAGGGGGCTATCTAACTCGAATCAAGACGAATAGAAGGCTTTTCTTTGGCAAGACCTCAGCCACCCACTCAAGAGACCTTTAAAGTAGTGATCACGGTAATAAACATTCCTAACTCTTCATATAGACTTTGGTCACAGAAGCCCCAAATCATGCTTAACACAAAAAGATGTCAAAGAATACATATGACAAATGAAGGGAAGGAGCTAGATGCTAACAAGACTTTATCTACAAATGAACAGACATTAAAGAAGGTAAAATACTAGTTGGCTGGTGATAATACAAGAAGAAATGGAACAAACGGCAGGGCAATAGGGACCAGTGGGAAGCAGGTACAGCTATATCCCCATAAAGAGACACGGAAGCCGGGGGGAATAAGATCTGGATGGGAACTTAATAGCCTTGGCAGTAGCAACACTATAGTACATAGTCCCATTTGCCTAGGACACTATGCTTGATGGCCCCAGCCTGCGACATAAGGAAGTACATTTTCATATAGTACATAGCTATTTGGCTGTCCATTTCCCAATAAATAAAAGGGACTAAATCCTGAAGCCTTAACATTGTTTTTATTCAGGTTTGCCTCAGGCCAGCTCATGCTGAAGTCTGAGAGTTGGCCCAAGAAAGACCTGAGTGAGGACTTAATGGTTTGCACTTGCAGGTTTCATATGGATGAATCCCAATGCACCGTACTGATACTTCACCCCCAGAAGACGATAACGATCCTCTCTGAGGTCAGAGCAAAGTGGTGGTACAGAATTCTGTTTTAACAAAAATATAGTCCAAAATAGCCTGACCTTGATGCCCTTCCATGCATGGTGTAAAAGCAAATTATTTGATAAGGATTTGGAGGTGGGGGTGGGAAAAAGCTGGGGGTATGTTCCTGGTGTGCTAAAAGTACAGATTTTCTGCACTGATTGGCTGAATTCAGTCATTTGCACATTTTCTGCTGGGTGTTAATGATTTCAGATTATAAATCTAATTGTTAGGGCACATGTTGCTTCTTCTCTGGGCTTTATTTGTATTATTTAAATATAAATAAATGACAGTATTTTCCATTGAACCAGCTGATCTAAATACTACAGATATTGGGCTAAATCCTCAGCACAGCTAAGGGTGGAGGAGAAAGGTGGCTCTAACTCACCTTTCCATTCTGATGCTCTTGTAGACAGCAAGGGCCAAAATATCCTCCAACATCCCCTAGAGACTGCTCCACCAGCTGAGGATCATCCAGAGTGCCGTGAATTCCCACTCTGTCCTGACATCCTCTGTGATGTTGGGAGTGGGTAATAGAGCTGACTATGCCAGCTTTATACCACCTAGGAATTCCCTTATAGCGGAGAATCCTTGACTGCCCCTTTATAGTAGCCCAGACACAGGGCCACAGCTGTGGCTCATAGTTTGCACTTGCCAAAGGAGATGGTTTCCCCTTACACAGCCATCTCTACCAGTGGTGTCCAGATGACACAAGAAGAAATAGAACACATAGTGGAACGGGGGACCCACAGGAGGCAGCCACCTCTAGTCTATTAAAATATGGTTAAAGGGCCACAGTCCCTACTTTTGGGCAGCTCTTACGTTCTGTTAGACTCCCTTTATTGTGCTCAGGCTGAGGAATAGTAAGGAAGGGGCAGCAGTACACTTGGCTCACATCAGAGCGACTCTTAAGGTTGCAGGGGGTGGTGGTGGTGTCAGGCAGCTGGGGAGATGAGCCTGAGCAATGAGCCTGATTCCAGGAATTGAGTTTTAAGATTGCAGGGCAGGGCCCTGTGAATGCACACAGTTGCAATTCATAATCAAGTACATACTTCCTTCTTAACAGTTGTCCTTGAGAGCCTGTAAGCAGTTCCACTCACTGCTGTAGAGTTAGAGCATCACACTGAAGGTGTCTGCATCTAGCACCTCGGTTGTCAGCCACTTTGGTCCCACAGTGGCCTGTTTCCATCCAAACTTGCCCTGTGGCTAAGCCACATCTAGTCCAGGCCCCTTCTGGGGTAACAGCAGTCCAGGTAGAAGTTCACAAGTCCCAATAAGAGATCCTTCCGCCTCTCTTGGGATACTTCTCAGCCTATCCTATGGGCTCAGACCAAGGTGGGCTTGAGCTTGGGTGGCTAGCCTGACCCTCGGCTATTGCCACAGGAACATCCACACAGCTATTTTTAGCATACTAGTGGGAAGCAAGGAGGCCTCACTTCCAGCTGCAATATAGACATACCCTCAGCCTTCTCCCTAGGTCTGCCTAGCTCCTTGGTCCTCCTCTAGAACACTAGCCCACAGAACTACCTTTCCTTTTTCCTTGGCGCACCCTTGATAGACAGACAGAGTCACTATGACTCCCTTCAGCAACCTACTCCAGGAGCTCTGTTCTATGGCTGAGTTCTTTCTTTCTGCTTGCTCGCTCTCTGTAATCCACCCTAACCCTTTCACAGCCCGGGCTAGTGGGTGTCATTAAATCACTACATCAGGGTCAGCTGGTGCATGGCTATTACCTCACAGGCAAGGCTGAGCCCAGCTCCCCTTAAAGCACCAGCCAGCCTGTGACAGGGTCCCAGTTTAGAATCAGTGAATTTACAGCAAGCATCAACGTCATCATTTTCATGCCAAGCAATTGAGCTCCAGTCAAAAACAAACAAGGTCTATGCTATGAAATGGAATTAGGCTCTGAGGTCTTCAGACAGGAGAAAATGCCTGAGGTAACAGTTCCTTCAGGAATGTTATTACTTGCAAGTTTACATTTAATTGCCTCACTCTTTTATTTCAGCAAAATTAATACCATGAATGGTTTCCCTTACAGCAGCAGCTTCCAGACCTCTTCGTAATACTATGACCTTTTGTTATAAACTAAATTATTCTTTCAACCCCACACCCACACACACACCTTTCCCTGCCCATTTTCTCAAAGGTCAAATGGCTGCTGTAGTTTCTTAATGAAGGAAAAGAGCTGATGCAGAGCTCTGTGGTGGATTGGTCCAAAGCTGAATGTTGTCTTGGCCAGCAATTACTTTTCACCAATAATCCTGCTATTCAACAGGAGAAAGGAGGATGCAAGGTCCTGTTGTTCGAGAGGGAAAGTATGTACAGTTACAGGCCTGGTCTACACTACCGTTGCCGGTCGATCTAAGCTACACAATTTGAGTTACATTAGTAGTGTAACTGAAGTCGACGTAGCTTAGATCTACTTACCACGGGGTCCACACTACACTATGTTGATGGGAGACGCTCTCCTGCCGACATTGCTTCCACCACTCATTGAGGTGGAGTACAGAAATCGATGGGAGCTGTCTTCACTACACCTGCTAAATCGATGCCGCTGCGTTGATTGCAGCAGTGCTGATCTAGCTCTGTAGCGAAAACAAGCCCATAGTAGTAGCCTCTTCCTGAAGGCCCCTCCTAAAGCATGTCAGAGACAGAAAACAGTGTCTTCTGAGAATCTCTCTGCTGCTACTGACTAGTGAAATCTTGGAAGACAGTGCCAGCTCTCCCCATCTATCAATTGTCTATCCATAGTAATAACAATTGCAAGTGTACATATGTGTATACTGAATTGTATTCTTCTTCCCCATAATCTTTGTCTATCATTTGTCTTCATAGACGGTGAGTTCTTTGGGTCAGGAATTGTTCCTTTGTGTGTGTTTGTAAAACACCTAGCACCATGAGGCCCTTATACCAATTGGTACTGCAACTTAGTGCGAGAATGGTTCTGGCAACACCCCCGAGCAAGTACTGGGGACACACTAGTAGGCACAGCCTGAGACAGTTAAAGCTGGTGAAAGTTGCAAAATATTTGAAAATAAAGGTCCTGTCCCTGTGTTCATGCTCCTGTTGGGGTTGTTTCCCCAGATATTTTAGACACAAGCTTAACTTTAAGTACATATGTAGTCCCATTGAAGTCAATGGGTGAAATCCTGGCCATACAGAGACCAATGGGAGTTTTGTCATCGACTTTAATAGGTCCAGAATTTCCCCAAAGGGAATATGTGCATGCTTTAAGTCAACTATATGCTTATTTGTTTTTCTGGATTGGGGCAAAGTTCCTAGCACCTATCAGGACTGAGTCCATCAGTAAATGAGTTTTCTGGCAGATACATTTGCCAGAATAAAAAATATTGCAGAATATTCAAGGAAAGTCACTTAAAATTTGTAAATTTGTAACTTGAAGTCTGAAACCGGACTCTAAGACGATGGCAACTCTGCGAGCTAGGGTGTGATGTCCCTACTTGCGTACACATACTCAGCCTAGCTCTCATTGAGATGGCATAGGTGTACATAGCAGCTTAGCTGCTATAGCACAGGTAGTGGCAGTGGAGTACACCAGTGGGTATGTACTTGACCCAGCTCAGCTGGGCCTTCGCTGCGGACACCCATGGCATTGTGGCTACGCTGCTATTTACATTCCTGCTAGCTTGCTGAGAGCTAGTATGAGTATGCGTACGCAGGAAAATTGCACTCCCAGCTTGTCATGTAGACGTAGCTTAAGAGTTACATTCATTCAGCCAGGTAATAGAAACATGCCCTCTGACCTAGGCATCCACTAAAAACAGCCACAATTTTGAATATTAAATTCTTGCAATGAATGGCACATTTAATCAGTTTCCTGAAGTCAACATATCATTCAATGCTCATAGTTTTGAATAATTCTTTAAACTGAATTATGTTAGTTTGAAGAAACTGTGATTTATCTGCAGACAATCTGCAAACAGAAAAAGCAGCAAAATTTGTCAAATATCCAGATTATGTCACACATAGCTAATGGAAACATTTCCATCAACAAAATATTTGTTATGTAATGACTCCCCCCCCCCCCACCCCCCCCCCCCCCCCCCCAAAAGATGATGATTGTATGGGGGAAGTATTCACTTGGTTTAAATTTTCCAAATTTTTTTCCAATGGAAAACCAAAACAATTTTTCGGGGAGAGGGAAGGAATTGGTAATATGTTTGGGGTTTTTTGATTTTCACATTTTTTCTGAAAAATCTAGGAACGTTCCATGAAATTTGTTTTAACTTTTTGCAGAAAATATTTACTATTTTCCAACCAGCTCTAGTAATGAGTTATTCACCCTGTTCTACAATGTATCTATGAGCTCTCCATTCCTGATAAGAATTTGAGGCTCAAGCTGCATTGTGATCTGCAGGGGCCAAGTCAGCTGGGCTCTATACACGGGAAGCAGCCTGCCTGCCTGCCTGGGTCACAGTACAGCATTTAACTTTATTCTAGCATCCCTTTGATCTGCTGAGCCTTGGGAATTGAAAGGTAACCATGTACTGATTGAAACAGACACAGAAAGCATTTGTATGTGTGCTTTCTTTCAGAATATATTTGTTTCTTACTTTTGACTTTTATTTCATTTTGGTTTTTCAGGGCCAATCCTGCTCCCAGTGAAATCAATGGCAAAACACCTGTTGACTGCAGTGGAGCAGGATAAGGTGCTACCTGAGGGAAACAGCTGCCCTTGTACATCATCAAAATGAATATGCACGTGGGTGTTGTTTATGGACACTCTTCCTGGAAAATTAACTTTGAGAACATCTGTTCACTTAAGGTGTGGAGAATGTTTGGGTTTTATTAACCTATGAGAAAAAACTGGAAGCTTGAAGTTTGGAGGTCCTGGATTTTTTAACTCTTTACATTTTCTTTTTAAATAGAATGATGTTTTGGCTGCTGTTTGTGCTGTGTTATATGCATAAAAAATAGTTAAAACAGAGCAAGTACAGCTACTTGACTCCAATCCTGCAATTGAATCCATACAGGCAAAACTGTTGACTTCAGTGGAGTTCCGTGTTGGTTCCCTGCTCTGCCTGTATACGTCCAGTTGCATGACTGGGCCGTATTCTCCAGCATGCCCCCCAGACACAGTTTCAGTAGCTCATGCACATGATAAGGTGGCTAACACTTTATAAATCATGCAGTTTATTAAAGAGACTGAATTCATGGGCATCATTTAAAAAAAAAAGCCACAACAGGGCAAAAAGTCAAAGCTAACCCAAAGGTACAATGTTGATAGGTACAGACATTCCCCCTCCACCTAGAGCAGCTTTCCAAGGAAAATTAAAAACAAAAGCCAAAAGGAAATTGTTTAAAAAATATCCACTGTACAGATAAACCTCAGACTAGACAAATTGTTTCCTCTTTATCCCTAGCCCCCCAATAACTCTTCGGAGTAATGCAGATCCACTCTTATGCACATGGATGCTTATTAAGTCTTCAATCAGCTCTTTCTTGTTCAGCACTCGTGTCTTCTGATTGTGAGCAAATGTCCCTAGAAATTAGGGAGAAAAAAAAAAAAGAAAGGGACATGAAAACATGTCTGAGGAAATCAGGGTCAGCTTCCAAACAATGTAAAGCTGGCAGCCTATGTAGCTTTCATCCTCCATGTTTTGCCAGTCTGATATTTAAGATAAATGTTGTATCCAACTAATCAGAGCCAATCATTGGCATCAGATGAAGTCTTACAATGGGCAAAACTAAGCAAGTGTCTCTAGTTAGCAAATTACTTTGAAATCCAGAATAGGGTCCAAATTACATTATGGACCCTATCTTGGAACCTTAGTATGAGCCATACAAGACAATAATAGGTTTTCTCCTGGTAAGAAATGCAGAATCATAATCTTGTCTGTCGCTGTCAGTCACAATCAGAACCTGATCCAAATCCTGTCAAAGTCAATGGACTCTCAATGTCACTAGACTTCAGACCATTTCCATAGTGATCCTTTACCATTTAATTCATTGGGAATCTTGCTCTTTATTTGAATGACTGCAGGATGAGGCCCAAAAGCCAGCAAGCTGATTTGTTAAGTGTAGTTCTAGTCTGAAAAGTAGAACCCACCAAGTCAAAGCAGCACCAGACCCTGGCATAACAGATGTAAAACCTGCAGTTATACTGCCACTGCTAAGATGACCAACCCCCCAGGGACCTACACACGCCAATCACAATGTGACGTACCTCATCCAGTGCACTAAATGCCCCACTAACAATGACACGGGTGAAACCAGACAATTACCATGCTCTCAACTGAATTCACACAGAAAAACAATAAAAGACAAAAACACTATCACCCATGGGCAAACACGTTTCACAAAACGACCACTCCATATCTGGCCTTTCAGTCCTCATCCTCAAAGAAAACATGCACAAGACCTTCAAAAACAAGTCTGGGAGCTTAAATTCATAACTTTGCTAGATGCTAAAAGTGATGGTCTAAATAAAGACACTTGCAACAATCTGTAACCCACTAACCCCCTGTTTTTTGTCCTATGAGTGTGAAGGTATTAATGGACCACCTCACCTTGAATGGTCACTTAGAATATGTGTTAACTATTTATGTTAAACAATCTGTTGTACCTTGTATTTAGCTGTGACACTGAGTACATATCCCATACCTGAAGAAGAAACTGAACCAAAAGAAATTGGTCCAATAGAAGATATTATCTCACCTACCTTGTCTCTCTAGGTAAAAATAGCAACAGACCTGCTCCCTATGTTTATTACAATCATCACTGCTTATTTTAGGGACATAAGTAAGCTTTTACTGCATTTCACTCCTGTTAGCCCTGCAGAGCCACACAGCTAAGAGAGAACAAGCTTGATTATTTTCCTTCTCTTGTGCACAGTCAGCAGGATTGCATGCTAAAAATCTAATTACAGGTTAATTAGTTACACCTGTACAAACTCACTGTGGGAGTTGCACAGGTGGATAGTGGAGGTAGAATCTGACCTCATGCAATAGTGTGAGAAAGAAAGAAAGCCAGTGCATGTTGAATTTGTAGGGCTATGAAAGGCCATCTCTGGACTTGTGAATGAAGCATGTTTGCCTTGGAACTTTGGAGACAGAATAAGCACCTCATTTGAGAGTATTCCTTTTACAGAGTATTCCTGGTGAAAGCAGAGGCAAATTAAGTGAAAACCTGAAGGGAGCCCTGAGGGCTGATTCTGCTGGACATTTCATGGTCTGATTTTTACAGGGCTTGTAAAATAGTTCCCTATAATATATCTATATGTAAGATCATACCATATCAGATATGCTATGTGAAACCCTTACCAACAAGCCACTCTAGTTTCATGGAGGAGGAGAGAAAAATGTGAGAGTTGGTGTGATTTCAGTAGTTAGGCAATGTAAAAAATAGTGTTTGTTTGAAGGACTCTTAAGGGATTCAGCTTAAAGCTTAATTAATAATTCCTTAAAGGCAAGCAATATGCTAAAGTTGAAGCTTGGTCAACTAGTACTTCAGTGGGTATGAATTATTTATCATATCATTTGGTATATTTGATGTGGAAAGTGATGGCTTTTTTTCTGTGACTGATATTGAACTTTAAGGTGCTTATTAAAAAGCACCTTTTAGACGGACTCTACCCTGAGGATTCACCATCAGGAGGCCGTATGGCATAGCAAACAGGACATGGAAATGTGATTTGGGTACCTGAGTGTTAAGCTTAGTTCTGTCACTGACGTGTGACATGACCCTCGGCAAGACACTCAACCTTTCTGCACCTAAGTTTCCCTATCTGTGAAATACAGATAATGTTTTCTCCACTTTGACATGTATAAGAGAACAGTGCTAAGTGGAGCTATATATTTCTACAGCTCTTACAAGAGCTTTAGTTAGTCCTTCATTGCATAAAAGCCCACTCTCTAGTATTTGCTACTAATGATAAACAGATATGTTGATATAATTAGTGAAACTGATGAGACTTACCTTTTGGTACCAAAATCAGATGTGTTGATAATACCTAGCTCTCTTGACCCCTACACCTCAAGGCATGTTATTAAGGAGGTAGCATTAGTCCCATTTTCTAGCTGGGGAAACTGAGGCACTGTGAAGTGACTTATCCAAGGTCACACAGCAGATTCATGGCAGAACTGGGACTAGAACTCAGGTCTGCTGCCTTCCAGCCTACTTTCTCTAGCCAGTGCAGAGCTGAGCTGCATTGATTCAGGGTTTTGCCTAGTTTGACTAATACCACTATAGTGGGGTATCCGTCAGTTTGGATGAGCTATTACCAGCAGGAGAGTGAGTTTGTGTGTGTATGGGGGTGGGGGGGGGTGAGAAAACCTGGATTTGTGCTGGAAATGGCCCACCTTGATTATCATGCACATTGTAGGGAGAGTGGTCACTTTGGATGAGCTATTACCAGCAGGATAGTGAGTTTGTGTGTGTGGTTTTTGGGAGGGGGGTGAGAGAACCTGGATTTGTGCAGGAAATGGCCCAACTTGATTATCATGCACGTTGTGTAGAGAGTTGTCGCTTTGGATGGGCTATCACCAGCCGGAGAGTGAATTTGTGTGGGGGGGTGGAGGGTGAGAAAACCTGGATTTGTGCTGGAAATGGCCCAACTTGATGATCACTTTAGATAAGCTATTACCAGCAGGACAGTGGGGTGGGAGGAGGTATTGTTTCATATTCTCTGTGTGTATATAAAGTCTGCTGCTGTTTCCACGGTATGCATCCGATGAAGTGAGCTGTCGCTCACGAAAGCTCATGCTCAAATAAATTGGTTAGTCTCTAAGGTGCCACAAGTACTCCTTTTCTTTTTGCGAATACAGACTAACACGGCTGTTACTCTGAAACCTAAATATTACTGTGACTAAGGCTCGGAGGCTGCTTCAGATATTACATATTGTTGTATGTTAGGTTTAAACAGTGTAAGCCATCATTAAATATTTTCAAAAGGTAAGACCAGGACCATTTCAGTTTGTAGCAACTGAGTCTGAAAAGATACAATAGAAGTATGAAGGGAGAAACTTGGAATATTGTTTTATATTCCAAGTAACCCACTGAAAGTTGCCTTGGCTCTCCCATCTAGACCCAGAATTGGTCCATGAAATCATTCAAATGCTAATAGTTCAGCTCAAACTAAAGAATCAGGCTTGCACAATTTGTTATGCTTAAGAAGTGGCAATTCAATTCCTCATATCATTTGCAGAGAGCAATCTCCTTCTAGCAGTTGACTTTTGGTTTCACTGACTAAGCAAGGCAGATATGAACTATCTGGTTTTAAGATGCTACAAGACCTTGGATGAGAGCTTAGATAGTTCTACAACAACAAAAATTAGGCTGTCACTGTAGCAGTCTGACCACTACTAGCTGACCACTACAGCATTAAGAAATTAGATGGACTGATTACAACTCACAAAACAGAATAGAAGTAAGAACAGAAGTAAAATATCCCTCCTTTTTTAAGAGTGTGCGTGCACTGGACTGTGTCTAAAAATCTCTTCATCCTACCTAGTGTCATGATGTATGGTATCAGTCTTAAGCAGAAAGTATGTATTTTAAAAGAATCTGTGCACACTAACAGCCTCTACACAGCCTGATTCCCAGCTTTACCTGCATGATCTACCAGTAACCAGATCCTGGCTGCAACTTGGAGACAGCTAGTGGCTGAAAACTTTACTCACAGTATATTAATTCATTGTGCTCATGTTTAGTATCATACTCCACAATGGTTCCAGTTGGACTGCTCAAGGAGTAGGATACTACTGCATATGAGTAAGACTGGCCTAGACCACGCATTACCCAGTAACACTGTTAATGAGGCAGTATATCTTCATGTGTTTGGTTACTAATCTATCTTCCCTACCTGTACCCATACATGTTTCAAGTGGTTCACTTCTACCTCCTCTTATGATCCCTGAGGGAAAAGTCAATCATATATGGGCCTGATCTGCAGCTGTTTCTCAGGCAAAACTCCCATTCAGAAGTTTTTGAGCATGATTAAGCTTCTTTATTGAACATATTAATCTTTGACTTGTACAGTACCAAGCACTCAGTTGTTTTAATGCTAATCGTACTCTTGCTTGGTTCTCATTCTCCAATTTAAACTTGTTTCTCTACTGGTGTCTGATTTTTATGTACACTACTGCTGTTTCTCCACCACAAGGTGTACATGTATTGGATAGAGAAGTAATAACCTTGCTTTCTCTCTGTGAGCTGAGAATGCAGAGCTATGATTTTCTGTTCAGCCTCTGCCAGTTGCCTCCTCCCTAGGCCATGGGTTCTGGAGAGCACACAGTCTACATAGATATCCCAGAAGAGCTGAGCCAGGTCCCAGAACAGAGCCCCATGCTTCAAGTTCTCTGATGACTTCAGGAAGATCATAAAGTCCCAAAAACCATTGACAGACTCAGAAATATGTGGCTTCCTCATCTCCAGCAAGGCAGCTGTGGAGAACGCCCAGCACTGGGGATCAGCTCGGCCAAGGGCCAGTGGATCATTTTGGCTCTGGCAGAAGAAAGGAGTCACACAAAACACTCCCATGATTAACACACAGAAGATAAGTCTCACATTGGAGTGAATTCTTCCTCTGTTCCCAGGATCCATTGTGTCACTGAAACTTCACAAAAACAAAAGAAATTGAAAAATCATCTAACCTTCATATGTTGCTGGGCTAAATGAAGAAATGGGATGGGTGAAATCAAATCCTACAGCCTGTGTTATACAGGGGGTTGGCTTAGATGATAGCATTGGTCCCTTCTGGCCTTAAGCCTGGTGTGTACTTTATTTGTTAATTCAATTCCATTACATTTGATATAAACATCCAAGTTTATTACCCAAAGGCTAAATCCGCTAAACTCATTCAAGATTTCTTCTTATCTAAAACAGCAGTTTGTCCCCTGATGTAAATTGGCCAAGAACATCCCCTTCAATAGGACTATTTTACATAGTATATTTCTTTCAGAACATTTCCAAAATAATGTATAACTGTGTGTATCTATTAATTTTGGAAAGGCTCTGAAATGAAGTGTGCACGTCATATTAAATACACACCCTTGTAACAGATGACTCAGTGACACTTTCCTGTTGAGCTAGAATCATGAAATTTACTTGTTTACTTGATACTTGTTTATAGGCTACAAAGAGAAAATATCTGAAATCTGACCTTCCCATTAGCTGTCACCACAAGATCACCACTCTAGTGAATTTTATCCACTAAATGCTCTTGCTCCTGTATTAGGGGATAACAATGTACCAAAAAGAAAAATCCTTATAACTTCTACTGTGAGTTGATCATGCTGCTAGAGGTCAACATTTCTATCTCAGACTTTTGGCCATGAAATAGTACATAAATGTTTTTTTGGATGGGTGACCAAAGCTGCCTTTCCAAGTATTGCAGCTAATTATGTCACTTGCCCAGATTCCTGTAGGGAACAATTGGATATTTTATTTCAGGGAGCCAAAGCTAACTTCTGAAACTATATCTAGGTACAGCATAGCTTTGTGTAGCTAGGCCTCTTCCATGCCTTTGAGGGCACAGAGGGTCCCTGGGCAATATAAACAGTGCTGTTCTGCTGTGCAAGGGGAATGGATGGAATCAGGACTGGTCATGCAAGGGGATATACACTCCCTGCCTAGCATGCAGCTTTAGCCTCAGCAGGGTGCAGGGCAAGAACACCTGCCTCCATTGGAGGAAGTCTGCTAAGGACCTTTTAGGAGAAGTTCCATGTCTTGGGAGTAAGATTCCTCCCCAACATTCAGCCCTGCTACTTGGTTTGGGTACAGGAGGATGTGGGGGGGAGAGGAGAAGGGGTATTTACACCCTAATGAGACTTAACATTTTAGAGATTTACAGCAATTTATAAAGTGAATTAGGTGCCCATAAAAAACTCTAGCTTGACAACCCTGGATCTGAAGTCCTACATTTTATCAACAGAAAAAGGGCAACACAAGCTTTCCCACACTGCCATACAGCTGTAAGAAACCCTGCCCTCAATGAAGTGCCAGGCCAACTCACACCACAGTGACGGTAGTTTTATGAAGTTGATACCTCTTTGGTCACTACCACCCTGGGCTAATTTTAATTGGTGACTTAGAGGCAAAAGGCTTTAATCTATTCCCAAAAGCCAGACCCATCCAGATGATGGATGTAAAACTAAGAGATATGAGTCTTAGCAGCTTCATTTGTTTGGAAAAAAGGGTGAATATTTTTACAAGTTTTCAGAAATGTTCATGGAAAATTTCAACCAGCTCTAAAAATAACTGGAGGAAAATTCCCTGAAGTCCAGTCTTTACATGGAGTTCTGATTACCCTCCACCCAAAACATGCTGTTTACAACCTCTAGGACTTTCTTTCAAATTCTTCCATTATTTTTAAATTTAGAAAACTTTTAGGAAGAGAAAGTGATTTTTGCTATATATTTCAGCCTATTAACTTATAGCATCCATATCATATGGTTCAGATAGAAGGATCACAGTTCTTTTATCAGCCTAGACACTGAACATAACAAATACACTTAATAAAATCTCATAAAATGAAAATATTGAGAAAACAATCCCTAGTGATGACAGGGAAATATTTACCAAATACTCTCTTGACAAAGTCTGCTGGTAGCTACATCTCATTGAGGAGCTAGATGCTTTCATCAGGAGAAGATGCCCTCTTCCAAAATGGAAAGATTTGGGGCCAAATGTTATAGTAACATAAATCCCCATAGCTATTGCAGCTTAACTGGAGTTAAACTGCCTGTCATAGAATATCAGGGTTGGAAGGAACCTCAGGAAGTCATCTAGTCCAACCCCCTACTCAAAGCAGGAAATCCCGTGTTCAAAGCTGTCCCCAGAGTAATTGCTCTTTTGGCCCTTTGGCGTTAAAGATATATATGAGGTGATCTCTCGTTCTGGCTTCTATCCAGAGTATGCATTTACTTGTCCTGAAGTAGCACCCAGAGGCCCCAATGAGGGATTGGGGGCCCATTGTGCTAGGTGCTGTACACCATATAATGAAGGTCTTTGCCTCAAGAGCACTCTGCCTTCTCCATAAACAGTAAAGGGGTTGAGTATTGACTTGTCAGCCAAGTAACACGAGTTATATGCAAGTTGAGTAGTGGAGACTGCAATTTCTCATTGGTGTGTTTATTTTCCCATGAATGGTCAAACAGTTGCTCAAACGGTTCCTACCGACCTATACAGTAAAGATGTCGGGCCAGCAGTGGTGGCTGTCTCCATTGCAGTCGCCTTTTGTAAAAGTTCAATATTTGAAGACCCCAGAGCCCGAGGTCAATAAATCTAACGACCAGTCTGTACCGGCCCCCGGGGTGGCGATGGGACAAACACCCAGCTCCGGAGCGTCGCGAGCTGCAGGTGGCGGGGCGGGGGCGGAGCGGGGCGCGCACGGGGGTGCCCCGCGCGTGTCCCCTTTACCATAACGCCGAGCACGAGAACACCAGGGGCGCTCTGAGAGCGGGCCAAGGGCAGCCGTCCTGCCCCGGGGCAACGAGTTGCTTCCGCGGCAGGATTTGTCCCATATTTCCCGTCCCCCGGGGGGCGAAGTGCGGGGGGGGGGGGGTGGCGGTAAAGCTGTGAACAGCAGCCCCCTGTCCTGGCGGAGCTCTCGGTGCCGCGCCTTTGCGGGGCTGCCCGTCCCACACCGGGGGAGCCCGGGTGCCGCTCGCCGGGCTTCCAGGCGTGTTTGCAGCCGCGGCACCGCCCCGCAGCGCCGAGCTGGAGGGGAGGCGTGAGGGCAGCCCCGCGCCTCCCGCAGCCCCGCTCGCCTCCAGCGGGGAACGCCCCGGAGCCCGGCGCCCGCAGCGCCCCGGGGCTCCCGTCCCCTCCGGCGCGCGCCGCCCGAGCTCAGCCCGGCCCGGCCGGGCGCTGTCCGGGGTGCTGGAGCCTGTCCCGCGCCGGCTGCCCCGAGCCCCGCCTTACCTCCGCCAGCTGCCGCGTCCGACTCCCGCCCGGTGGCCCCCGGCTCCCGTCGCTGCCCGGGCTTGTGGCGGCTCCCGCCGCTCCTTAAGAAGCGGGGCGCGCGGTCCCTCTAGGTTACGTCAAGGCTCCTGGGTGAAGCCCCCACCCATTCCGAGACAGGCTCCGGTCAGCTGCTGCTTCGGACCCCCTCCCCCCGGCCTCCCAGCCGCCCCCGCGGGACTCGCGCCACACCGGCGGCCCCTCAGAACTCCCGCCCCGCGCCGGCAGGGGGTGGGGGAGGGGCAGGCTCGCGGTCCGCGCCGCGCCTGAGGGAAGGGAACCCCCGCGGCTCCGGCGCCGATGGAGTCCGGCTGGTCCCCCCACTAGCCCCGCGGGCCACCGCTCGGTGCGTGGCCGAGCCCCACGCCTGGTAGGGTGGGGGGGGGGTGAGAGAGAGAGAGCGGGCTAGGCCCCGAGTGGGGGGACTTATTTTGAACACTGGTAAAGGATTATTTTTTTCTTTAAAGTTTTCCCGCCCCTGCTTTCCCCCCCAGGGTTTTGGAAGGTCCTGGCGAAGCACCTGAGCTGAGGTGGTTCTGTGACCTGACCTCCATTCTCAGCCCCTGGATAATGACCTAGTTCTGAGCAGTGAAGGGCGGGAAGAGAGGGCCTGCCCTTGGAAGGGGCAAAAACAAAGGCTGCCTGAAGATAAAATGGAAAAACCATTTGGAGCTATGTTTGACTTCACCAGGAGAACTCTTGTTCTGCAGCGGAGAACGTGAGGTTGGAGTGAAGTGTCAAATGACTAGTATGTACTGTACTTAGATAGATCTCTAGGGACCAGATCCCTCCGATGGTGTAAATTGGCCTACATCCATGGAGCTATGCTGAGTTGGCCGCCACAATAAAGAAATCAAGAAGCCCATTTGTATTCAGTAGCCCAGTTGTCAGATAAAAGTGAGTAACATATCCTGCCTTGTCCAGCATGGTTGGTGCATTATGTTTGCACTTGAATAAACCATTGAGGCAAAATATCTGAGAAACTGCTAAATAAGTGTTTTGAACCCATAAATATGACCACACTAAGTCAGCAAGTTTTTCCTTCCTGTTAGTTTCTCAGCTTGTGCAAATCTGCATAGTTCCACTGAAGTCAATGGAAATGCACAAGTTTACACCAATTGAGAAACTATCCCATTCTTTCCAGAGACTTTGTCCTGGCCCACTACACATCCTTCAGCTGCTGCTGCTTTGCACTTGGAGAGTGCAATCATCTCTTTTTGTTATAATCTTGTTTCAAACAGATCCTCACCAGGTATAAATCAACACCACTCAGTTGAAGTCACAACAGCCATCACACCAGCTCATGTAAGCTGAAGAACTGACTCTAAATGCTCATCTTCGAGTTACTAGTTTTGGGGGAATTCTGCACCAAAAAATTAAAAATTCTGTGCACAATATTTTAAAGTTCTGCAAAATTCAACATATTTTGTCAAATTAACACAATATAATCATGCCAAATTCAATTATTTTGGTAATTTATTTAAAAATACCTGTCAGCAACTATGTCTGTATCAATACAGACAACAACAAAAAAAGATTCAGGAAATGTTTTTGTTTGTTTGTTTTACAAAAGTTGCTTACTAGGCATATTCATACAAACTTTGAGTAATTAATTTAAACCAGGTTTCAGAGTAGCAGCCGTGTTAGTCTGTATTCGCAAAAAGAAAAGGAGTACTAGTGGCACCTTAGAGACTAACCAATTTATTTGAGCATAAGCTTTTGTGAGCTACAGCTCACTTCATCGGATGCATCAAATAAATTGGTTAGTCTCTAAGGTGCCACTAGTACTCCTTTTCTTTTTAATTTAAACCAGTGGCTCTCAAACTTCCCAGACTACTATACACTCCTTTCAGGGTCTGATTTGTCTTGCGTATTCCCAAATTCCATCTCACTTCAACTACCTGCTTACAAAATCAGACATAAAAATAGTGTGCTGTGACACTTCTGTATTACTCAAAAATTGGTTACTTATTTTTACTATAGAACTATAAATCAATCGGAATATATATATATATAGTACTTACATTTCAATGTATAGTATATAGAGCAGTTGTATGAAATTTTAGTTTGTACTGACTTCATGAATGCTTTTTATGTAGCCTATTGTAAAACTAGGCAAGTATCTAGATGAGTTGATGTACTCCAAGGAAGACCTCTGCATACCCCAGGGGTACGTGTACCCTTGGTTGAGAATCACTGATTTAAACTACAATACAAAACTGTATTTCCTGCACCCCGCAGAAGCAGTGCAAAGGCTTGTGGGAGTCGGGGTAACAGAGGAGTTAAGGAAGAGGAAAAGAGCCTGGGAATGAACATGGAGGGTTGCTGGGTGTGGGTGGGAGAAGTATGGAACAGGTGTTTTAGGGGTGGGGAATTATTGGGAAGCTTCCCCCATGCAGACCCTGGCTGACCCTTAGCCTCTCCCATTCAGTCAGGCACATTTACCCCATTCCCCCTACAGCCCCCTCCCCTTCATCCCTATGTGACCCTGCAGCCCCACTCCCATTCAGCCTCCATCCCAGTCTATCCCCCCACTAGCCCTTCTGAATCCCAGTTTGTGATCCCCCCAGCAGCCCCATGTGCCCCACTCTGTTTGTTATCCCCCACCCCCCTATATGTGCCTCCGCACTGTGAGGAATGCACCTCCTCTTCCTTCCTTCTGCTGTAGCTCACTGCTGTGGCCCCTGAGCTGGCTTCGCTCTGTTCTGGCACCACAGCAACCCCTAGTGGGTGAAATATGTAACTGCAATGCCTCTCTCTAAAATACATTCTGACTGAGAAAAAGAATCTGCAAGGGGACACAAATTCTGCAGTGATGCAGAATTCCCCCAGAAGTCAATTATTACACATTCTGCTTGTCACATCTCCCAGCATACCAAGTAGTTTTTGTTTTTTTTAAATTCTATTCTGTCTGAGATGTGTCCAAAACATGCTACATGGTCATTCTTTTATATTGTGAAGGAACAAAGTGGATACATTTCATGCATCCCTTTTATCTAAATAGATCTCAGATTATTATATCCTGTCTGATCGACACACACATATTGCAGGATTTCTTTGGCACATGGATGCGTATGTTGTACATCCAGATATATGGAATTCTTACTGAATTCAAAATATTCATTGTATATGTTGTGACACAGGGTTTGAGCCCTGTGTGGTGCTCAGCAATCTCCACTGCTATAGGTTTTAATAGGAGCTGAGTAGACTCTGCACCTTGCAAGATGCACTCAGCATGGCAGGATAAAACCAATTTTGCCCAGGAAATTTCTATTTCCCCCTTCCCTCAATCAAGGTTTCCTCCTTTTCTCTACCTCATCTCCCTCCCTCCCTCCTCAAATTTGGTGCATGATCAGAGACTATCACCGGGCATATTTTTGATTAAAGGCAGTTCTCTAAATCTTGGTTCTTAGATTAGACTGGGGCTGATTCCAGGAGTGGCATACATAGGCTGTAAAGGAACTGCAATAGGCTGGGGTGGGGAAGCATTTGTCCAGTACAGGAGCAGCATAAGACAACAAAAAGCAGCCCTATTCTGTCTCCCCTCTCAAGCCCTGGTATAGGGAGTGTGTTGGGGGTAGGACTGGCAGTGAGGGGGGTGGATTAAGGAAGGAAGGAGGCATGCCCATAGCATGCAGCAATGGCATTGCTGGGATTCTGGGCTGTGGTGCAGCCCATGGGCAACTGTGAAAAGGATGCCAGTCCCAGGGGCTGCTCTAACTTACACCAGGGCCCTTTTCAGAGCCAGAATCCTGATGGCACTAAAATGACCTTTGCTTCTCACTCCCAACCCCCACACTGCAGCACTTTTGCTATGTCTCTCCAGAGCTGCAGCAGGGACTGTGCCCCATTCTATCGAAGCCAGAGGAGTTCTGAAGGTTAGAAGTGAAAGTAAAAATCTCTGGTAAATTGATAGACTAGGAGAGATTCAATTTAATATGAAGTCTTCACAGATTTGTTCAATAAGCAAGTTTGTTTGCTGTCTTTCAGGGGAGTGTTGGCTCAAGTATAATGGTAGTTTCATACCGATAGAAAATAATCTTCCAGATTTGAGGATGGCTAACCAGGGGATCTGATGGAAATAAGTCATTCAATGCTCAGAGAGAGAGAGAGAATAAGTGTTACAACTAAGGCCTTGTCTACACTGGCAAGTTTTTCTGCAGTAAAGCAGCTTTCTGTGGTGTAAAACTGCGCAGTTGCATTGCTGTTAAAAAACACACCCCAACGAGAGGTGTACAGCTTTCTGCACTGGGGCTACAGCACTCTGGTGCCAGTGTAGACACCCTGGTCAATTACAGTACTGTGATTGGCTGCTGGGAGGTGTCCCACAATGCCTGGTCTCACCTCTCTGGTCATTGGTTTGAACTCTACTGCCCTGCCCTCAGGTGACCAACCATGAGCCCAACCCCTTAAATTCCTTGGGAATTTTGGAAGTCCCCTTCCTGTTTGCTCAGTGATGTGTGCAGTAATCTCAGTGCATCTTTTCAGGTGATCATGCCTGCTCCACGCACCAGGTGATCCCCCGCTTGGAGCAATGGTGAGCTGCTGGATCTCATCAGCATTTGGGGAGAGGAGGCTGTCCAGTCCCAGCTGTACTCCAGCCATAGGAATTGTGATACCTATGGACAGATTTCACTATGCATGACAGAAAGGGGCCTTGACTGGGACACACTGCAGTGCAAGGTCAAAGTGAAGGAGTTGCGGAACGCCTACCACAAGGCACGGGAGGCTAACTGCTGCTCCAGTGCTGTGCCCATGAGCTGTCGATTCTACAAAGAGCTGGACGTGATATTCGGTGGTGACCCCGCCTCCACTGTGAAGGCCACTGTGCATACTTCAGTGGCTCACATACCAGTCGAGAGTGGACCGAGCCAGGAAGAAATCTTGGACGAGGATGTGGAGGGGGACCCAGAGGCAGAGGACGACTTGGAGGTCAGAGACGCATGCAGCCAGGCGCTCTTCTCTACCCCAGAGGAGTCTAGCTGGTCACAGCCATCAGAGCTTGGCAAAGGGCAAACAGGAAAGGAGGCCCCAGTAGTGGTTTTGATTTTGGGAATCGCTGAAGTGAGTTGCTGGGGGCAGGAAGGTTGCAGAAAGCAGGCTTGTGTCTGTATGATTCGCGTATCACCACATGCCTAC